AATCTCAATCCGGATATACAGGGTTAACTCTCAATCTGGATATACAGGGTTGAATCTCAATCCGGATATACAGGGTTAAATCTCAATCCGGATATACAGGGTTGAATCTCAATCCGGATATACGGGGTTGAATCTCAATCTGAATATACAGGGTTAACTCTCAATCCAGATATACAGGGTTAACTCTCAATCTGGATATAAAGGGTTAAATCTCAATCCGGATATACAGGGTTAAATCTCAATCCGGATATACAGGGTTGAATCTCAATCCGGATATAAAGGGTTAAATCTCAATCCGTATATACAGGGTTAAATCTCAATCCGGATATACAGGGTTGAATCTCAATCAGGATATAAAGGGTTGAATCTTAATCTCAAAAAATGCCAACTCAGGATTTTATTGGTCATGAAGGTTTTTGTCTGAGGATATAATTTACGAGATTGTAAAATGTAAATAAAAAAGTGCTCTCGCTTCAGACAAGTGTAAACCTTTTATTATACTGTAAAACAGATTTGATACTCTTCTTGTTTTCAATAAACATTCTCATCCATCATATATACTTACAATACAACAAATATATAATAATACAAACCCATCATATATACTTACAATACAACAAATATATAATAATACAAACCTATCATATATACTTACAATACAACAAATATATAATAATACAAACCTATCCTATATACTTACAATACAACAAATATATAATAATACAAACCCATCATATATACTTACAATACAACAAATACATGATGTTACAAATTTGAGAGTAAATCTTTTAACTGAAACAAATTTGTCTCATTTGAACATTTTAAAATTTCGAATGTTGCTTTTGAAGTTTTCCTTGTTTTTATTTTGTAATGATTAGTATTAAATTCTTACAAATTCCTGAAATCAAAAGTAAAGTAAAATACATCATGTACATTAATTTTATTTACCTAACTAGAATATTAATTTATTTGGTGTACTGCCCCGTTTGCCTTATATATATACACATATTTATAACCTGTATGTATAACCATGGATGAATTAATTCATCCTTTGTATTATTACTGAAAACCTTGCTCTATCTACCTGAGTTCGGTCCAATTGAAATTGGAGCATGAAAATAAAAATAAATATTAAAGGGACCGTTCACTTATTTGGTTAATTTTAGGGTAAACTAAACAGTCTATTCGCTGTTGATAGGTAATAGTCTTAATTTTCAAAGACAACTGTGGCCGGAGAAAAAGCCGACTTTTCGTTCAGAATTTGAGCGGAAAGGGACGGTCCCTCTCTATAGACACATTTTGATGTTTTTTTCAGTATGTTGTGGATCAAAATAAATTTCGAATATAAAATTAAACTGTAGTATCTTATCGTTAATTGCAAATGTCATTATTTTTTTATTTTTTTGTTTTTTAACTTTCTATTTCTAAAATAACACTATTTTATCGCATTCAAATTTTGCATTGCCTGTGTAAAAAGCTGAATTGAACGCGGCATGACAAATGAAAAGTTGTGCACATGCGGGAACAAAATCTACAAAATCTACGAACCAAAATACGATTAATGATTAATTGATTGTCGTAGAGACGTCGTCTTTGTACACACATTTTACATGTTTTAATAAGAAAAACGTTCATTTCTTGCTAACTCAAATATCAAAAGTTTTCATATTTTAGTACATAATAACGAACACATAATGACATTAAAATATAATAAATTTGAATGTTATTGGGCTGCTGTTACTGAAAAAAAAATCAAATAGTGTCTAAAGAGAGGGACCGTCCCTTTCCGCTCAAATTCTGAACGAAAAATCGGCTTTTTCTCCGGCCACAGTTATCTTTGAAAAGAAAGACTATTACCAATCAAGAGCGAATAGGCTGTTTAGTTGACCCTGAAATTACCCAAATAAGTGAATTATTAAACATTTCATAATTTTATGATCAGGTCGTGCTGGGCTTATACACAATCCTCTCAGAGGCCTAACCATTGGAGAAAACTTCCCTGGGTATCCATCATCCCCGTGTAAACCAATGGATATACAAGGTAAACCAATGGGTATACAAGGTAAACCATTGGATATACAAAGTAAACCAATGGATATACAAGGTAAACCAATGGATATACAAGGTAAATCAAAGGATATACAAGGTAAACCAATGGATATACAAAGCGAACCAATGAATATGCAAAGTAAACCAATGGATATGCAAGGTAAACCAATGGATATACAAGGTAAACCAATGTATATACGAGGTAAACCAATGGATATACAAAGTAAACCAATGGATATACGAGGTAAACCAATGAATATACAAAGTAAACCAATGGATACGCAAGGTAAACAAATGGATATACAAGGTAAACCAATGGATATACAAAGTAAACCAATGGATATGCAAGGTAAACCAATGGATATACAAAGCAAACCAATGAATATACAAGGTAAACCAATGAATGTACAAAGTTAACCAATGGATATTCAAGGTAAACCAATGGATATACAAGGTAAACCAATGGATATAAGTTAAAATACTTGTTTAATAGATTTAAACATAATTGTTTTCATAAACCTATCTTTTTATCATCGCTTTTATTCATCTAAGATTTGCCCGCATTTATCAATACTCTAGCTATTGAACATTACTTTTTAAAGGGATATTTATTTACATTATGTTTTTTTTAAATCAGTTATATATCTTCTCTATGTTTAGGAGACAGTGACTTCAAAGGATATAGGGAAGCCTCTCAAACCGACGAGAAAAAAATCTATCTGGTTGATAGTGGTCTCAGCTTTAATCTACCATTCCCAACCCTTCTCAGGTATTTGGTAGATAGTGGTCTCAGCTTTAATCTACCATTTCCAACCCTTCTCAGCTATTTGGTTGATAGTTATCTCATCTTTAATCTACCATTCCCAACCCTTCTCAGTTATTTGGTTGATAGTGGTCTCAGCTTTAATCTACCATTCCCAACCCTTCTCAGGTATTTGGTAGATAGTGGTCTCAGCTTTAATCTACCATTTCCAACCCTTCTCAGCTATTTGGCTGATAGTTATCTCATCTTTAATCTACCATTCCCAACCCTTCTCAGTTATTTGGTTGATAGTGGTCTCAGCTTTAATCTACCATTCCCAACCCTTCTCAGGTGTTTGGTAGATAGTGGTCTCAGCTTTAATCTACCATTCCCAACCCTTCTCAGGTGTTTGGTAGATTGTGGTCTCAGCTTTAATCTACCATTTCCAACCCTTCTTAGGTATTTGGTTGATAGTGGTCTCAGCTTTAATCTACCATTCCCAACCCTTCTCAGGTGTTTGGTAGATTGTGGTCTCAGCTTTAATCTACCATTTCCAACCCTTCTTAGGTATTTGGTTGATAGTGGTCTCATTTTTAATCTACCATTCCCAACCCTTCTCAGGTATTTGGTAGATAGTGGTCTCAGCTTTAATCTTCCATTCCCAACCCTTCTCAGGTGTTTGGTAGATAGTGGTCCCAGCCTTAATCTATTATTCCCAACCCTTCTCAGGTGTTTGGTAGATTGTGGTCTCAGCTTTAATCTACCATTTCCAACCCTTCTCAGGTATTTGGTTGATAGTGGTCTCAGCTTTAATCTATCTTTCCCAACCCTTCTTAGGTATTTGGTTGATAGTGGTCTCATCTTTAATCTACCATTCCCAACTCTTCTCAGGTATTTAGTAGATAGTGGTCCCAGCTTTAATCTACCATTTCCAACCCTTCTTAGGTATTTGGTTGATAGTGGTCTCAGCTTTAATCCCAACCCTTCTCAGGTATTTGGTTGATAGTGGTCTCAGCTTTAATCTATCTTTCCAAACCCTTCTTAGGTATTTGGTAGACAGTGACCTCAGCTTTCATCTGCCATTCCCAACCATGCTTTAATCTACCTTTCCCATTAAATTCCCTATTGAATTTATTATTATTCAGACCAGAGCGCAATGTGATGCTTTATCTTGTATTTGACTACAGTAGCAGACTCACAGATCTCACGCAACCTTTTAAGGTAAGCATAATGTTTTCACTTTAAGGGTTCATTTTTGGATTATCTATTTAAGTGATTTGCGGACTTACGTTGCAGAAACAAGGATGGACATTTAAATAAATGAACAATTTTTCATATTTTTATTCGGATAAAGATTTATGGGCGAATACGAATCATCTCAGCTTAAGAGAGAATGGAGGAAATTGTCAGAATTTAACTCTTTTCATAACGTTTTTAAGGGAAATATCACTTGAAATTAAAAAAGGAGTTTACTGTGACTGTTAACGTAATTTCAAGTGCAGAGATTTTTTCTAGGTTTAAAATTGTTAAATTCTGATAATTTTATGTTTTCCTGCAGTAGAAATGCGCTAATCACATATATAGAGTCGAAGACATATTGAAACAAATCAGTATTAAAAGTTATAAACATTGATATCTAAATCATACTTGATCAGACATAGCTTTCAAGGGTACCGTTGTGAACCGGGCATGCCTTCTTTGCTTAGAGGGTCACTTTAATTTATAATTACAGTCCCTTTAATATATTTGATTTTCTACTTTAAAGTTTATACTACATAAATGAATTCTAATTACTAAAGGAAATCTTGTTGTCTGAGCAGTGGGCAAACCTTCATAAAATACCATTTCCTAGAATCAAGGTAATCCTTAAACACAATAATTGAACTAAGTATTGTTAGTTCAACTACTTCAAGGTAATCTTTAAACACAATAGTTGAACTAAGTATTGTTAGTTCAAGTTGAACTAAGTATTGTTAGTTCAATTACTTCAAGGTAATCTTTAAACACAATAGTTGAACTAAGTATTGTTAGTTCAACTACTTCAAGGTAATCTTTAAACACAATAGTTGAACTAAGTATTGTTAGTTCAACTACCTCTCTAATGTACCATGTCATGTAATTTTGCGGTCAGCTTCAAAACTGTTATAGTAAAATGGGCCCTATATTTTTGGAGACATTTTTAAAATCTCTGCAGGCGTACTGAAGGTTTTAGTTTTAACAAATCTTTATTCTGGCTAAAGTACAGTACAGTACAGTACAGTACAGTAAAGTTCATTCTTGTACTTTATAATAGCTAGACGTGAAGTTCATGGTCCAACACAGAGAGAGAAGTCTCAGTAATTAAATGGCGGGTGTTGGAGTAAAAGAATTGAGATACTGAAGCTAATATCTTGTAAACATAACATTGCCTTCTGAGGTGTTTGGGCTATTTTGGATTTCTTAAAACACCAACTAGCTGTCCTCTACCCTACCTTATGCATCCTGATGCATAAAAGTCAATTATCGTATTCGTAACTAGTTTAACTACCCTTGGCTCTATTCTACATTGGCCAAACTCCTAATTTTGATCTATGTAATAATACTAAGAAATGAATATAAACTATAAAGATTCAATGCACTGTAAAATGTCTAATTTTGATTTGTTTCCCGGTCTGAAATATCAATATATTTATATTATTTCTCTGTTTAAATGTTGTTTCTTCATGCATATAATAATGATAACTCTTCATAACATTATACTAGTTCATACGACCTTCAGAAACCTTTTTTTTGCAGGGGGGGGGGGTAAAATGCATGAGGATGGACAGAGGGAAGTAACATAATCTTCATAATCTTCAGCTTCATCTCTTTATCTTTTATATTTACGTACCGATAATCGAATATCAGTGTCCAAATTTAATGAATTTGAGCAGCCGCCTAAATCTGCCAAAAACCGGTTTCAATTGAGCGCCGGCTGAAATCTTGAAAAATTGAATACAATTTTAAGTGGACCAACCATATTTGAGCTGCGGCTCAAATTCTTTGAATTTGGTCTCTGGTTGGATATTTCCTCAGAAATTACCTAAAAAGGTATGTTCAATATTTGATCTCCCATAATTTGTTATATAGTCAAGAATGAAGGAGCTGGCGTCCCTTCCTCTAGAGGAGTGCTACGTGTTCAAGGTATATTTCAAATGTAAAACGGAATAAGTCTGCTGTTCTTATACTAAGGGTGGAACAATTTGACACTTTTTTGATATAAATGTTCAGATCTTTTCAGCACTTGTCTTAAAAGTTTCTATAAGAAAAAAGGAAACCAAAAATGTAAAAAAATGTCTTACTTTTAAATTCATTCAGCGCATCACGTTTTTGTAAAATTAAATCCCTAGTATAATCAAAAATATTTTTTAAAAATATGTCTATGTAGGTACAAGAAATTCGTCTTAAAACACTGAATTCAAAAATGTTAAAATCATAAAAATCGATTAAAAATTGAATAAGTTATATAGGCAAAAAAAGGGACTTTATAGCGGGAATTTGCCACAGTTCTCCAAAATAAAAGTTTTTTTGTCCCTAGATCAACCAATTTTCACTATTTCAAAAACCAACAACTGAAAAATATTTAGTGGTTAAAGGCTCAACTAACTTTAGACACCCATATCGGCATGTTTAGAAAAAATTGAAAAGTCGACCTCCTATAGTGATTGTTGATTTTTAAAAGTGCTTGCGCTGACCCATTTTTTTAAAAATAAAAAAAATGTCATAATGTTTCTTAAAAGTTTGATTGGACACTTTGTGCTACGTGTTGGTAATTTTTGAAGAAAAACAATTCATATTGCCCCAGGGTTAATCATACTTATGCGTAAGCCGTAAAATCCAAACTAGAGGAACTAGGAGGTAACAAACTTGTAGCAGTTATACCGCATAAATTCTACCCTCTTCTTCTGTCTTAGAGTGATATAGATAAATTGTATTATTTTGTACCAAATAAACAATCTGAACAAATATATCTGTTATTGTATTATATATCTAGGAACCTGATGAACCAAAGTGTACTGGTATTCTATTATATATCTAGGAACCTGATGAACCAAAGTGTACCTTCTATTATATATCTAGGAACCTGATGAACCAAAGTGTACTGGTATTCTATTATATATCTAGGAACCTGATGAACCAAACTGTACTGTTATTGTATTATATATCTAGGAACCTGATGAACCAAAGTGTACTGGTATTCTATTATATATCTAGGAACCTGATGAACCAAACTGTACTGTTATTGTATTATATATCTAGGAACCTCATGAACCAAACTGCCCTGTTATTGTTTTCTTTCCACTTGTTAACAAGGGATTCAAAGAATATTCAGCGCCCGGTGTTCCAAGGTAACAATGAACAATTTTGGTTCCAAGTTAATTTCAAATATAAATTCGTCACCAAAGTACATGGTCACATCATTTCTTGAAAATATTATTCAAAGATATAATTATAATATATGTCCAACTAAAGTAAATTCCAAATAAGAATGAAATCTTGTATTTGTTTAATCATCATCCTCTTATTAAAGAGCTAATAATACTGTCCCGGTCTCCCTTACATAGTCTGTAACTGTACTACACAGCTTGCCCTAGCTGATTAAAAGCCGGCCCGGTACTTGAAATGAACTGGAGTTTACAGTGAAGGTCACATTCGTCCCAGTAACGTCGCAAAAATTTTACCTTTTCCTTCTGTCCGTGAATTCTGTGAAATCTTTTCACAACCAATTGTTACTTTTAATAAAGTATTCAAAAAAATGTATTCGCTTAATATTTTATTCCATTTATGTTTCCATTTATACAATAATACATAAACTTGAACAGTTCAAATTTTCAGAATAATTATTTTAAGTACTAAATTTACATTTTTTAAAAATTATTATATTTTATAATGTTTTAGACTAACTGATGATGAAAAAGAATTTGGGAACTTTACAATATTTGATAATAATAGTGATTATGCAATTTGGAGGTAACTTTTTACTTTTAATTGGAGGTAACTTTTTTTATGTTGGAGGTAACTTTTTTACTTTAAATTTGGAGGTAACTTTTTTATTTTTATGTTGGAGGTAACTTTTTTATTTTTATGTTGGAGGTAACTTTTTTTATTTTTATGTTGGAGGTAACTTTTTTACTTTTAATTTGGAGGTAACTTTTTACTTTTTATTTGGAGGTAACTTTTTTTTAATTTTGGAGGTAACTTTTTAACTTTTTAGTTGAAAATAACTTTTTATTCTTATTATAGAGGTAATTTTTACTTTTTATTTGGAGGTAACTTTTTAAATCTTATTAGTCTGATTTAGAGTTAAAAATATTGTTATTTTTTTATGTTTGCACAAAACTCAGTAAACTATTAATATACAGGTTTATAAATTTAAATTCTTAAAATGAAGGTTTGTGTATTTGAATTCATGAAATGAAGGTTTGTATATTTGTTTGCATGAAATGAAGGTTTGTATATTTGTTTGCATGAAATGAAGGTTTGTGTATTTGTTTTCATGAAATGAAGGTTTGTATATTTGTTTTCATGAAATGAAGGTTTGTATATTTGTTTGCATGAAATGAAGGTTTGTATATTTGTTTGCATGAAATGAAGGTTTGTTTCATGAAATGAAGGTTTGTATATTTGTTTTCATGAAATGAAGGTTTGTATATTTGTATTCATGAAATGAAGGTTTGTGTACCCGAACCTGTCGTTTGACCGTCTGTGTAAGATGATGGAGTTCAATGTACTGAATAACCTTGACATCATCAAACAGGAAATAAAGAATTTTGCTTCCAGGTAAATTTATCAAAAATATTTCTTCTTTTTATTTAAAAGAACAGAGAATTAAAACTTATAAATTTAAAACACTTCTCTAACAAATAAGTAAAAATGAAATGTAGGCTTTTAGTTTACATTGTTTTAGTCTTGACCAAGGTATTAATGCAAGGAAAGTTAATTGCGGTCGCGTATACTCTGCGTACATATTGAAACCAGTTCTCTCTGGGCGGTGTTTGTAAACAAGAATAGTGTTCGTTAAGTATCCGAGGAGGTTAAAAGCACTTAATTTTGATAATTTTGATAATTCACATAATTGTTTCTTATGACGAGAATATTTCTTAGATTATTTTTGTTAAAATGGATTCCATGACAGGCTGTGACATCCGTCTTGTGTTTACTTTTCGTCCAAAGACAGTACACTGCAGTACAAAAATGCGTACACCTCTGAAATAACTTTCCTTGCATTAGTACCTTGTTTTTGAATTCAATCAAAATCTTTATTCAATTCTTCTATAATGATATATTTTTTACAGGTTTGAGATTGACTACTGAATTTTAATCATTTATTTGAATTGTTATTGTATACATCTTCCAGTTTGAATCATGTTGTTATGATATTCTTCCTTCATATTTCAGCTGTTTTTCTAATTCTACCTACAGTATATATATCGAAAGCAGTAGGCATTAAACTTTCTTAATTGATGCAGAGATATTCAAGCTTTACTTTTTTCTTTTAAAGGGACTGTACGCGTAATCTCAAGTGATCCTTCATGCAAAGATGATGACTTCCGATATTCAACAGTATCCTTGAATCCTTTAACTGGTTAATATAAATTATAAAAAATATTTATAATTTTTAAATTGATTATTTTTAATTGTGGTTTCACTGCAGAATTGACTTGCGCATTTCTACTGTAGGACAACATGTAGGAATTAAACCCTTTTAATTTTAGAAAAACTACAATATCTTCCCCTAGAAGACAAAGGTTTCAAGGGTACCGTTGTGAATCGAACATTGGCATCTTTGCATATAGGTTCACTTGAAAGTTCGCCTACAACCCCTTTTAGGGATTTTATCACCTATTACCAAATACACTAATCGCTGAATCGCTGAGCCTATCTATTAAGCATATATTCATGTTTACGAATATAAATTCTGTTTTTCATATTGCAAGAAAGAATGATTTATGCAATCTTAATAATTCTCATTGTTCGAGATTCCGAATATTTTCTGCGTATTTATTTGGAATGGTCATAAATTAAATTTATTATAAGTGCTCTTTTATAAAAGTAAATTGAAAGTGCTCAACCAAATTATTTGATTACACATTTTAGAAAATAAAATGAAAAGCCCATGGAATTAAAACAATGGAATGCATTTGTATAATTAACAAATTATTAAATTTATTTGCTTTGAAGTTTGAAATATTTTTGTTATATTTAAAGTTTGAACTTCAGAGTAATGTTAATCAAGCTCTCGGCTTACCTTAAAGTGACTGTACACACACTTTCAAGCGATTCTTAATGAAGAAATCCCAGTTGTTCTATATAACAATCAATACTTTCCTATAATGTGGTTTCTTAGTGACTCGATCTATGCTAAAGAGGCAACAATTGAAATTCATCGAATTTTTATTCAACAACTTTTAAGATAAAAACGACGCTTAACTGTGCTTAAAAATGAAGTTAACGAGTACTGATGTGAATCAGACATGCCTTCTTTTTAAAAGGCTCACTTGAAATTATGTTGACAGTCTCTTTAAATATTTAGACATAAATATACTCGCCCTTTATTTCTAAATACTCAAACATATACAATAAATAATTATCAAATAGAAAACTTATTTATGCAACAATGAAAAATCGGTTTAATATTTATTATGGTTCAAATACATTATTACTATTATGTTTAAAGAGAGTGACCGGTTATGTAAGGTAGAACTTTTTTACATGTTATGTCGTCGTTATTTAGTAATTTAAAAAAACTAATTCTGAAAACGTATCCACCCCCAAAGGCCAAAGTAGGAGTTTTGAACGTCGAATTTACGCTCAAACTCAGATTTACAGATCTTTAAAAAGTTTAATATGTCTCAAATGAATCCGAAAGAAGTTTTCCACAACACTGCATACTCAACGTTCAACTACCTTACATAGCAGGTCACTCCCTTTAATACAATTGTTAAATCTGCAAAATATTATTATTGCTACATAAATAAAAGATACAAGATTTTTATCCTAAACAGTATTTAAAGATGAATTGTTTTATCCTTATATATATATTATTCTATTTATCTATTAGTTTGTTAACTTAACTCTCTAAATATTACATTTAATAAAATGTTGAAAAAAAATAATTAAAATCTAGTTTTAACATTGTTTTCCGAGAAATAAATTAAATTCTATATTTTCTCTCAAAATTAATTAAATATAATGATGTGAAAAATATCCCTGGATTTCTTCAATTTGTTAAATACAAATTTAAAATCCAAGAATCGTCAAATTGGAGTCTGTTTTGTAGAAAATTTTTCAAATTTCCGTATGTATGTCTTATTTTATCAACAAAAATTTCTGTATCAATCTCTTGAATTTCAGGAGTTTGTATTTTTCTGGAGTCTGTATTTAGTAGCTTGTATTTCAGGCGTTTATGTTTCAGGAGGTTGTATTTCAGAAGTTTATATTTCAGGAATAATTGTAATTCAGAAGTTTTCATTTCGGGAGTTTGCATTTGTATTTAAGGAGTTTGCATTTCACAGGAGTTAGTATTTTAGAAGTTTGTATTTCAGGATTTTATATTTCAGGAGTTTGTATTTCAGGAGTTTATATTTCAGGAGTTTGTATTTCAGAAGTTTGTTTTCATGACTTAATATCTCAGGAGTTTGTATTTCAGGAGTTTGTATTTCAGAAGTTTGTTTTCATGACTTAATAACTCAGGAGTTTGTATTTCAGAAGTTTGTTTTCATGACTTAATATCTCAGGAGTTTATATTTCAGGAGTTTGTATTTCAAAAGTTTGTTTTCATGACTTAATAACTCAGGAGTTTGTATTTCAGGAGTTTATATGTCAGGAGTTTGTATTTCAGAAGTTTGTTTTCATGACTTAATAACTCAGGAGTTTGTATTTCAGGAGTTTATATTTCAGGAGTTTGTATTTCAGAAGTTTGTTTTCATGACTTAATATCTCAGGAGTTTGTATTTCAGGAGTATATATTGCAGTAGTTTGTATCTAAGAAGTTTGTTTTCATGAATGTATATTTCCGTCAATTGTCAGAAATAGAACTTTGTACTTTCAGAACAATTCACGAAATCTCTAGGTTTTGTTTGAATCTATTTGATCAAAAATTTCAATAATTTTCTTTATATTCCGATTCCCGGGAACTTTCTCCAGTGTCTGTCTCACAATCCTTGGATCTTTCCTAATACAAGTTTTACTTTAGTAAAAAGCAAGGTTGCATATGCGCTCCAATGTACATAAATGTCGTCTGTATTGCAATAGAGACGATCTAAATCATCACATGACGTCACTGATACTTAACTTATAATAGGGCGTGGCAATCGGATGTAGTATCCAATAAGTCGGTAGAAACCATTCAGTACGTTTAAGCCACCATATAAATGTTAACCACAAACCTTTAAATCCAGGGGGATGCACCGCAGTACAGTATTTGTTTATCTTACTTCGGATTTCATAAAACAATGTTTGATTTGAGGTCTTCATTTACATACATTTGCGTACTGTATGTACAGATTAAACCGTATTAGTGCATGACCTATTGGATTGGATCAGTGGAAAGTATAATTCCTTTTGTATACACATCATTCATCTCCAAACTATGCTTTATTCAGGACTAAAAATCATCACATTTAACAAATTTTGGTAGGGCTAACAAGTTTGCGGATAAAAATGCAATTCTAATTCAAGTTCTCAATTTTTAAATTCGTTTATATTTAGAGAGCCGCAAAATTTATTATTTTTATAAAATTACAGTGACATCATAGGATGATTTAAAGTGTCCATTGCTATAATGATCTCTTTTCCTACATTGGAGCACATCCAGAGTATCTAATCCTATGACCAAGGATTATGGAATAGAAGGGAGATACAACTGACGCGGCCTGCCCTACCATATGATTATGCGTGCTTTGCAGACGATACTTCATTTGCATAAGAAATATTTGTCTGATGTACAATTACCACGTATGCAATAACCTATTCTGAATATTTTTTACACAACTTGAGTACCCGTCTGTAAAGCATGTATAATCATATGGTAGGGCGGGCCGCGTCAGTTATATCTCCCTTCTATTCCATACTCCTTGCTTATAACACAACTTTGGTAGAAAGGGTTTCAACACGAACTGCAGTGATAAAAAGAAAAAATTTTAAATTTGCAATTTTTATAATGAATACCGCCCATTTGTTTATTTTTCGATATTCCAAAAATAGTTTCATTTATGGCGAAATAACTACATAGTTTTTTCGATAATTGGACATTTATCTTTTCAGGGTGTTTGCTTATAATAATTGCTCATTTCTTAAGGGATTTTTTCGAATTTAACTTTTGTGAACTTAGTGTTTTAAAACGGATATTTTGATTACCAGTTTGGTGTATTTTGACAAACTTTTTTTTCGGACTTGATTTACGCAAAAAAATCAAAAATCTTAGTAAGTTTTAAAATTATAAAAGTTAATTCTCCGATCTTTAATGTGTCCTTTAAAATGCTCTTTCTATAAAATATCCTTTCTATGAAAATCCTTCTAGAATATATATGGCCTTTCAATAAAATATTCTATTTATGAAATGTCATTTCTGTGAAATATCCTTTCTATGAAATGCACATACATATGTATATGAAATGTCCTATCTCTAAAATCTCCATGCTTTAAAATGTCCTTGTTATGAAATGTATTTGCTATAAAGAGGTCTTTCTATGAAATGTTTAACCTATAGAGTGTCTGATTAATATAAATAATATACCTGTAGAGTAATAATACTAGTTCTTGTCCAGCTTCCCTTACAATAGAACTAGTATGTTCTAGAGCTCCTAGGCTTAGCTTAGACAGGTTTCTTATACTCATTGAATCTTTTGGATCATCACTAAACATTCACATAATAAATACTTTTGGCAAATATGGCTAAGCAATACAGCGAAGCTTATGAAATTGTAAAGAAAAAAGACGAAATTTAAGAAATTTTACATCTGATGTTGTTGCAAGTAAGCTGGTAAACAGTGTTGCCCGTAGAGCGCTTGGAAATCAGATAATTTGGTGATATATCTCTGTTTACAGTGAACAATTGCTGTATTCATCGGACCTTTTAAAATCATAACTTAATTCTAGACTCTAGCTGTCGTCTTTCTATTTTACAGTTTTACGGGTCTCACTGTACAAAGAGAAACCTTAAACTATAAAATTTTCTTCTAAAAAAAAACAAAACACACGAGGCACGAAACGCCTTGATTTTTGTCATCATAAAGTTTCTTACCTAATTCCATAAAATGTGATTAGAAAAGTGACTAAATCAACTCTTATGCTTGTCACCTGAATCAGTTTACTATAGGAATTAAAACCAGAAAGAAAAGAAAAGGAAAAATGCCTTTAACCTTAGTGGGACAAGACTGATTAACATCAAAAGATAAAATCGTTTTTCTGGCTAGAAAAGTGTTGATTTCTAATCAAATCTGTTCATGAAAATTAAAGGGACAGACCAGCTATGTAAGGTAGTTGAACTGAGTATGCACTGTTGTGGAAAACTTCTTTCGGATTCATTTGAGACATATCAAACTTTTAAAGATCTTTAAATCCTGAGTTTGAGCGCAAATTCGACGTTCAAAACTCCTACTTTGGGGGTGGATACGTTTTCAGAATTAGTTTTTTTAATAAACGAAAAATAAAGTAAAAATTATACAGTAATCTAATTAGATGGTTAGGTACATATTTCTCCTAAAAAATTTGTCAATAAATTAATGCTAAAATCAATTATTTCGTTTTCATTATTATATTGAATTTCTTTTTTTCTTTGAATTTATTCGCAGATTTCTTCAAATTTTTCAAATGTCGTCTTTTCAATAATAATTCTAGAAAATCTGCGAAAATCTTTGTGAATAATGAGAAACCAGAATAATGAGAAAATAGAAACTAATAATTGAACAAGATTACTTGTTTTCGATGATAAGATAAATTTTTATTTTCTCAACATGTTCCTATATATGACGTCTGTAGTTTATTGTAGAACTGTTTTTACATTTTATGTCGTCGTTATCTGATAATTTAAAAATCTAATTCTGAAAACGTATCCACCCCCAAAGTAGAAGTTTTGAACGTTGAATTTGCGCTCAAACTCAGGATTTACAGATCTTTATATGTTTTACATGGCTCAAATGAATCCGAAAGAAGTTTTCCACTACCCTGCATACTCAGTTCAACTACCTTACATAGCCGGTCACTCCCTTTAAATGAAAATTTAGTTATCGAATAGGATAAAACATCAAAATAAAAAAGCACAGAAAAATGAAGGGATAGTACAAGTTTTGAAAAAATGTAGTGTCAAAAAACAATCTGCGGCTAGGATAGACTTGGGAAGTTGGCGCTTGGGGAAGTTGCCGCTTGGGAAATTGCAAATTTGGGAAGTTGCCTCTTGGGAAAATACCATTGAGAAGTTGCAGCTTGGGAAATTGCACATATGGGAAGTTGCCACTTGTAAAAATACCATTGGGAAGTTGCCGCTTGGGAAAAGGGTACCTAAGATCCCCTGTATTAAAGTGTTTAAAATCAACTGTTTACTGACCACAGCCAAGGATTTCTGTTGAATATCCTCTGTAAGTAGATCATCTAGAACAGATAGATGTTCTACCTCCTCACACTTTATTATACAGTGAATAGTATTCAGGGCTGCAGATTCAAAATCAATATTCAACACCAGAATTCAGAATTCAGCTTTTGCAACCAGCTCAAATTTTCTAATCCCTATATCTGTGCAACAGTTTGAAATATCTAAAGTTTATGACATTAGGTTGTAAAGATAAAGGGATTAGAAAATCAGAGATTGTGGCAAGGACTCAACTTCTTAGCAACATTTATCTATGTTTGCGACTAGGGCTGGGCGCGTTAACGGTGGAACGATCGTTCTTTGCCGAGAACGAACGGAACGATCAAGAACGATCCCATCGTTCCGAAAAAAAACGAACGCTTAGAACGCGTTCTTGAAAATATTGGAACTATTAGTAAAAGAACGGAACGGAACGGAACGGAACGGGAATTGCTTGAAAAGAACGGTTAAAATCGTTAACGCGTTCTTATTTTCAAGAACTTGTTTTAAGTTGGGAACGCATTTTAAATCAGGAATGTGTTCTAAATCATCTAGAAATAGTTAAAGATTTTTTATTTAATCACGGAACGGAACGGGAATACCGTTCTTCTACTCAGAACGGAACGGAACGGGACGGAACAGAACGAGAACGGAACGATAAAAAAAGAGGAACGAGAACGGAACGATTTAGCTGAAGGCCCTCGTTCTAGAACGGAACGGAACGATTTAAAAAAAGTCGGAACGTGCCCAGCCCTATTTGCGACCCGATGATGTAAACCTTTGATATTTCAACCTAAGCATATTTTATCTAACAGAACTTGTTGTTTGAAATAACAAATTTCTAACACCTCAGATTGTAGAGAGGATAACAAAATCAGAGTTTATAGTTGAGCCATCTCTATAGAGTTCAACCACTTTATGCTATTTATAAAATCTAGTCCTAAGGAGAGACAAGATTTCATTCTAACTTAATTATTAAAAAGTAAAAATATCAAACTATTTGATTTTGTATTCCTGCTTCTGCCACACGGGGTACATTTTCGGATGCCCTAAACAAGTTAATAAATTATTTTCTAAATTAACTAAATTCTGAAAGCATACTTAAAGGGAGTTTCGCCATAGTTTCACGTGACCCCCACTTTGTCACTTCGCATAAATTATTGGTCCCTAAACACCAAGGTTCTTTATTAAGGTTTGTTACTCTGGTTGCGCTCTAATGTACGGAAAATATAGTCTCTTCAGCATAGATGAAATCCTCATATGACGTCACTGATTATAGAGGCAAGCATGAAGTCATATGCGGAATTTATTTATCAATGCTAAGGAAACGACATTTTCCGTACATCGGAGTGGATCCAGAGTCACCAACCTTAATAACGAACCTCGCTAATTACTGATGGCTTTCCTTTCTGCAGATTTTGTAATAATAAATTTAAGGAAGAAAATGACCCGGATGTTCTCCGACATTGTTCCTTAACGTTTTAGATTTAATCTGGGTATATGATGTGAATTCTAGAAATCAGGTATTCAATAGCATACTATGTAACTTGGTTTCCAATGCAAGTGGATTTGACAAAATTAGAGGGTCTCAATGTTGATGCCAAGTAAATACATTTGAAATTCAAATAAACATTTATAAGGCTTACCCAAACTCTCTAAATATAATCAAAGTTGCGGCATACGCTACTTGTTTATTACAGTTTTTTAATATATTGGTAATTTAAGAATATGAACTGCAGAGTTTCACCTCAACATTAATATAGAAAACAGTTCTCTTGTTGTGGAGGTCAGCAGGCTTTGATCAATAGAATTATCAATCACATCTAGTATAATAAATAATATATAGAATAATAACTAGAATAATTATCTAGAATAACAATATCTAGAATAATAATATCTAGAATAATGATATCTAGAATAAAAATATCTTGAATAATGACATCTAGAATAATAATATCTAAAATAATAATATACGGGAATAATTATATCTAGATTAATAATGTCTATAATAATGATATCTGGAATAATATCTAGAAGAATAATATCTAAAATAATAATATCTAGAAAAATAACATCTAGATTAATAATGTCTAGAATAATAGTATCTGGAAAAATGATATCTAGAATAATATTATCTAGAAAAATAACATCTAGAGTAATAATATCACGAAAAATAACATTTATCCTCCCAGCTAGCTTTTATGTCTAAATTTGCTTTTTTATAATATTTTCTCCATTCCGATTAGCAATTTCTCAAAATTAATCCCAAACAAGTAATACAACATAAAATTTAATCATTCTGTTTAAAGAAGATATCTGTACCTTGGTATAGTTTGCATGTGATATCACAAGCTGTTTGGAACACAGAGGCTATTTTATCCTTGAGAAGGAACACAAGAACCTGGTGTGTTCCTTTTACCAGCTTTCTTTTGGAACCTGGGGCAAAATTTACTGTGAAAAAACATTAAAAAAACAGTGTGAATTCTAGCATTAATGTTTTTGTCCATTAATAAAAAAAGTTCTAAAATAAAACTAAAATTAAATTTACTGCACAAGATTTCTCAGACAATGGTTAATGTAAAAAAACGAATGCACCGAAAATTACCAGGCTATTGTATTTTTAGAAAGGAAATATTAATCTTGTTTAGTTTTCAGAGAATATACTTTTCATTTTAGGGAGAAAATATAATAAATTTTTAGTGTGGAATTATATGAAGAAATGTGTAGAGTGTAGAGTGTAGAGTGAAGAGTGTAGAGTGTAGAGTGTAGAGTGTAGAGTGTAGAGTGTAGAGTGTAAAGTGTAGAGTGTAGAGTGTAGAGTGTAGAGTGTAGAGTGTAGAGTGCAGAGTGCAGAGTGCAGAGAGTGTAGAGTGTAGAGTGTAGAGTTTAGAGTTTAGAGTGTAGAGTGTAGAGTGTAGAGTGTAGAGTGTAGAGTGTAGAGTGTAAAGTTTAGATCGTAGAGTGTAGAATGTAGAGTGTAGAGTGTAGAGAGTAGAGTGTAAAGCGTAGAGTGTAAAGTGTAGAGTGTAGAGTGTAGAGTGTAGAGTGTAGAGTGTAGAGTGAAGAGAGTAAAAATACCTTTCTCAGCGTTCTTCTCGAATTTGTATTTGAATTCCTCTAATACTGTTTGCCTAGTTTTTATTCAATTTACAATATCAATATCTGAATTTTGAGGAAACAGAAATATTTGTTAAAACATAAATTCAGGGTTAAGTGATCATAATTGACCCTCTAATTATAGAGTGACATTAAGTGTAAACATAATTGCTGTTAGTTAAAATAAAAAAGCATGCTTGATTTACAACGGTATCCTTAACCCTATTCCGACTGACGTCTAGTTAACCCGGATTAGAATGCAATTGCTTTTTTTGAACTTTCAGAAGTTTCCACAAAAATTTGAGAAATGTTACTATTGGAGATTAGGGTTTTAAGTTCTACAATTAAAACACAACTTCAGTTATTGCCATTTTTGGTGAATTTAATATTATTTAATACCTCAACTCAATTTTCACATTTTTTGTTAAACAATCATAGATTAGATCTTCTCCGTATAGATTTAGAGCAACTTTTAGGACTTTCTTCTGATCTAGGGAGAACTTCTTCTTCTCTAGAATAATAAATGTTGTGGTTAGCATTAAAGGGACTGTTATATGTATTATATTGTGATTGGTTAGCTTTAAAGAGACTGTTATATATGATTTAGTCGATAATTTATTTAATTTTGTAGAACACTGTGAAACTATCTATAATTTATTCTCCACAATAATGTATAGACGAGGTATAGTTAAAACAAGAGCTCCAGAAATGTCCTATTTGTAGAAGTGTCCTGTTTTTTAAATGTCCTTTCTATGAACTTTTTTGTCTATGAAATGTCTTCTATGAAATGTTCAATGCATGAAATATCCTATCTGTAAAATGTCCTGTCTATGAAATGTCCTGTATATGATTTATCCTATCGATGAAATATCCTATCTATGAAATATACTATCTGTAAAATGTCCTGTCTATTAAATGTCTTGTATATGATTTATCCTATCGATGAAATATCCTATCTATGAAATATCCTATCAATGAAATGTCCTGTCTATGAAATATCCTGTCTATGAAATGTCCTGTCTATGAAATATCATATCTATGAAATATCCTATCTATTGAACTATTCAATCTATGAAATATCCTATCTATGAAATGTCATATTAATGAAAAAAAACCAATCTATGAAATATCCCATCTATGAAATATCCTATCAATGAAATATCATATCTATGAAATATCCTATCTATTGAATTATTGAATCTATGAAATATACTATCTGTAAAATGTTCTGTCTATGAAATATTCTGTCTATGAAATGTCCTGTCTATGAAATATCCTATCTGTGAAATATCCTATCGATGAAATATCCTATATATGAAATATCCTATCTGTGAAATGTCTTATCAATGAAATATCAAATCTATGAAATATCCTATCAATGAAATATCCAATCAATGAAATATCCTATCAATGAAATATCATATCTATGAAATATCTTATCTATGAAATATTCTATCAATGAAATATCCTATCTATGAAATATCCTACCTATAAAATATCCTATCAATGAAATATCAAATGCATGAAATATCCTATCTCTATGAAATATCATATCAATGAAATATCCTACCTATGCAAAATCCTACCTATAAAATATCCTATCAATGAAATATCAAATGTATGAAATATCCTATCTATGAAATATCATATCAATGAAATATCCTACCTATGCAAAATCCTATCTATGAAATATCCTATCAATTAAATATCCTATCAATTAAATATACTATCTATGAAATGTCCTTTCTTACAAATGTCCTGTCTGTGAAATATTTTATAGCATGAATCCTGTCTATAAAACACTATATCTGGAAGTCCTATCAATAAAATGTTCTATCCATGAAATGTCCTATCTATTAATCTACAAAATGTCCCAACAACATATTTTTAATTTCTATTTATCAAAGTAAAATAAATCTGGATTTTAACTCTAATTTCTAAAACTTATTACTTAGACTCATTTTTAGACAGGGATTAACAAACATTTCAATGGTTTTCACGGGAAATATAATTTCTTGAAATAATATTATGAATTTATGAATTTATGAATAACTTTGCTTTGACAGAACATATTTTCCTTTATTCCTATTTTGAAAAACATAAATTTTTAAGAAAATATTTCTCGGACAAAAAATAATTTCTATTTTAAAAATAATCTTTAATAAAGAATCTTTCGTCATTTCTCTTAAATATATTTTAAGAGAAAACAAGAGAAGTTTATAAGGGTTTTATGAAAAACTATTCTGCAGGGTTTTATTGAACAAAAAATCCGAAGTAATACTTTGCATTTATGTGTAAGCCTTTACGTTAAAGGATATTTGTATCCAGAGGTACGTCAAAACTTATGTTCTGAGCTAAATTCTGTAAGTTTTCATCGCGCGCTGGGTTTCGAAAAAATCCAAGAGTAATCGCTCGGAAAACTAAAGATAAGTCAGCTGATTTATCACAGGATTCCTGTGCAGCAAATTGGCATGAGTCTTTGCTACAAACTCAAAATGTTAGCTTTGTAACCTGATGATGTAAAATTTCGATCATTTGATCTTAAATATTGATAGTTTGAAATATCTAAGGTCTGATTAAAAAATCAAAGTTTGTAGCAAAGACTCAATTTCTTTACCTTGTTTCTGAAAATACTTGTCGTTCTCCTGATCCTGGTTTGTATCTTCATAATCTCTGAAAACAATAATTCTGTAAAAACATAAATATATCTTTTCTTTTCTTCAAAGCAAAAAATAAAAAATTGAACCGTGCACATAAATAGGACAGAAATAGGCCACAAATAGGACAGAAATATGACACAAATAAGATGCAAATAGGCCACAAATAGGACAGAAATATGACAGAAATATGACACAAATAGGACACAAATAGGACACAAATAGGACACAAATAAGATAAAAATAGGACACAAATAGCACACAAATAGGAAACAAATAGGACACAAATAGGACACAAATAGAACACAAATAGTACACAAATAGGACACAAATAGGACACAAATAGGACACAAATAGAACACAAATAGTACACAAATAAGAAACACACAGCACACAACAGGACACAAATAGGACACAAACAGGACAAAACTAAAACAATAATAGAAAACTAGTAGGACACAATTGAGACAATAATAGAACACTTATAGGACACAAATAGGACACACTATTAGGAATCGAAGGTTAATACTTTTGTGTTTGATCTCGATATATTCAGTGACATCTTTTGAATTCAATGGATAAAAACTTGATCCCTCAACTCAATTAAGTTATCCTCCCAAAGATATTAAAGAAGAATTAATTTATGGTGTAAGATTAACTGCTAGATCCTGGGATTAACGATACAAAAGTTTTGACCTGAATCAAGTAAAGTTTTATGAATAACATTTATTTGTCTAAACTCATGAACCCCCACCATTGCATATTTGCAGGAATAAAACCCAAATTTGAGGACTAATTAAAAATGTGCACGCTCCTGAATCACATGCAAAATATTTCTTTTTGAATAAATTTTCTTGCAGATTAAACATGCAGGGTCTGGATAGACTAACCATGCTGGGTAAATAATAACTGGCATTCTTTCTATTAATCAATCTATTCAATAACAAAAGATTTGGTTTCGATAATATATAACTCAAAAAGTGACAAAATACAAGTCTTAATAGACGACATGAGGATGATAAGGGACTGTAAGGGTAATTTCAAGTGACCCTCCATGAAAAGTTGGCAATGCCCGATTCACAACTGTACCCTTAAAAGCTTTGTCTGATCAAGTATGAATTAGATAGAAATGTTTATATTTGGAAATTAATTATTTTCAATTACATATTCTCTACCAAAGTGACTTCCGCATTTCTACACATTGGAATTATTTAAATAGTTAAAGATTTAAAACCTAGAAAAATCATTATTGATCAGGTAAAGGCTTCAAAGTTACTGCTGTTAATCGGGCATTGCATTGGACTATTCTATACAAATTTCATGCCAATAAAATGCCAGATATTATCCGAAAGATGCCATGAAACCTACATTTCAGCATACTCAATAGATGTAGGCTCTATTTGTTCCTCTGCCCATTTACGGGCAGGAGTCGGAGATCGATAGATAGGTTCCGGGATCGGAGTAGTTGACCGAGATATTTGCGGAGTTGGGGTCTTTGATTCTCTCTCTCGTACATAATCCTTGCCGTAAAGGAAATCTCGTTTTGGAACTAAACAAGACGTAATTAGTAAAATCAGGAATATAAAAAGTGTATTGCAGTGGAATAGGTTGAAGTTATGATTTTAAATAGTTAAATTTTAACTTTAGCCAGGCCTGGCATATGCAGAAGTTTTTGCAGGTGGGCTTGCATATTTTTTTCTTTCAAGCACCCATTGGGGTCTGAAAAATTCCCTTAGCCCACCCCCCTGTATATGCCTCTCATTACAACAATTGTACAATGTTTACGATTATTTTGATTTAAAGCTGTTTCTAAAAATAAATTTTTATTATACAGGGTGTCCCAAAAAACATTGGAATTGATTGACGAATTCGATATCGTCTTTTTTAGATAATTCTTTGATTTAGCATAGTGATACCTACTGAGAAAGCTGTAATCTGTAAGAGTTTCGTCTGCTATGTTCACATTTTGTTTGTTTATGTTTTGACTGCATACGGTTGTACTTAGTAAAACAAGAAAATTGCAGTATACAAACAGAGTAAACTTGTCCGTCTTCACTGTTCATCTTGCGGAGATATTATAGACACAAGACACATCTTTACAGTCTTTCACCCTTTTCATAAAATAAACTCTAGCAGACATAATAATATTATGGCTTTTGAAATTAGGTATTACAATGCTAATTCATAACAAAGACGATATCGAATTTGTCTCTGAATTCCCATGTTTTTGGGACACCCTGTAGCAACAGCATTTAAGATTGTTTTAATGTCGTCTTCCTATTCCATAGTTGAATGGGCCTCACAGTAGATGATTTATGCGTTAAGAATTATAAACAAACCTTGTCTATGCTCAATGCATGGTTATCCAGTTCTAATTTTTTTAGATCAACTTATTAAACCTTTTCAGGAAATACAACTTTATGAGCTAGGTTTGAATTAAACCTGGGCAATCTTTAAATTTTAAAAGATTCTTGATCGGTGGTTAAAATTTGAACTACTTAACTCAATTCATTAAATTCGGTCACTGAAGTAGCAGTAATTAAAATAGTTAAGGATAGTTAAACTACTGAGCAGTGCAGAGTTCTAAACAAGGTAGCTCAACTAGCTGTATCTAGTTGAACTAGCGTATCTAGTTGAACTCGCTGTATTTAATTGAACTAGCTGTATTTAGTTTAACTAGCTGTTTCTAGATGAACTAACTGTATCTAGTTGAACTAGCTGTATCTAGCTGAATAAGCTGTATCTAGTTGAACTAGCTGTATCTAGGTGAACTAGCTGTATCTAGTTGAACTAGCGGTATCTAGGTGAACTAGCTGTATTTAGTTGAACTAGCTTTGAAAAGTTGATCTAGCTGTATCTAATTGAACTAGCTGAATCTAACTAAGCTGGCTATATCTAGCTGTATCCAGTTGAACTAGCTGTATCTAGCTGAATTAGCTGTATAAAGTTGAACTACTTTTCTTTAGTTTACCTGGGGGTAAGGATCTGGACCTATTCATTTTATTCCCTGAGTCGGCAGAATCCAGAGGTTTTCGGAGAATCAGAGGAGATAATTTGGCCACCCGACCCTCTTCATGCAAACCTTGATAAGAGTTTTAAGGGATCTTATTAATAGATCTACTAAAGGGATCTACTAAAGGGATCTACTAAAGGGATCTACTAAAGGGATCTATTAAAATGATATTAAAAGTATCTCCAAAGGGAACTACTAAAGGGATCTACTAAATGGATCTACTAAAGGGATCTATTAAAATGATATTAAAAGTATCTCTAAAGGGATCTAGTAAAGGGATATACTAAAAGGATCTACTAAAGGGATCTACTTCAGGGATCTATTAAAGCGATCTATTAAAATGATCTTTTAAAAGTATCTTTAAAGGGATCAACTAAAGGGATCTACTAAAGGGATCTACTAAAGGGATCTACTAAAGGGATCTACTAAAGGAATCTTCTAAAGGGATCTACTACAGGGATCTACTAAAGGGATTAGATCCCTTTTAATATATCCCTTTAGTAGATCCTTTTAATAGACATTTTAATAGATCCCTTCAGTAGATCCCTTTAGTAGATCCTTTAAATAGACATTTCAATAGATTCCCTTTAGTAGATCCCTTTAGTAGATCCTTTTAATAGACATTTTAATAGATTCCCTTTAGTAGATCCCTTCAGTAGATCCTTTTAATAGACATTTCAATAGATCCCCTTTAGTAGATCCTTTTAAATAGACATTTTAATAGATCCCTTTAATAGAAACTTTTAATAGACATTTTAATAAATCCCCTTTAGTAGATCCCTTTAGTAGATCCTTTTAATAAACATTTTAATCGATCCCCTTAGTAGATCCCTTTAGTATATCCTTTTAATAGAAATTTCAATAGATCCCTTTATTAGATCCTTTTAATAGACATTTTAATAGATCCCTTAGTAGATCCCTTTTAATAAACATTTTAATCGATCCCCTTAGTAGACCCTTTTAGTATATCCTTTTAATAGACATTTCAATAGATCCCCTTTAGTAGATCCCTTTAATAGATCCTTTAAATAGACATTTTAATAGATCCCCTTAAATGTCTATTAACCCTATTCCTGCTGGGGGGGGGGNGTCTAGTCTAGTATGGTTTATAGTCTAGTCTATTCTAGTATGGTCTATAGTCTAGTCTAGTCTAGTATGGTCTAAAGTCTAGTCTAGTCTAGTATAGTCTATAGTCTAGTCTAGTCTAGTATAGTCTATACTCTATAGTCTAGTCTATTCTAGTATGGTCTATAGTCTAGTCTATTCTAGTATGGTCTATAGTCTAGTCTATTCTAGTATGGTCTATAGTCTAGTCTAGTTTAGTATGGTCTATAGTCTAGCCTAGTCTAGTATGGTCTATAGTCTAGTCTATTCTAGTATGGTCTATAGTCTAGTCTCAACGATAATATATATATAGATATGCAGACAGGTATAAATTTAGAGGTCTTCAGAAAATGTGCAAAAAGCACCATCTATGTCGTACGCATGGCATTTTATCCTCTGGATTGTTGCTAATTTATCACTTTGTTTATGCGTGATAACACTAAATGCGTACTATAGTATCAACAATGTATACTGCATATTGTACTTAATGAAACAAATTAATCAATGCAAATAAAACTGAGGTAGGAGTTTGACTAGACAAAGTTTATATGTGCAAGTTGTACTGAATGGCATACGTAAATTAACGCAATTTAAATAAAAATTATTACTATAAAAGTACATCGAATCTAGGACAAAGTACAACTGATCTGATCATAACATAAACAAAACGCGTACTGTATGTTTGTGTTACCTTGAAATTTAATTTTATTGGTCAAACAGGTCCAGATAGCAACACTTGAACTATACAAAACACAAAAAGCGTACTGTATGTTTATATAACACAAATGCGTATTTCCTCCAGATAGCAGAAAGGGGAGAAAGGAATATAGAAAGTAATCAATTTGCTATAGATGTCTCTTTTTGCACATTTTCTCAGAGGTTCAAAAATTAGTTGTCTGCTACAGGCAATTTAGGAAGGAGGTTTCTACCTGCCTGCATATCTATATATATATTATCTTTGTCTAGTCTATTCTAGTATGGTCTATAGTCTAGTCCATTCTAGTATGGTCTATAGTCTAGTCTAGTCTAGTATGGTCTGTAGTCTAGTCTAGTCTAGTATGGTCTATAGTCTAGTCTATTCTTGTATGGTCTATAGTCTAGTCTAGTCTAGTATGGTCTATAGTCTAGTCTAGTCTAGTCTAGTATGGTCTATAGTCTAGTCTAGTCTAGTATGGTCTATAGTCTAGTCTATATTCAGCAGGATGATATTATATTTACGATGTTCTAATTGGTTTCCTTACATTTCAAGTTAGCCTCCATGCAAAGATGACCGATTTACAACGGTAACCTTAAAACCTTAGTGTGATCTAAAAACGTGGAACAAGCCTCGAAAACGTGGAACATGCCTCGAAAACGTGGACCAAGCCTCGAAAACGTGCAACAAGCCTCGAAAACGTGGAACAAGCCTCGAAAACGTGGAACATGCCTCGAAAACGTGGAACAAGCCTCGAAAACGTGGAACAAGCCTCGAAAACGTGGAACAAGCCTCGAAAACGTGGAACAAGCCTCGAAAACGTGGAACAAGCCTCGAAAACGTGTAACATGCCTCGAAAACGTGGAACAAGTCTCGAAAACGTGGAACAAGTCTCGAAAACGTGGAACATGCCTCGAAAAACCCGGAAAAGTGTCTATTCTCGGTTGCTTCTAATAAGCAAGGAATGCGCAAGTCACTTTCGCAGAGAAACCGCAGATAAAGATGAACAAAAACTTTGATATGAAATTCATGCTTGATCAAAATTAGCTTTCAAGGGTACCGTTATAATTTATGCATTGTCCTTTGCATGGAGGGTCACTTGAAATTATACCAATGTTATAAAACTCATGAATAACGATGATATAAAATTAACTTATTCTGGATTTCTAAATAATATATAAGCTTTCTTTTCAGGAAGCAAGTATTAACGTTTTTTTAAATCATTGCATTGTTCGGTTTCCATATCAAATATTAATACTTAAATGAAAGTATAAAACCCAAATGTTCAACCTCAAAACAGCTGTCGTAGAAACAGTGTCCACTTATTTTTCATAGAACATAAAAAATGTTCATATAATTGTTAATAAAAATGAGAAAGAAGAATGTCCCTAAATATGGTTATAAAAAAATCAAAGAAAAATTCTAAGTAAGACAATTTTTAATATTGATTTAAATTTCGTGTTGCAATACAACCTGTAGAAAACCTTCTATAATTAATATACAAATTCTATTTTTAAACAAAACCAAAGATGACTATACTATGAATTCGTCCAAAAAAACTTTAGAGTAAAAGACTGGAAAAGGTGTCCGATTTACAACGGTACCATTTCAAAAGTGCCTAACTTGCTCCATTACTTTAATAGCAAGAAATGTGCAAGTTACTTATGCAGAGAACCAAATGAAAATAAACAGTTTTAAGAAACAAAAACCATGAATATTCATTCATAATTAAACAGACAAAGCGTTTAACCCTATCTCTGCTGGGGTACTTGAAAACCAGGATATGCGGGGGGGGTCAATTTGACCCCCCCCCCCTCTAAATCCCATGTTTGATGTCCAAATATGACAAATGATACATCATTGGAAAGCTCTTGTTCTCTACTTCTAGAATCTGCAAAAAAAATTTCAAATTTGCAAAAATTGAATTTTTTATCGCAAAATCCAGTTATAAAGTAAAAATGTTTGCAAAAAAAATTTCTCCAAAAAATGAAAAATTATACATTTTTGAAAAGCCCTTGACCATGCCATTTCAAATATGCAAAAAATTTGCAAAATTTTAAATAACCTGATTTTTAATCAACGTTGTAACTTGAGTATTTCCATCTTTTTACGAAGGGTCACTAGAAATACGCTTACAGCTCCTTTATACATGTTTTATACAGTCATCTTTGATCATTAATTTACTATGGACCAAAAGAGCTTTATTCTAAGTTTTATTAGAAAATTGTAGTAGACAATTTTGTAACAATAATATTGTTTGTATTGAAACATTTGGTCAGCAATTTGATGATTCTTAATCTAGAATTGAATTGTATGTATCTATAACATACTACGTAAATCATGTTTAATTGCAGTTAATTACGGTTCATATTAATGATTTCTGTACAATTCCCCCCCCCCCCTCAAATCAACATGGGGGGGGGGGAATATCTACAATATCATGTATTATAAATGTATTTTACCTCTTCTATCATTAACTGCATTTGTCCCTATCACAATAAGAAACCATTATTTTCTTTCATAAGATTTATTTAAATAAAATATTTGTATGCATACATAATAAGATTAATATGTGTCATTCAAAAGTGCAAAAATTGATTCAAAATTGAATTTTTGAAATTTTATATGAAATGACCCATATTTAAAACATGATAATAAATTATTTGAAAACAAACAATGCTCAAAAAATAAGAATAAAAATCAACAGATAAAACTTTTTCAAGTGGCTTCATAAATCTGAGTTTAACAAATTTAAAAAATTGCATGTTTTAACTTTTAAAAGGTTTCTTTTCTTCGCTTTTTTAAATCGTTCTATCCATAAATCTATATTTTCTTCGGAGTCAAAAGCAAATTTGTTTTTCGAGAATATAATTTTGAAACATGATTGTGCTCAGAAATTTTTGAATTGAAAGCCAACACTGATCTGATAAATACCCAGCACAAATTGTAAGTTTTTAAAATAGTTAAAACTAATGTAAAAGACAGATGAGGGCCAGTTTATACTTAAAATGTTAAAACTCATTGTGAGAATTTTTTTCAGGTTTACCATGTATAAAAAGGTCTCAAAGCCAATTTTGTTTCTTTTTATACATATCTGATCAACAAATCATTATTTTTGTACTAGGACGATGTTGAAAAATAAAATTATTTTGAACAATTCTAAATAATGCCTTTGGGAGTAAAGGAGAACTTATAATTTTTATTAATAAAGTACTCTAATACTAAAACTTTTCTATTAAATTGAATTGAAAAAGCAACCTGGGAATACAATGAATTCTCAGATGTTTCAAGTAAATTTAATATTATTTCTCTAACTTTTCATTTCTATACATGCAGAGTATATAAAAAGATAAGGAAGAAAACAAAGAAAAAACACAAATTACAAAGATATTTAACTTTAATGGTTTCTTGACCCACCCTGTATTTCCAGAAGATCTGTTATCTCCAGGCTTTTATATACTTCCACCCTGTAAAGAAATAAATTTAATTAGATCGACATTCTTTAAGTGTACATTTACAAATTATCTTTTTTACACATAACTAGACTTTTAGGGCGCTTCGCGCCCATCTTCTATTTAAATTGTGAACATGTTCTTTTGGTTTACATTTTAAAATAAAGAAGAAAAATATTTTGCGGATTTTTAAAAAAAAATTCGCGGATTTTCAAGAATTTAAATTTTTTTACAAAATTAAAAACCTTTAAAACACATTCTTTTAATTCTTATCATTCATAAACCTTCCCTGTGGTCACGTGATGTCCCACAAAAAATTTGGGCCCGATCGGTTCAGACGTTTTGACGTTTATTGGATACAAACAAACAGACACACAAACAACCAGACAGACAAGCCAAATTTATATATAGATAAACCATAATCAGAGTTTTGTTTGCCTTTTTTATTTGACAAGAACATTTTCTTGGTATTTAAAAAACGCTTTTTGTTTATTTTCTTGTGATTTGTTAACACTTTTAAATATTAATTTTGGTGGTTATTATATCGTTAGAACTGAAGAGGGTAAACCAAGACCGAAATATATTTTCAAAAAACGAGGAACTATCATAATTCCTCTTTTTGAAGAGCTATTGAGAAGAACAAAATAATTTGAATTAATGGCAAGCAACCGAATATATTTTCTTCTCTCATGTTTGTCTGTAAAATCAAACCTAGTGTCGTGCCGGTAATTTACAGTTAGTAAGAAGAAATAACCAACAGGGTCGTTTGTCAGAAAAAATGTCGAGCTTTTAAAGAAAATTTCGGACCTGACTTCAAACGGACTTCCCAATTTTCAGCGGTACATAAACATTTATCTGTTAAAGAATGAACAGAAAATCCAGTGTTTTCCAATTGTTGAGATTCTTTTGTTTTCTTTAAATTTTTTTTAGATTCACGGAATTTCATAAGATTTTCACTCTACTGGAGACCAACGCGACGGAGGGATTTCATTTTCATTGGAGGGGTTTGACAAATCGTTATTTATTATTATTTAAAACTTTATGCAAGGTAATTTACATTCCACTGGAGGGATTCAGATATCCTTCCTAGGGGTTTAATATTCCAATGGAGGAATTCAGATATCCTTCCTGTGGGCTTATAAATCCATTGGAGGGATTCAAATATCCTTCATGTGGGCATATAAATCCACTGGAGGGATTCAGATATCCTTCCTGTGGGGAATTCAGATATCCATCAATGGAGTTATAATAATTCCACTGGAGGGATTCAGATTTCCTTCCAGGGTTTTTTCATTCCACTGGAGGGATTCAGATATATAGTCAGCGGGTTTATAATTACACTGGAGGGATTCAGATATATATCCAGGGGGTTAATAATTACACTGGAGGGATTCAGATATATATCCAGGGGGTTACGCCAAACACAATTCATCTAAACAAATTAGTAATATTATTAGCGTTGCCCGTGGAATTAAAAAACGAATCGGAAAAAAAAATATGATTTTTGAAGAAAAAAATTCGATTTTTTGCCTATGACTCTGTTAAGTCCGGTTCATTTAGAGAACAGGGCCTACAACTAACCAGCTAGCGAGCTGTACATACAGTAGAAATGCAGATTATACCAGGAAAAACGGGACTGTACACCAGATGAACTATATAGTCCCTTCAAGTGAAATTCTTGTGAAGTTACCCCCATGGCACCCTCGAGTTTCCTCAAAAAAATTGATTCGGTCCAGCCGTTTGGCCAGCTATGGCTACATATACGTGCATTCATTTATATACATACACCCCTAATATATGTACATGAGCGAAGAGGTTTATCATATAGATAGACCAAATAGATTGACAACCTATTTGGATAGATGAATAAATAGACAATGTAAATAGATACAAGGTTATAATGCAAGGAAAGTTATCTCAGAGGTGTACGCATCTTTTGTACTGCAGTGTACTGTCTCTGGGCGGTAATGTAAACACAAGAGGGATGTCACAGCCTGGCATGGGATCCATCTTTCACATAAAAGATCAATGAAATATTCTGGTCATAGGAAACTATTATGTGAATTTTCAAAATTATCAAAATTTAATGCTTTTAACCTCCTCGGATACTAAACAAATAGATCAATAGATAGATAAATCAACTGATGAATAGATAGATTTAGTTAAATATTTTTAAAGCTTCTAATATTCTAAAGCTTTATTTCTTTGAGTTCTAAAGATCTCATGGAATCTTAAAGAAGAAGAAAATATTTTTGTGTGAAATGTTTTCATTTTGATTTGAAACAAACAAGAAAATTTTTAAATCCCGGCAAAAAGTTGTTTGCACTTAAAGGGAGTGTTCGCGAAAAATGAAAGGGGGTATAGGCTTACGGCGATAAATAATCTACGTTCTTCGGTATGAGACATTTTTAACAATTTTCTCATTATAGACGCAACAGATAGAAGAAAGATTAATAGCGATCAAAAGCGATTATTTATCGCCGTAAAGCCTATACCCCCTTTCATTTTTCGCGAACACTCCCTTTAATAATATGATAATACCCATTACAATTTGACATAAATAGACAAAAAAAAACTTCCAATCATTTTCTTCCTTACAAGGTGGGTAATACAGTGGAAGCCATAAAACTCTGGAATAGAATGACGACATTTCAACGATCTTATGTGTATGTAGTGAAATGGCACTGAATACACTACACAACTTTTGTTTTTTATGTACATTGGCCTATTTAATATCATATGTTGAATACAAAAGTTGTTTTGCTATAACACAGTTGTGATGGGTCTCTTTGTATATTATTCCAAGAGCAATGTTGAATTTTGATTAAATAAAAAAATGAATCTTTGTTAAGAACATTTATATAACCTTGACCTGTTCTCGAACCAGTTTAATCGATTTATATACTTTTGTTTTAAATTACTTAACCGCCATTTTGTAGATTTTTTAAATATTATTCTGTGAACCCAAGTTAATATGAAAATAAATTAGAAAGACACTTAATTACTGTTCAACCCAGGAGTCTATAGTCCATGCTCTTGATTAATCATCATGTCAAGATTAATGTATTACATTAATAAATAATGGATTATGTTTTTACGCTAAACTAAAGTAAATTTATTTTTAGATTAAAATCTTGCTTTAATCTTTTATTTGAAGGTGTGTGGAATTATATGTGTCGTAATCTTTTATACATATTGTACAAATCCAACTAATAAAAGAAATATTTGACCTCCCCCCCCCTCCCGCCCTCCACACACACACACAGAAAACGCAAAATAGCTAGAAATAAGCATTTCTTGACTGTTTATGGAAGACTACAATTGAAATCCGTTATGTTTTGTCCTTGGTTTAATTACCTATTGCCTCTTTAATCTTTTTCGCATATTCAAATCTTTCTGTTCCAGCAGCGTCAAGTTTTCGCTTCTCCAATTTCTGAAACCAAATGTCGCATGTATACTATTGGAGGGAAAAATAAATACAGTCATAATCAGAAAGACCCGGAATTAATTTACAGTTAGTTAGAGGCCGAAATTAAAGAATTTGAGCCGCAGCATAAATTTAAGACGCGGCTCAAATATGGTTGGTTCAACTTAAATTTGTATTAAATATTTCAAGATTTAAGCCGGCGGTCAATTAAAACCGATTTTTGGGGGATTTAAGACGTGGCTTAGATTCCTTAAATTCGGACACTGATTAACTTTCCTATCATGACTGTAAAAGAAAACAATGCACCCAGAGTCTGAAAATACGCGAAATTTAAGTTATAGCTTAAAAGTTCTGAAAATTAATGAGTTTCTACTTAAATATTAACCTTTCTAAATTTAACCCTAAAGGAAAATTAAAATATCCCGGAAAAATACAAACCAATTATTTTACGGGAATTACGGAGATTACGGATCGACAGAGATTATACAACATCAGCTGTTTAGTAACTTCAATTTCTTCACAAAACTGCAGCGCGAAAAATAACAAATATATTTTGTAATAGATTTATAAACTTAAATCGTCAGATTAAATAATTTTCATGCATTGAAATATCGCGAAATTTGATGCAGGTATTTTCGGGTTTAAAATTGAACTTGGAAAAATCGACAAGTTAAATATCTAAGCTGTAGCTTTAAATATAGGTTTTAATTAAGTCAGAAGCGCTTAACATAACTCTGTATAAGAAAATTTACCAGAATTAGTTGTGTTATCTCTATATCCGTGTATACCAGAAAATAAGAAAATTTACCAGAGTTAGTTGTGTTATCTCTATGTCCGTGTATACCAGAAAATAAGAAAATTTACCAGAATTAGTTGTGTTAACTCTATATCCGTGTATACCAGAAAATAAGAAAATTTACCAGAATGAGTTGTGTTATCTCTGTGTCCGTGTATACCAGAAAATAAGAAGATTTACCAGAATTAGTTGTGTTATCTCTATATCCGTGTATACCAGAAAATAAGAAAATTTACCAGAATTAGTTGTGTTATCTCTGTGTCCGTGTATACCAGAAAATAATAAAATTTACCAGAATTAGTTGTGTTATCTCTATATCCGAGTATACCAGAAAATAAGAAAATTTACCAGAATTAGTTGTGTTATCTCTGTATCCGTATATACCAGAAAACTCAGTTCATCATAGGGAGAGAGCACCTAGAGATAAGGAAATAAAGGGAATAGAACAAATGTTTTAATATAGCGTGCAGGGGGGCTGTTTTATCCCTTAACGAAGGACTCTTAAAACAGTTAACCCCCACACTCCCTTGCACACAGAATCGTGTTTACCCCCTGACTTTTAACAAATATCAAGATTTGAATATTTACCAAAAGTAAAGTTAAATACTAAGATTTTTTTAAAATCGGGCGTTTTTAAAAAGTCTAAAAAATTAAAATAAAAACTTTATCATCTCTATTTATACAATGATTCATAGACTGTTAACATAGATAGTCTAATAAAAGAAATAAATTAGAAAAGAGTCCTATAAAAGGAAAAATTTGAAATTATAAATATATATGGTTAGGTAAACTGTACCTGATCCAGGTTAAACTCTCCTTCAGTATTATCCGATCCTGCCGGGGTTCCAATTATACTGATCGCAGTTAAACCGACCTAAACATTAAAAAAAATAGAAATCGCAATATAATACACCCCCCTAGCTCTCTCTCCACGTAGTTTAAGGTTCTGTCAATATTCCAGAAAGCTGTGACTTTCGATCACAATTTACCCATTAAACATAACTTTTTAAGCCTTTTTTCTTAAATACTTTTTTGTTGGCAGATGCATTTTGATTGAAATATTAAAACACGAGCAAAACCTTGACCAAAACACGTTTTATTTCAAATAGCAGAAACCGAATGCTTCTCACTCAGAGCTGAAAACTTTAAAATGGTGGAAATCGAAATTTATGCGTGATCCTCTCTTTTTCCTAACATCGAGACTAACCTAATCTTTATTTGTATCCTGAAAAGTGTATAAAATTCAACCAATCAGAGTCGCGTATATGAAGCGGATACATTTGAAATTTTGCGCGCCATTTAAGATTATATAAAGAAATGGGAGGAACCCTCTAATTTAGAAAAACCGGTTTTTGATTTTTCTCTACTATATCAAAGAAAGAACGGTTTAAGAAGAAAATCAAAAGTGTGTCCATTGGATACTCAGATTAAGTAATCGGGATTAAGGATATCTCATTCTAAAGTTTTCAGCTCTGGTTCGTCTGGGGTGTCTCACACACACATACACCCCCACTCACTGGAAAAGAAGTGTCTAACGTCCAATGTTTGCCTTTGGGGGTTGGTTACCCCCCCCCCCCCTGTTAAATTCCTGTAAAAATTAATTGTAATAGACATGTGAAGAATCTAATTAATAAAAAACTGTTTTTTATTAAAAATATGAAAGTTTACCTGGTTATACTGGTTCTTCTTGTTCTGATAGTTTTTATGAAATACAAGTTTAATGAAGGAAACAGGACAGGGTCTGCCGTCATCAGCAATCTTAAATAATAGTTTACTGTCAAGAAAACAATGAACAGTAGAATCAAGAAAACAACGTTATTGGTACAGTGAAGCAAGAAAACAATGTGATTTATACAGTAGAAACAAGAAAACAATGTGATTTATACAGTAGAAACAAAAAAACAATGTGATTTATACAGTAGAAACAAAAAAACAATGTGATTTATACAGTAGAAGCAAGAAAACAAGGTGATTTAAACAGTAGAAACAAGAAAACAATGTTATTTGTACAGGAAAAGCAAGAAGACAATGTGATCTGTACAGTAGAAACCAGAAAACTTTGTTGCTTGTACAGTAGTAACCAGTAAACTATGTGATTTATACAGTAAAAACCAGAAAACTATGTGATGTATACAGTAGAAACCAGAAAACATTCTGTAGAAACAAGAAAAAATGAAATGATTGTTTTCTCTTCACTATATTTTTAATTAAAAAATGATAAATGATAAAAAAATGTTGTGATCATATCAGTTACAAGTCACGGAATTAATCCTAATTTAATGATGAAAAAACGACAATTGGTTTACTGTTCACGCTGAGCTTGGCAATTTAGCTTCATTCCAAATAAATTTGGGATTATAATGTTGAATGCAAAATATTTTAACAATCCTATAAAAAGAAGCGGTTAACATGCTTTTAATTAAGAAGGGGCAATTTACAATGCCATTAAATGTTATTCACCGCAATTCAAAATCATTTATTTTTTTATAGGAAAAAATATTTGATCATTTTGCTAATACAAAGGCAGATTTAAAGGATACAAGCTATTATATGATCCGGCCTGCAACTCTCTTAAGATAAAGTTTCACTTGAAAATACGTAGACAGTCCCTTTAATAAAGTAAAATTGTTCACTGAGTACTATACCTCTACGGTGATAAGTTGACGAGCATTATAATCAAATTGTTCATTGGACTCTGGAAACACACTTCCCAACTTAAATATTTATATTTTTAGACTTCTCATCTGAAATATGTATATTCTTAAACTTCCCATCAGAAATATATATATTTTTAAACTTCCCATCTGAAATATTTATATTTTTAAACTTCTCATTTGAAATATTTATATTCTTAAACTTCTCATCTGAAATATTTATATTCTTAAACTTCTCATCTGAAATATTTATATTCTTAAACTTCTCATCTGAAATATTTATATTTTTCGACTTCTCATTTGAAATATTTATATTTTTAGACTTCTCATCTAAAATATGTATATTTTTAAACTTCCCATCTGAAATATATATATTTTTAAACTTCCCATCTGAAATATATATTATTAAGCTTCCATTCAGAAATGAATTTTTGGCAGAATCTTAATTTCAACCCATCAGAAAAAAAGTAGGGTTCTCGACCCCCTCCCCTTTCATTTGAAACGATAAGTAGATTTAATTAATTTTGAATAAAGAATTGTATTTTCTTTTTTACATGAGATAGATTTTTTGTTGAATGTTTCAAGTTGTTTGATCTCAAACTTTATTCTTTTTAATATTTTTGCTGACAAAACTTTAAACCTAAAATTTATTCTTTTTTCAATATTTTTACTCTAAAATATGGGAACCCAATACACCAACCATTTCATAATAAATAATCTAAGAAATCCGCTGACTATATTTGGGACATTTCAAAGATAGGACAGTCCATAGATAGGAAATGTCATAGAGAGAACATTTCATTTAAGACATTTCAAGAAAGACTTTTTAAAGATTGGTCATTTTAATTTCATATACAGGACATGGTTCATAGCCAAGACGTTTCATAGAGTGGAAATTTCATCTGCAGGGCATTTCATAGACAGGACATTTAATAGAGATGACATTTCATAGACAGGGCATTTCAAAGACAGGACATTTCATAGACAGGACATATGGACAGGACTTGTTACAGATAGGACATATTATAGAGAGGACATTTTACAGAAAGGACATTTCATAGATATGACTGTGATTGATAGGACATCTCATAAATAAGACATTTGATTGACAGGACAAATGATTGATAGGACATTTAACTGATAGAACATTTAATTGATAGAACATTTCATAAACAGGACATTTGTTTGAAAGGAATTTTCATAGATAGGACATTTGCCTAAACAGACAGGATGCAGCAAAACTTGAGGCCTAATGTAATATATACGTCGTCATTTGTTCACATAATATATACGCCAATTCTGTAATGCGATTAACTTCATCATACCCATCAATGTGATTTAATGCGTTATAGATAGTAACCGCTCATACTTATAATTACGCTGTAAATAACCAAACTATTTCTATGGAAAGGAGGGGGGGAGGGGGGAGGGGGGTTATGGGAAGGGGTAAATTATGGAAGGAGGAAGGAAAGGTGCGCGCCACAATGTCTAAATACAGAATACAACAATAAATCATGATCCAGGATAATCTGTCTATTAAGCATGGTACAAAAAAATCGTATTTTCGACCTAAAATCTACTTTCAAGATTCTATTTGTCAAAACAATATTCATGATTGTCAATACTTTGAATAACAACAATAAACAATAAACTTAAAAGTCTGGAAACAGATAAATTCAGTATTTTATCTTTAAACATTCAAAGTCTGCCAGAGGTAAATTTGAAGAATTTAAAACTTTTTCAGCCACAACCTTTGACCAATTTTGGCCATCAGTCATTGCACTACAAGAAATATGGAATAAACCTCAGAAGTTAGAATTTATTTTAGAAAATTACCATCATTTACACATTAGAATAAGAGATAAACAATAGTATAGTTCTTTTAGGGGCATCTGAAATATCTGAAGGTTTCAATACGTTTTTCTCTAATAAAGGTCCTCAACTAGCAAAGAATATCCCGAATTTAACAAAAGATATCTCTGATTTTCTCTCAAAAAACTGATGAAAACTTTGTTTTTGCAAATATGACCCCTGATATCATAAATGATGCCCTTAGAAAATTAAAAAATTAAAACATCTCTGGTCTACATAACATTTCTAGAAACCAAATAAAGTCGAGTGTCAAGTGTCATGGGTCCTATCTGCCATTTATTTAATATGTCGTTTAAAACTGGCATAATTCTGTAATGCGATTAACCCATTCCATGTTCGTAGATAGATATAACTTCGTAATGGCCATAAATGTGATGTAATGCGTTTATATATAGTAACAGCTCATAACTTGTAATTACGCTGTTATTTAAAGAGAAGAAAGTAGCTTACTTCAATCAAGGGTGTAAATTCCTCTCTTGAAGATATACTTTGTGGAGTTCCTCAGGGGTCAATATTAGGCCCAATTTTATTCTTAATTCTCATAAATGACCTTGCAAACGCATCAAAACTATTTACCATACTTTTTGCTGATGACACAACATTACAATATTCTTCGGAAAAACTAAAAATTATATATTATTTTGCAAATTTAGAGCTTTAAAAAAATGCAGATTGGTTCAAAACAAATAAACTGAAATTAAATGCCTCTAAAACAAAGTATATACTTTTCAGAAAGAAAACAAAAGTTCTGGTAGGTAACTCACTTAAACTTTTCATCAAAAATAAGGAAATAAATAGAAAAGGTGCTGGCTGTAAAAATGAATCCTTTAAGTTTGTGGGATTACATGAAAAACCTAACCTGGAATCACCATGATAAAGCTGTGAAAAAAACAAAGCATCTAGCACAGTGTCAGATGTAAGAAATCTACCTCCAAGGAAAATTAAACATACTATTTTAATTCATTATTTCGCTCATTTGAAGAAAATGGAATTTCAGCCTGGGGGAGAAATAAAAATCCTGAAAAAATTAGCTTGCTCCAAAACGTTGAGTTAGAATTATTGATACTGCAAAAACAGTTTCACATACCGATCCTCTTTTCTTTAAAGGGACTGTAAAGGAAAAATGAAAGGGGATATAGGCTGAAAGCTAATCACTTTAGCTCCCGATCGCGACCCATGAAAGCTATATCTGATGTTCCTATCTCGAGAAACTGATTTACAACTTTGTCAAATTTATACGAAAATTAATATATTTACAATTTTGTATAAAAGTAGTGGGTTTAAAACGATCAAATTCAGTAAATATGCAACCAATCTGAAAACGATTATATCCCAGAGAAAGCTAATTGTAACTTAGGTTTACTCCAATTCTAATTTTATATTTGTTATTTCCATTTTTCATAGATTTAATTCATAATATTATTTATACGTCCGTATTGCTTGACTAGAAATTCCACCAATGGCAATGCAGTAAAGTGGTCACGTGATACAGGCGGAGACACGTGACCAGTATACTGCTCTGCCATTGGTGATAGTTCTGGTCACGTGATTTAAGTTTAAGATTTTCTAAATTTTACATATATGAACTTTCGTATAATTTTAACACAGTTTTATATCAATTTCTCGAGACAGGAACATCAGATAAAACTTTCATTGGTCGCAATCAAGAGCTAAAGTTATTAGCTTTCAGCCCATACCCCCTTTCATTTTTCCTTTACAGTCCCTTTAAGTATAAAATCCTTAAGTTAAATTATTTGACTGAATTTAGTCAAGCAACATTTATGTATAAATACACGAAAAAATTTCTATCCACCTCATTTAACAATACTTTTAAAAAACTCGAAAATTTTGAAAGATCTCTTAACTATCAAATTGACATTCTGAATACAGGCTCATTAGAATATCTTCCCTCATATGCACTTCTTAAGATATGGAATAAACTGCCATTTGATTTAAAAGAAGTGCCTCGTTAGGTATCTTTAAAAAAGTTTATTTGAAAGTTATCTGACGCCTTCATCTCAAAGTACAATAAACCCTCTTGTTATTCTTACAAAAAATGAATATAGAACTTAGTAGATTGTTTACATGCTTAATCTATTTCTGTTAAACGTGCTAAACTGAAAAAATCAATTATTTTATTATGCTGCACCTCGGTCTCTCTAAATGTATCCATGACTTATCGTAAACTTTCAAAACCTAGTAATATTCATCATATTGTAGACGTTTTAATATTAATTAGGTGGGGATAATACCCAAAAAAGCAAATAGCTTATCTCCACCAAATAGCTGTAATACATACATATAGAAAACAAAATAAAAATAGTTGCAGATTTTTTGCTTTTAACATTATAACTTGTATGTGTATTTTTAGCAATAAACTATATCTTATCTTTTCTTATCTTATGGACTACAAAATGTATGTAGATCGGTTGACTGAGACTGATATTGATTAAGTTATCAGAAGCCTAAGTAAGCTTGAAACCAAGTTTTTGGTACTCGTTAAAACATTACAAGGGGAGAAATTGCCTGTGTAGCAATTTCAGTTGGACTGTGTGTCCTTGTGAATTGGGGAGTTAGAGCCTGGTTGAGATTTGGACTGCATGTGTCCTTTAGAACTGGGGAGTTAAGCCTGGTTGAGATTTGGACTGTGTGTCCTTTAGAACTGGTGAGTTAAGTCTGATTGAGATTTGGACTGTGTGTCCTTTAGAACTGGGGAGTTAAGTTTGATTGAGATTTGGACTGTGTGTCCTTTAGAACTGGGGAGTTAAGTCTGATTGAGATTTGGACTGTGTGTCCTTTAGAACTGGGGAGTTAAGAGAGTTAAGTCTGATTGAGATTTGGACTGTGGGCCTTTAGAACCGGGGAGTTAAGTCTGATTGAGATTTGGACTGTGTGTCCTTTAGAACTGGGGAGTTAAATCTGATTTAGATTCGGACTGTGTGTCCTTTAGAACTGGGGAGTTAAGCCTGGTTGAGATTTGGACTGTCCGTCCTTTAGAACTGTGGATTTAAGTCTGGTTGAGATTTGGACTGTGTGTCCTTTAGAACTGTGGATTTAAGTCTGATTGAGATTTGGACCGTGTGTCCTTTAGAACTGTGGATTTAAGTCTGATTGAGATTTGGACCGTGTGTCCTTTAGAACTGTGGATTTAAGTCTGATTGGGATTTGGACCGTGTGTCCTTTAGAACTGGGGAGTTAAGTCTGATTGAGATTTGGACTGTGTGTCCTTTAGAACTGGTGAGTTAAGTCTGATTGAGATTTGGACTGTGGGCCTTTAGAACCGGGGAGTTAAGTCTGATTGAGATTTGGACTGTGTGTCCTTTAGAACTGGGGAGTTAAATCTGATTTAGATTCGGACTGTGTGTCCTTTAGAACTGGGGAGTTAAGCCTGGTTGAGATTTGGACTGTGTGTCCTTTAGAACTGGGGAGTTAAGTCTGATTGAGATTTGGACTGTGTGTCCTTTAGAACTGGGGAGTTAAGTCTGGTCGAGACTTGGACTATGTGTCCTTTAGAACTTGGGAGTTAAGCCTGATTGAGATTTGGACTGTGTGTCCTTTAGAACTTGGGAGTTAAGTCTGATTGAGATTTGGACTGTGTGTCCTTTAGAACTGGGGAGTTAAGTCTGATAGAGATTTGGACTGTGTGTCCTTTAGACTCGGATATTTAGAACTGGTTGATCTTGTTAACGAATAGACCTGGATAGATTCGTCACGAGTAAAATGTTATGGAGTAGGCGTTTACTTCAAGGACATTTCATTGATAGGACATTTCATAGATAGGACATTTGTTTGATAGGACATTTCATAGAACACATTTTGTATACTTCCACTATGTATGTATTTGTTATACCAGCGTGAAGCTAATACCTCCATAAAATGCGCATTTTTCCTATCTCTAGAGCTTCCTCTTGCCACCTCTCCAACTTGTATATCAATCTGAGTAGAGACAGCCCACGCATTTCCAAGCATCTGAATTTAATCAACATGTAACAAAGAATTTTTCCTGTTTGTTTGGATTTTTTTGTAGCTTAGATGGCTCAAACAATTCGCAACACATTTTTCCCTAATGCGCATCCCCCCATTCCACAAGAGCAACAATTAAAACTTGGTGCTGCATTTACCTGTATTTGTTCGATCTGTGCTGGAGTACTTAGGAGAAGTACCAAAGATTGAGGATAGATGGAGTACTTGCTTGACAGCCAGCCTTTACTCTACAAAATAATATTCTACAAAATTTAAATACAACTTATTAAAAAAAATCCTCATAAAAGAAACATTGCCAAACTAACAGCTTATATTTAAGGATAAAAGCAAAAAATAAGCATTATATGTCCGATATCCACATTTCAAAAGTTCCCAGCGAAGACCTGAAAACTTTAGAATGGTGGATATTGAGATCAATGCTTGATCCTTTATTTTTGCGAATCTCCAGACTTATCTAGTCTTTAGATTAATTTCTAGGGATTAGAGATGCGCTCCTTAACTCTTGAAAAACCGGTTTTTAATTTTCCCGCATTTGTGGTGTTATATCAATTGGACTAATGATCGATCGTTCAAAAGGACTTATAAGTCCTCAAATGTGATAAAATATGCTTTTGCATAAGTTTATTTTAATATGATTAAATTTATATATTTGTTTAAATGCTCAGAAAGCCGGCTTGTGTACAGCTGACTTTAGTTCAATCGAATATTAGTCCAATCGATGTAGCATCGTACAGGGTGTCCCACGAAACATGACAGTATGCAGGACGACTTGAATGTCGTCTTGATTTTTGATATAATTTGCTGCGTTTCTTTGTCAACCTAATTTTAGAAGTAAATTTCTAGAGATAATAATCACAAAATTTCCTTTGTCCTGCCATTTCCAAAATGTGGTCTGCCTTTTTTGTGCTTTCAATATTGCCCGAGATATGAAGAATTTCGTTCAGATTTCGACAATTTTGCTTTTATTTAACAAAATTGAAATCTGAACCAAACTCTTTATATCTCCGGTAATATAGAAAGCACAAAAAACGCAGACCACTTTTTGGAAATGCCAGGGCTATGAGAATTATGTGATAATTGTTTCAAGAATCATACATGTTAAAGTAGATACAAGACTAAATGTCACAAATAAATTCAAATACCAAAGACGACTTCCAAGTCGTCTTGTTATTGTCATGTTTCGTGGGACACCCTGTATCTGTATTTGTATTCAAACTAATCTTTATTGCACAAAGAAAGAAATGTGATATACAACAAAAGCGGATTAAAAAGATAATTAAAAGTTTCCACATTCGATATTCAGATTGAGTGATCAAAGCTGGGAACTTTTGAATGGTGGACATCAGAATTAATGCTTGATCCACTCTTTTTCTTAATCTCGAGATTAAATAATGCTTGTTCTACTCATATTATTAATCTCCAGATCAATTAACCGATCGGGATTAAACGAAGCGTGACTCTGATTGGTTGAATTTTATACATTTTTCAGAGCTGAAAACTTTAGAATGGCGGATCGACATAAATCCTCTTTTTCTTAATCCCAGATTAAATATTGCTTGTTCACCTCTTGTTATTAATCTCCAGATTTATTAACAGATCGGGTTTAAGGATATCCCATTTTAAAGTTTTTAGCACAGGATAATTAAGTACAAGATTAGGTTAGATTAGTCTCGAGATTATGAAAAATAGAGGATCCAGTATTGTTCTCGATATCCACTATTCTAAAGTTCCCAGCTCTGAACTCAGAACTATTGTGTTGTAAATTTCGTGATTAAGCATTGATCTACATCTTAAGTAGATTTACGGATTAATTTAATTACTCTCCGACATCCCGTGATTGTGATACTCTTCAGGGATAACTTGTATTAAGGGATCAAGTATTAATCCCAGATTTAAAAATGCCCTCACAGGATATCAAAATCACGCATTCAAGATTAACAATACCCACTCTAAAGTTCGGATCTCAGCTTTAAAATATATAAGATAAAAAGTTTTAACTTTCAAAACCTCTTTCTCTAGATGAAACCAAATGTTTTTCTCCGTTTTTTTATAAAACTTTAAAATATCAAGTTTTGATAAGAAGAAAATGTAGATATCGTAAATTTGGTAATTTTTGTCACTTGTAAATTGTCAAGGAATAAATTTAAACTTGTTAGAAAATATCCATAAAACTTGTCAAGGAATATACATGAAACTTGTCAAGGAATATACATGAAAATTGTCAAGGAATATACATGAAACTTGTCAAGGAATACACATAAAACTTGTCAAGGAATATACAAAAGACATGTCAAGGAATATATATGAAAAAATCACTTGATAATAAAAGCCCTAGTCCCTACCTGAAGTCCAATCCTATTCCCTACCTAAAGTCAAATCCTAGTTCCTATCTATAGTCCAATCCTAGTCCCTACCTAAGGTCTATTTCTATACCCTACCTAAAGTCCAATCATAGGCCATACCTAGAGTCAAATCCTAGCCTCTACCTAAAGTCCAATTCTGCACTTGTCCCTACCTAAAGTCAAATCCTGAAGTAGTCCCTACAAGTAGTCCAATTCTAATCTATTCCCTTCATGCACTAGTCCCTACCTGGAGTCCAATCCTGCACTTGTCCCTACCTGTAGTCCAATCCTGCGCTAGTCCCTACCTGTAGTCCAATCCTGCAATAGTCCCTACCTGTAGTCCAATCTGCAATAGTCTCTACCTGTAGTCCAATCCTGCACTAGTCCCTACCTGTAGTCCAATCCTGCAATAGTCCCTACTTGGAGTCCAATCCTGCACTAGTCCCTACCTGTAGTCCAATCCTGCAAAAGTCCCTACCTGTAGTCCAATCCTGCAATAGTCCCTACCTGTAGTCCAATCTTGCAATAGTCCCTACCTGTAGTCCAATCCTCCAGTAGTCCCTACCTGTAGTCCAATCCTGCAATAGTCCCAACCTGTAGTCCAATCCTGCAATAGTCCCTACCTGTAGTCCAATCCTGCACTAGTCCCTACCTGAGTCCAATCCTGCAATAGTCCCTACTTGGAGTCCAATCCTGCACTAGTCCCTACCTGTAGTTCAATCCTGCACTAGTCCCTACCTGTAGTCCAATCCTGCAATAGTAACCTGTAGTCCAATCCTGCACTAGTCCCTACCTGAGTCCAATCCTGCAATAGTCCCTACTTGGAGTCCAATCCTGCACTAGTCCCTACCTGTAGTCCAATCCTGCACTAGTCCCTACTTGGAGTCCAATCCTGCACTAGTCCCTACCTGTAGTCCAATCCTGCACTAGTCCCTACCTGTAGTCCAATCCTGCAATAGTCCCTACCTGTAGTCCAATCCTCCAGTAGTCCCTACCTGTAGTCCAATCCTGCAATAGTCCCTACCTGTAGTCCAATCCTGCAATAGTCCCTACCTGCAGTAGTCCCTACCTGTAGTCCAATCCTGCAGTAGTCCCTACCTGTGGTCCAATTTCTAGAATGTTAGAATGACTAAACCCGTCATCCTGACTAGTAGACTCCACTACTCTGAAGTCCAACCTTACAGGCATATTAAATACTCTGGAAATAGTATTAAATGTAATTCATATGAATATGAGAAAAATGATGAATAATGTGGATAATAAATATGTTTGAATATGAGTAGGATAATGAATATGTTTGAATGTGAATAGGATAATGAATATGTTTAAATATGAGGAGGATAATGAATATGTTTGAATATGAGGAGGATAATGAATATGTTTGAATATGAGTAGGATAATGAATATGTTTGAATATGAATATGAGGAGGATAATGAATATGTTTGAATATGAGTAGGATAATGAATATGTTTGAATATGAGGAGGATAATGAATATTTTTAAATATGAGTAGGATAATGAATATGAGAAAAATTATGAATAATGTGAATAATGAATATGTTTGAATATGAGTAGGATAATGAATATGTTTGCATGTGAGTAGGATGATTAATATGTTTGAATATGAGGAGGATAATGAAAATGTTTGAATATGAGTAGGATATCGAATATGTTTGAATATGTGTAGGATAATGAATTTGTTTGAATATGAGGAGGATAATGAATATGTTTGAATGTGAGTAGGATAACGAATATGTTTGAATATGAGTAGGATAATGAATATGTTTGAATATGAGTAGGATAATGAATATGTTTGAATATGAGTAGGATAATGAATATGTTTGAATGTGAGTAGGATAATGAATATGTTTGAATGTGAGTAGGATAATGAATATGTTTAAATGTGAGTAGGATAATGAATATATTTGAATATGAGTAGGATAATGCATATGTTTGAATGTGAGTAGGATAATAAATATGTTTGAATATGAGGAAGATAATGAATATGTTTGAATTTGAGTAGAATAATGAATATGTTTGAATATGAGTAGGATAATGAATATGTTTGAATATGAGGAGGATAATGAATATGTTTGAATGTGAGTAGGATAATGAATATGATTGAATGTGAGTAGGATAATGAATATGTTTGAATATGAGTAGGATAATGAATATATTTGAATATGAGTAGGATAATGAATATGTTTGAATGTGAGTGGGATAATAAATATGTTTGAATATGAGGAGGATAATGAATAAGTTTGAATGTGAGTAGGATAATGAATATGTTTGAATGTGAGTAGGATAATGAATATGTTTGAATATGAGTAGGATAATGAATATATTTGAATATGAGTAGGATAATGCATATGTTTGAATGTGAGTAGGATAATAAATATGTTTGAATATGAGGAGGATAATGAATATTTTTGAATTTGAGTAGAATAATGAATATGTTTGAATATGAGTAAGATAATGAATATGTTTGAATATGAGGAGGATAATGAATATGTTTGAATGTGAGTAGGATAATGAAAATGTTTAAATGTGAGTAGGATTATGAATATGTTTGAATGTGTGTAGGATAATGAATATGTTTAACTGTGAGTAGGAGGATGAATATGTTTAAATGTGAGTAGGATAATGAATATGTTTGAATGTGTGTAGGATAATGAATATGTTTAAATGTGAGTAGGATAATGAATATGTTTGAATGTGAGTAGGATAATGAAAATGTTTGGATATGAGAAGGATGATGAATATGTTTAAATGTGAGTAGGATAATAAATATGTTTGAATATGAGTAGGATAATGAATATGTTTGAATATGAGAAGGATAATGAATTTGTATGAATATGAGTAGGATAATGAATATGTTTAAATGTGAGTAGAATAATAAATATGTTGGAATATGTGTAGGATAATGAATATGTTTGAATATGAGAAGGATAATGAATTTGTATGAATATGAGTAGGATAATGAATATGTTTAAATGTGAGTAGGATAATGAATATATTTGAATATGAGTAGGATAATAAATATGTTTGAATATGAAAAGGATAATAAATATGTTTGAATATGAGTAGGATAATAAATATGTTTGAATGTGAGTAGGATAATGAATATGTTTAAATGTTTGTAGGATAATAAATATGTTTAAATGTGAGTAGGATAATGAATATGTTTGAATATGAGTAGGATAATGAATATGTTTAAATGTGTGTAGGATAATAAATATGTTTGAATATGAGTAAGATAATGAATATGTTGGAATATGAGTAGGATAATGAATATGTTTAAATGTGAGTAGGATAATGAATATGTTTGAATGTGAGTAGGATAATGAATATGTTTGAATGTGAGTAGGATAATGAATATGTTTAAATGTGAGGAGGATAATGAATATGTTTAAATGTGAGGAGGATAATGAATATGTTTGAATGTGAGTAGGATAATGAATATGTTTGAATGCGTGACAGAAATGAAAGACTATTAAACCTCTGCTTCTATATATTTATATATATAGTTCCCAAGGAGACTATAAACATGGGGAAAGGTTTGGTCAAGCCTCTACAACGTTACAGGGGCGTAGAATAGAATAGAAGGTTAAATTTCTGGTATATTTAGACCCCTCCCCCTCCCCTTCCCCAACTTTTTAATATTTTAACCCTATTCAGGCTGGCGTCTGGTTTACCCCTTTATATTTCCTTATTGTGATGCAAATTTATAACATTTGATACAATGTTTGGAAAGCCCTAGGGCTCTACTTCAATAATCTGCAAAAAAAATTGCACATTTACAAAATTTCAGGTATTTATTGCAATTGCAAAACATGTGTAAAAATAAAATAAAAATAAATACAAAATCCAATTACCTTAGGTCTAAATATAGATTAAGTCGGGTAAAGGTAAAATCAGTCATACAGGCAGTATGCCTGAGAACTCAGGTAGTAGGTCTAAAAGCCCCACGTTGAGCCTAAAGTGAGGCGCTTGTGTTAGTTAGAAAGTCAAAAAATTTGAAGTGCCTGAGACCACTACTTTTTGAGTAATCTCAAAAAAAGGTCAGAGGCTGGTTCCAAGGGCTTCCCCCCTACCCAGTCGGAATAGGGTTGATATATTATTAAACTTAGTTTCATAGTTTAACAATTTAAAAATTCCTTAGTTTCATAACTTCAAAGTTCATAGTTTCGTAGTTTCATAGTTCACAGTTCACAGTTTCATAGTTTCATAGTTTCAAATTTTTATAGTTTCATTGTTTCATAATTTCATAGTTGTACGGTTTTATAGTTTCATAGTTTCATAGTTTCATAATTTGATAAATTACTTTTTATTTCCAATGCTGAGTTCCTAGCAATTACGCATCAAATCCCGTTTAAAATTATTGAATATGATAACAAGACAACATTGACTTTAAATAAGAATCATATGGGAATTAAACTGGTTTCTTCAGAAATATTTCGTAACATGAAATCTTTAATTTATCTAGTTCTAAACTAAAAGTTTATCTGAAAGATTGAACCAGCATAAAAGTTTTGTAAACTTGTGAAGCTTACCCAGTTTAGAATCTAAGATTGTAGGAAGGAGGGAAGAGGGTAGATTATAATACACCAGTTTTGTAAAGATGCACTTCCTCTCAACACTACCAATTCTAGGTCAGTGCATTTTTGCGTAATTTATCCATATCATTTAGCATTCGCGTCATGTTTCAGACAATTTTTATAATTGTTCAATGCAATTTAGCATTTACGTCAATATATTATATAAGTCATTTTTTCGTCATGTTTTCAGACAATTTATATAAGTGAAGCAGTGTTCAATGCAATTTAGCATTTAAGTCAACATATTATATAAGTAATTTTGCGTAAAGTTTTAAAACAATTGATATAATTGAAACAGTGTTTAATACAATTTACCATTTGCGTCAATTTCTATAGATCTATACATATATAAACATATATGTGTATCTATATATAGTTGTAATCTCTGTTTGTCTCTTTGTATGTTTGTCCGATCATAACTTAGGAACTCCCGGATCTATTTACCTCAAACTTTAAATAGGGGAATCATTATGAAAACCAGTTTTGGAACCCGGGTTTCATGGATGGGTTTAAGCAGTTTTGTGGATATCAATATTATGTTACTTATTTCTTCATATTCTCCATTTTTTCGAATCTTTTAAATCAAAATCTACACAAATGTTAAGACCCCAAAAGGAAACTCAAAAGTTTCGTTCAACGATACTCTTTTAAATTTTGAGCTCTTACAAAGCTACTTACCAATTATACACCGTAGGAACGTCTCATATAGGTTTCAAAATGATTTCTAAAAATTTATCTACAATACTGCACTCTCAGTTCAACTACCATATCTAGCCAGACATTCCCTTTTAAAGCGTTGTTTTACCAAAAAAATGAATTATTCATGTATCCATCTTTCAAGATTAATTATTTTCAATTGTGATTTTACTTCTAGGTAGTGTACTGCTGTGCAGTACACTTGGTATTTATGTTATCGAGGGGGAAGATGAAGAAAGCAGTACAGTACAACAGAATAAACATGATACAAAGCAAAGGTAAAAACTACATATTATTCTTTATGTTTATGTTTCGACATTTGTCATTAATTATTCTTGCTTTATCACATTTTCTGCAATCATTAATAGAACTTCACCAGAACAATATTCTCTAAAGCCAAGAAATATATAGACCAGGAATCGCCATATCTCATGCGTCAAATCCGTGTACTGCAGTGGGAGGAGATCAAAACAAAGAATTCAGGGGCAACGCATCAATTTGATATTTTAACTTGTTTTTTGTTGGACTGTAGTATCACATCAGAGCTTTAGTCTTTTCCCTTTTGTTCAGCGTGCTCTAACTATAATGTTTAGTTCAGCGTGCTATAACTATAACGTTTACATTCGTAAGGTTGGGTCGAGGTACACATGGTGGATTTCCTTGTGGAGCTTGCACTGTTCTAGGTATTTCATATTTTAGAAATAACTAGCTTAAGTCCCCGGCGTTGCCCGTAAAAAAAAAATATAAAAAATCGAATTTTAAAGAAAAAATTTGAGTGGAACCTCACATGACCTCAGGGGACAGGGAATTTTTATGGGTAATCCAAATTTCCTCCAACAAAATTCGAATTCATTAAATTTTGAAAATCCACGAAATTTGTTTTTGAATCCCGCGAACTTCATTTTGTTATTGTCTTAAAATGTATACAAAGAGAAAATATTTAGAATTGAAATATGAGATGGGCCCGTAGCTCCCTAAAAGCCTAGTCTTCTTATATAATAAAGCTTTTCGCTTGTATATATATATATCTATATAATATATATAGTATATATATACTATATATAGACATAAATATATTTAAAGAATCAACTTCAAATTAAAACATTTTAGCTCAGAATCTCACTACATATACATAATGTTTCATATATATATTTATATGTAAGCTATAGCTGGCCAGACGGCTTAACTGCTGCGGACCAAATGGGCTGACATTTTTTAGGGAACCCAAGGATATGCGGGGGGTAAGATAGGCTAAGCATTCGAATTTTTTTATTGAAATTATTTTCTTCCAAAAAAAATGTTATTTAATGGGCAGTGCCGAACACGTCATACATATAATTCTAAGTAATATTGAGTGTAAGAATAACTTCAAATAGAATTCTTAGATTTGTAAAAGTTAAATTCCAAATCCAAGAAATTTCTCTTTTAAGTATTTTTAAATTAAATTCTTAAAACTAATTCTCTAATTTTCCTTGTTTAAGTCGGATTAGGGGAACAGTTGGCTGACATTAATAATGAGGTAAGAGAAGGATAAAAAGAGAAGAAAATATTGAAACGATTAAGGAAATAGACAATTTTTGTGTTGGGAATCTCCGGATCAAGAATTGATCCTCGTCATGTGCAGATCAACAGATTAATATTTTATTCCCCCTGGAAATGCTTGTACACTGCGTGAATAATTTTATTTGAGGAATAGAACATTTATCCTCAAATTCAAAATTGTCCAAATTGGATATCAAAAGATCACGAGATTAAGAGATCAAGAGATCAAGAGATCAAGAGATCAAGAGATCAAGAGATCAAGAGATCAAGAGATCAAGAGATCAAGAGATCAAGAATTACCGATACTCCTCACAAAATGTCCAACCTCATAAAAAGGGTTTGTTCATACAGGGTGTACATATAGGGTGTACATACAGGGTGTACATACAGGGTGTACATATAGGGTGTACATACAGGGTGTACATACAGGGTGTACATACAGGGTGTACATACAGGGTGTATATACAGGGTGTACATACAGGGTGTACATACAGGGTGTACATACAGGGTGATATAATTTCATGAATTTAATAATAATGTGTTTTTAATTTTAAGCAGAATTTACTAATAACATTTTTCGAAAAATCAAAACTTGGCATCGCAAATGGCTATTTGTGGCCAAAACACTGGTTATACAAGTAATTTTAAAATTTTTCAAAATATGTCGAAGGCTATCAACAGCCTAATTTAACGCAGCAAACGGTTTGTAAAAATATTAAAAAAGTAATTCAAGTAAAGTAAAAATAATTAAAGTGGAAAAATTAGGGAAATCACAAAATCAGCTGTTTTCCCTAGTTTTTCAGCTCAATTTTGGCTATTTTTCATTATTATGTAAAACGGTTTTTTCAGTCGAATAAGGCTTGGAAAGACGGATCTTTTGATGTCCATGTCGACATATTTTGAGAAGAAAAAAAACACTCTTATTTTTTATCACAAAAGACTACTTGCGATGGTCCATTTTGATTTTAGCGAAAAATGCCTCTTTTAAACGTTTCTTAGAATTAAAACATACATTAGTATTTTTACTTGAAATTGATTCCTCCCAAATTTGTGAAAAATCTTTCACCCTTACTATATATAGGCATGTCCGATTAAAAACATACATTTAAAACCTGTCAAATAAAGAATAAAGGAGATATCGTTATTTTTCTTTAAAAATTGATTGTTTTTAAATGTGTTTTCTCTGTAATAGTGACGTCTTCTGCAGCTTGCGCGGAGAAACAATGCAGGAAATTGTCATAATTATTCAGTATTCACGCTAGAAAAACGCTTGCAAGGTATCGGCACTTCAGAAATTGCAATGTGCAAAATTAAGATTTAGATGATAGTTTTGCCTACTCCCCCCCCCCTCCCCCTCGTGAGATGAGGGAGGGAACCCCCGGACACCATGAGCCTCTCAGATTTGCTAGGCAGACCGAGCCTCTGCCCTGCAGTAAGAGCCTCCGCTATGCAGTAAACGAGACTCCGCTATAACTCTTGGTTTTTAAATTGTTTTCACTTTATTCAACATTTTTTCACTCAAGAATTTAACTTAAGGTTAATGTTGTTTATCAATATGTAACTTGTATTGACTCCAAAAGTGGTTTATAAGATTTATGTTTAGAATAAAACATTTCTTACGCAGTAAGGAGGCGTTTTTGGAAATTCGTATCTGAATTGAAATTTGTTTATTTTGTTTTAATCTTTGATTTAAGAAATATCTTTTTTTGGGAAAATTTTTCGATTCAGATTTTCATTCAATGTCAAATTTTTTAATATCTAATCGAATAAATTTCAAAAAAAGGTATCGCTAAAAACAAAAGTTATAAAATATCAAATAAAATTACTTTCAGAATTTTTCAACTAACCGTTTTCCTTTTTGCGCAAAAAATGTTTCAAGTTTTATAAACCACTGTACTAGTTATAATCAGGTATTATGTATAATAATTGTGTAATACTTCTGATCTTTGTTAAACTTTTTATGCCACTATTTAAAAAAAAATATAAAAAATTCTTTAATTTATGTAACAACCAAAAGCTTTGGGGAAACAATACTGTAAAGCGGAGGCTGGTTTATTGTATAGCGGAGGCTCTTACTGCATGGCGGAGGCTCGGTCGGCTCAGCAAATCTGGAGGGCTTATGTCTGCAAAGCGGAGGCTTATGGCGTCCGGGGGTTCCCTCCCTCTTGAGATAAATAAATATTAGATATACATTACTTTAGACGCTTGCACAAGGCCTGGAAAGCTTATGCAGGGAAAAAACAAAAATTGAAAATGTTTAATTGCTATTTACAAAAGAGATACTTTAGGAAAGTTTTTAACAAAATATGAAAACATTTAGGATTTACCTCATACCCGTTTTTTAATCAAAAATTTAAGTCGGCCATTTTGTTTTGACATGTGTACAGTCGTCTTCCTGATCCGTTGTCGGTGGATTGTTCAAATGTCGTCTTTACCCTGGGCCCTGCTGTACTAGACTATCTCTCCAACTCCTCAACACCTGATACACTATGCTACAGGCACTTTTTATATCTTTTATTTTTATTAATTTGTTTTATATTTGATGAAGATTAATATTTTTCCTGAAAAACGAAATTAATCAAATCCAAGATATGTCAAGAATGTCAAACTTCCCATTAGAGAAATTTTCTCCGACGCTATAATTAAAAAGTAAAATATCATTAATATTTTTAGATTTATTAAAGGGACTGAACCATTAGTTTGAAAATGTGTTGCAAAAACAAATAGGGAAGAAGATAAGACAGAAATACAATAAGACATATCTCGAGCAAAAGAAAGCTACATGTGATTGGTGTTTGGCGCTCATTTTGGCCTGAATTTTAAACTTTCAACGTCATCAAACTTGTCAAAAAATCACACTTTTTTGTTAAAAAAATTGAATTTTGCCACAAACTCAAATTTTATAATCCCTACATTTGTGCAACCTGATGGTGTAAATCTTTGATATTTCAAACTTAGATTGATCTAATAGAATTCATAGTTTAAGATTATTTTTACATTATGTGATATAATTATTAATAAATTTAGCTTCGAACGACCTTTCCCCACGGCCTTCATTCCTCTTGCTTCTAAAAAACATAAGTTTTAAATTTGTCTTTGAATAATAATATTATTAACTGCAGTATTGGGCTCTGTAACAAGGAACCTGGGCAATGTAATCTTTTTCCAAAAGGTAAAAATATTGTATTTTGATCAAAGTATATAACAGTGATAACCAGTGGAATTGAAAGTGGACTTTAGACTCTTAAGTTATATTGTTCATGATGAACTCGAGGTACAGCTATTATGCAGTGTAAACAGGCCCATTTCATTAAATAAGTGCATGATTTAATAACTTGTTATTTGCTTTGTAACAACATCAAATGCACTTCAGTATTACTTTTATGTCGTCTTCCTATTCTACAGTTTTCTGGTTATCACTTTATTACTATGCTTTATCAAAGGGTGTTCTGCACCCATCTTCGTTTTTAAATTTTAATTGTTGCTCCAAACTTTGAACTTTTAAATTCTGATCATCCATAAACCTATCCTGGGGTCATGTCAGGTCCGACAATCGGTTCAGCTGATTTGACGTTTGTTGGATAGAAACAATCAAACAGACAAGCAAAGTAATATATTTAGATTCCTCTCATAATTTTGATTAATGCTATTTCTTATTATTATTTTTGGCTAAACTTGCCTGTGTTTTAATCTTTTCTTTTTTAATGCAGGAAAGCAAGCCAGCCAAGCCAAATCAAAAATCCGAAAGCTCTCAGAAATAGAGAATAGTTATCTTTCAGGCAACATTCAATTACATTACTTTTTTGTTTATACCCCTCCCAACAAGAATTTAAGAATTTACAATTTTGCTCTTTTAAAGCTTTAAATACTTTATTTATTCCAGTTTTAATCCTGCACTATCATTTTTAAACAATAGTACAATGCACAAGAAAAACCTCAATTGTGTAGTTTACAGACCCATTCGGGCATTTGCGTTATATGACAACATCAAATACACATCAGATGTCGCCTTCTTATTCCACATTTGTATGGCTGATTTAGGAATATTTAGCTGGTAAAATGAATGTTTTGAATATTAGAAATGATTGTAAAAGTGTTCCCTTGGCTCTGTTATATACCTGGAGTACGTCAGCTCTGTGAAGCACTAGAGAGGGTAAACTACATCTATTTTCACAGGATGGAAAAATTTTCGTTTGGTTTGGAATCATAAGTGAAGAAACTACATTATTTTATCATCAAGGAGGTGAAGCCGACCCGTTTCGCATCTTAATATGATAAACACATGATTGGCATGACATCCCATCACGTTTTTCTGTTCTTTCGATTTGGTGTTCGATCTACTTAACTTTATTTATCTATGTTCGGCGTAAATCAAGGTTCTTTATTAAGGTTGGTTACTCTGCATGTGCTCCAATGAACGTAAAATGTCGTCTTCTTAGCATAGATAGATATAGAACCCGCATATGACGTCACTGATTATACAGGCAAGCATGAAGTCAAAAATCTATTTATCTATGCTAAGGAGACGACATGTTCCGTACATTGGAGCACATCCAGAGTAACAAACCTTATTAAAGAGATTTGTAAAGTACACTGCACTATAAACAAATTAAATCGGACATTTTGTTTTTAATTTTAAAGGGGAATAATAGGAATATCTCACAAATATTTATGAAAACATAACTCAGTGTTCAGAAAATAGGAATATCTCACAAATATTTAGGAAAACATAACTCAGTGTTCAGAAAATAGGAATATCTCACAAATATCTAGGAAAACATAACTCAGTGCTTAGAAAATAGGAATATCTCACAAATATTTAGGAAAACATAACTCAGTGTTTAGAAAATAGGAATATCTCACAAATATCTAGGAACTCAGTGTTCAGAAAATAGGAATATCTCACAAATATCTAGGAACTCAGTGTTCAGAAAATAGGAATATCTCACAAATATTTATGAAAACATAACTCAGTGTTCAGTAAGATTGCGGGCCACAATTTCGGAATGCTTTTACATAAAGGGATTGTCGTTGTAATTTTAATTAACCCTGTATTTATAGAAGGTCATACCCGAATCACAACGATACTTTCTTCAAATCTTCATCTGTTCAATAGTTCAGAAGTTATTATCGTGTTTCTAGCTTGAAAAGTGTTTAAGTTTAACAATATTCTCCAATGCCTCTGTAGCATTAACTCTTAATCATTCGTAGCTTTTAAAGGTACTGCTGTGAATCACACGTGCAACTATATAAATCACTGGAAATTATTGTACAATCCTTTTAATATCGTGATTGCGTTAATTATTGCCCCCCCCCCCCCTAGCTGTGTTTATGTTGTAGACCTTTGAGCAGTTGGAACCTGGTCTAGATATTGATGGGGATGGATTTAGTCCAGCAGAAACGTTTAGAGGTTAGTTACACTATGGAGAGAATTTATATTCTCTATGTTACAGGATATTTATGGAGAGGGTTTATATTCTCTATGTTACAGGGTCTTTATGGCAAGGATTATATTCTCTATGTTACAGGGTTTCTATGGAGAGTATTATATTCTCAATGTTGCATGTGTTTCTATGGCAAGGAATTATATTCTCTATGTTACAGGGTCTCTATTGCAAGGATTATATTCTCTATGTTACGGGGTCTCTATTTGGAGAGTATTTATATTTTCTATGTTACATGGTTTCTATGGCAAGGATTATATTCTCTATGTTACAAGGTCTCTATAGAGAGTATTTATATTCTCTATGTTACATGGGTTTTTATGGCAAGGAATTATATTCTCTATGGCAAGGATTATATTCTCTATGTTACAGGGTCTCTATTGCAAGGATTATATTCTCTATGTTACAGGGTTTCTATGGCAAGGAATTGTATTCTCTATGTTACAGGGTCTCTATTGCAAGGATTATATTCTCTATGTTACAGGGTCTCTATTGCAAGGATTATATTCTCTATGTTACAGGGTTTCTATTGCAAGGATTATATTCTCTATGTTACAGGGTCTTTATGGCAAGGATTATATTCTATATGTTACAGGGTCTCTATTGCAAGGATTATATTCTCTATGTTACAGGGTCTCTATTGCAAGGATTGTATTATCTATGTTACAGGGTCTCTATGGCGAGGATTATATTCTCTATGTTACAGGGTCTCTATGGCGAGGATTATATTCTCTATGTTACAGGGTTTCTATTGCAAGGAATTATATTCTCTATGTTACGGGGTCTCTATGGCGAGGATTATATTCTCTATGTTACAGGGTCTCTATTGCAAGGATTATATTCTCTATGTTACAGGGTCTCTATGGCGAGGATTATATTCTCTATGTTACAGGGTCTCTATGGCGAGGACGAGATTGTCACGATGGGAACTCAAATATTCATCCTGGGCGTAGACCTTCCAACGGAGACAGGTAAACTATACTTTTGTAGAAATATCTTCTATAGAATGCCCTTATTTGTCAAGAATAAAATCACCCTTAGCATGGCTTTCGGTGTAAACTGCGGTGACCGAAGGAATGAAAGTGAAAAGTTAAATTTTTTCACGATAAGTGTTCCCTATTATACCCTGCTACTCTTTACTGCCCTTTACTGCCCTGCAATACCCTATACTACCCTATACTACCCAATACTTTCTTGTACTACCCGTTAATACCCTATACTACGCTATACTGCCATATACTCCTATGAACTGCCATAAACTGCTCTCTGCAGTCAAATACTGCCCTGTACTGCCCTATAATGCCCTGTACTGCCTTATACTGCCCTCTATTGCCCAATATTTCAGGCATATAGATTCTAACTGTAACGGTATCTACGGTGTGAATCCTATCTCAGGACGAAGCTGGGAGGAGGAGCTGTGTTCAGGATCAGGAGAGAAGGGGATTATATATATTGGTTAGTAAGGATTCAAACTAGATAAACATAAATCCCTGGACCAACATGGATCCCTGTAACCAGGGAAACTAAACCAACATGGATCCCTGTAACCAAGGAAACTAGACCAACATGGATCCCAGGAACCAGGGAAACTAAACCAACATGGATCCCTGTAACCAAGGAAACTAGACCAACATGGATCCCTGGAACCAGGAAAACTAGACTATCATGGATCCCTTTAACCAAGGAAACTTGTATAACATGGATCCCAGGGAAACTAGACCAATATGGATCCCTGGAACCAGGGAAACTAGACCAATATGGATCCCTGGAACCAGGAAACTAGACCAACATGGATCCCTGAAACCAGGGAAACTAGATCAACATGGTTCCCTGGAACCAGGGAAACTAGACCAACATGAATCCCTAAAACCAGGGAAACTAGACCAAGATGGATCCCTGGAACCAGGGAAACTAGACCAAGATGGATCCCTGGAACAAGGGAAACTAGACCAACATGGATTCCTGGAACCAGGGAAACTAGACCAACATGAATCCCTGGAACCAGGGAAACTAGATCAACATGGTTCCCTGGAACCAGGGAAACTAGACCAACATGGATCCCTGGAACAAGGGAAACAAGACCAACATGGATCCCTGGAACAAGGGAAACTAGACCAACATAGATCCTTGTAACCAAGGAAACTAGACCGACATAGATCCTTGTAACCAAGGAAACTAGACCGACATAGATCCTTGTAACCAGGGAAACTAGACCAACATAGATCCCTGGAACCAGGGAAACTAGACCAACATAGATCCTTGTAACCAGGGAAACTAGACCAACATAGATCCTTGTAACCAGGGAAACTAGACCAACATAGATCCCAGGAACAAAGGAAACTAGACCAACATGGATCCCTGGAACGAGGGAAACTAGACCAACATAGATCCCTGGAACCAGGGAAACTAGACCAACATAGATCCCTGGAACCAGGAAAACTAGACCAACATGGATCCCTGGAACCAGGGAAACTAGACCAACATAGATCCTTGTAACCAGGGAAACTAGACCAACATAGATCCTTGTAACCAGGGAAAGGATGATAATATAATTTAACAGTCTTCTAAAGTAATCAAAAATATGTTTTTTTATATTTGATGAGAAAAAAAATTGTTTAAAAATAAGCTTAAAAACAAACGTAATTATTTTAAAATATAATTAAAAATTCAGAAACTTAAGTTTTTATTTAAACACGTAGATACTAGATAAACATAAAAATACGCTTAAAATTAAATCTATTTTATTATCAGGTGATTCAGTCGGGGCCCATTTTCATATTCCGGCTCAGGTCATATATATAGTGTCATCTACATCATATACATAGTATCATCTATACAATAAAGCTATATTTGCTCATATATATATTTATATTTATGTATATGTATGTATGTATATATGTTAGCTATAGCTTGCGTCTGAAAGTTCTAAAAATAAAGCCAAACTGCAAAAACGTGCCAAAACCAAGTAATCTTGGGAAACCAGCTTTGCCTGTAGATATAAACTATTTTTAAACCAAGTAAAGAACAATCCCCAGATTTTAACGAATTCCGGGTTCCCAAAAAAAATTCAAACAAATTCATAAAGAAATTTAGTGATTGCCCAAACTCAAATTTCTTAATCTTCGCAACCTGATAGTGTAAATCTTTTACTTCGTAAACTTACGACTATTTGATTAAACAGAATTTATTGAGTTGTAAAGATCTAGAGATTGTGTCAAAGACTCAATTCCTTAATCCTAAACATCCTGTACAATAAATATATTCTCATATTGATGTTCTCTAGTGGTTTTCTCCAGTGGATATCGGAGGCCAGATATTCACTAATTTAACGGAGGTTATCACAAACGAAGGAGATTGGCCTCATCTAGGGTTTGCTACAGGGTTCAGGTATATCTTATAAATTATACCTTAATAAAGGGACTGTTGTCGAATAATTAGGGTTTGCTACAGGGTTCAGGTACATCTTATAAATTATACCTTAATAAAGGGACTGTTGTCGAATAATTAGGGTTTGCTACAGGGTTCAGGTACATCTTATAAATTATACCTTAATAAAGGGACTGTTGTCGAATAATTACAATTACCTCTATATTTCTACAGTGGCATGTTTGATTCTCACAAGTGTTCTCCGAAAACCTTTGTCCCGTCAAGAATTAGAATGAGATATTAAGACAAAAAAGTGGCGTTTTGGATTAGACACTTTAAATCACAATTTACACATCTTCTTCTAAACAGAGATGTTCTCAATTTGTATTTAACAATCTATCCCGTTTCAAATATCTTAACAACAAAAACTGAAGCGCTCCAATTCAGGATAAATTACGCTTACTTAAACAATTGGCTCCAAAAAAAGGTTTCCAGCGAAAAAAACTTTCGCGAAAATGCGAAATTTTGCACAGTTTTTTGGCGAAATTTTTTTGTTCGAGAATAAGATTATAATTTTCGCTTTTTTTTCAACGAACGAAATGCGAAAAATGAGAAATTTTCGCGAAACGATTTCCCCATTTGACTGGAAACCATACTCTCAAACTGTCCATATTCAAGAACTGTAAAATGTGTTCTGGAAAATAAAACTTTAATTTTACATTTAATGCTTAGGAATTCATCAATGCCGGATTTGATACACGGGAAAGTAGATTCCATTTATCTGCGGTGAGTTGAAATTAATTTAAAACCTTCATCGAAACTTTTCAATGTTTTATTTTTGAATTGAGGCTTCGGGAACGGAATCTGTGCAATCACCGAGATTATCAGAATCTTGCAAGGTAAGATATTCAGTTCTTCAAACTTAAAGGGAGTGTTCGCGAAAAATTAAAGGAGGTATCGGTTATCGTCGTTTTGAATTCGACATCGATTGCTACTAATTTTACTTCTATCTGTTGACGTATTTTCAAATGACTCTCCATTTATGGGGTGGCATGTCGATTCACAATTCGGTACCCTTCAAACCTTTATCTCAATTCTGACAATCATCATTTATGAATCTGCAAAAAAACAGTTTAAAATTAGTTGATACAGTGATAGCCGGAAAAAGTCTGGAATAGGAAGCCGACTTTTAGGATTAAGTTATGACTTTAAATAGTCCAGAGATGGAATTTAAAGAATTTGAGCCGCGGTTTAAATCTGCCAAAACCCGTTTTAAATTAAGCGCCGGCGTAAATCTTGAAACATTTGATACAATTTTAAGTGGAACCAACCATATTTAAGCCGCGGTTTAAATTTAAACCGCCGCTCAAATTCTTTAAATTCGGCCAATGTTTACATGAGGCACAGGGATTGTACAGTGAAATTAGACCCATTTCAGCTAATAATTTATAAACTCTTTTTGCTTTGAAACAGCATTAAATGCACTTCAGAATATGGTGGTAGGCGATAATGCCAGTAGACGACTTTTTAATTTAAGTTTTTATTGTTAACAAGCTTTTTTCAATTTACAAGTAAAAAAGAGAAGCTTTTTAAATTGACAGCTCCTTTTTGTTTGCTTATTTTTTGTGTATCAAAATTTAAATCGAAAGTTGTCTTATGTATATTGATATAATAGCCTACCACCGTAACTCATCTTGGAAATTTGTATAGGAAAGTATTTACTCCCATGCTCCCTAAAACATTTTTTTTTCAAAGGGAGGGGTCGAAGGGGGGGGGGATGTATTAAGATTAGCCAAGCTAATTTTGTCAGTATGAAATGTGTTGCTACTTCATATATAATATTTAAATTTGGCTTGTCTGTCTGTTTGCTTGTTTTTTTGTATCCAATAAACGTCAAAACGGCTGAACCGATCGGGCCCAATGTGCAGGACCTCACGTGACCCCAGGGAAGGTTTATGAATGATCAAAATTTTAAAAATTAGTGTTTAAAAGTTTTTTATTTTTGTAAAATTTTATAAAATCTTGAAAATCCGCGAATTTATTTTTAAAATCCGCAAACTTTTTTTCTTCTTTGCTTTAAAATGTACACAAAGAGAACATCTTTACAATTTAAATGTAAGATGGGTGAGAAGCGCCATAAAAGTCTAGAATATATATAATTGTAAATGTAAATGTAAATCCTGTTCATGTTTCACAGCCACTTAAAAACTGTTAGTGTTGTTTCTCGTTTTGGTTCGATTTTTAAACTTTTAATAAAACTTTCAACATTTCAAAACTGTCTTTTGTTTATCATTCCTTTTAAAAAAACGTTGAACTTTCTTTGTAAACGTCTTTTTGAAAGACTGAACTTAATGCACGTTAATAACTTTATGTGATTAATTTAATTTATATTTAAGAAACGGAGCAAATTCTACCGATACACTGTTCTATATACAAGCTCTCAATCAGTCCAGACGGTAAGTTTAGTTAATCAGTCTAGCATTTATAGGCATCCTTAATCAGTCCAGACGGTAAGTTTCGTTAATCAGTCTAGCATTTATAGGTATCCTTAATCAGTCCAGACGGTAAGTTTCGTTAATCATTCTAGCATGTATAGGTATCCTTAATCAGTTTTGTCGGTTAGTTTCGTTAATCAGTCTAGCATTTATAGGTATCCTTAATCAGTCCAGACGGTAAGTTTCGTTAATCAGTCTAGCATTTATAGGTATCCTTAATCAGACCAGACGGTAAGTTTCGTTAATCATTCTAGCATGTATAGGTATCCTTAATCAGTTTTGTCGGTTAGTTTCGTTAATCAGTCTAGCATGTATAGGTATCCTTAATCAGTCCAGACTGTAAGTTTCGTCAATCAGTCCAGCATTTATAGGTATCCTTAATCAGTTTCGACGGTAAGTTTCGTTAATCAGTCTAGCAGATATAGGTATCCAATCAGTCTAGATACTAAATTTCGTTGATCAGTCTAGATGTTAGGTATCAGTAATCAGTCCAATTGGCAAGTTTCGTTTATCAGTCCATAGTTTAGGTATCCTTAATAGGTCCATGGATCCAGAAGGTAAAATTTGTTAATCAGTCTAGATGTTAGGTATCAGTGATCAGTCTAGATGTTAGGTATCAGTGATCAGTCTAGACGGTAAATTTCGTTAATCAGTCCAGACTTTAGACGATATATATTGGAATAAGTCCCATCAGTAGCCCGAGTAGGTATCGCTAATCAGTCTGAATAGTTACTCCTGCCGTAAATCCGTGCTTGGTCTTAAATTACAATTTTAGCTATTTTTCCTAATAAAAGTAAGACCCACTCAACTTAGAACCTCAAAACCAAGCGACATTACCGTGGTTATCCCGAATTTCTCAACAAAAAATATAAGGAGTTCCTGAACAATGATCGTGCATACAAACAGAGATTACAATTTTACATACATATATTTGAATGGGTGTTCAGATGTTTCAATCAAGAATTTTAGAAGGCGAAAAAACTATTTATCTAAATATTTCAGGGATCTGCCGGCTATAGTGTTTTATGCTCTAATTGGTAACGATGTTTGCACCGAGAAACCAGACCCTGATATGTAAGTTCAATTTTCATCAACTGTTAATTTTTCTTCATTTCCTTTATATCAAATTGGTTTTTATTTAGAATGACAACCCCGCAGATGTTTCAAGAAAATACTTTAAAAGTTCTTCAAATTCTGGAAAAACAATTAGCACCGGGTAATTTGTTTGTTTTATTGTTTTATCTTTAATCATAACACAAACATGATTTTTATCCAACAAATTATTTAAGATAACAAATTATATAGTTAAATCTGTTTTCACGAAATAATGTAATTCATGTTATTTAGGTTAAGGTTCAATTAAGTTTTATTTATATTTAAGAAAATTATTTAAGTCTGGTTGGCTTACAAAAGTTTAATATGTTTCAAGGAGCCATGTTTTTATGGTTAACTTACAAAAGTTGAATCTGTTTAAGGAAGCCATGTTGTTCTGGTTGGTTTAAAAAATAAATCTGTTTCAGGAAACCATATTGCTTTTTAGGCTCGTTTTACATGAGTTGAATTTGATTAAAGAAGTCACATATTTCTGATTGATTTACATAAGTTGATTATGTTAATGGAGGCCATTTTGATCTGGTTGGTTTACAGATGCTGAATCTGCTTCAGGGAGCCATGTTTGTTCTAGTTGGTTTACATAATTTTAATCTGTTTCAGGAAGCAATGTCGTCCTGGTTGGTTTACATAAGTTGATACTTTTACAGGAAGATATATTTTTCTATAGTTGGTTTACATAAGTTGATATTTTCTTAGGAAGCCATGTTGTTCTTTATTGGTTTACAGAAGTTGAATATTTTTCAAAGAGCCATGTTGTTCAAGTTGGTTTACATAAGTTGTATCTGTTTCAGGAAGCCACCTTGTTCTAGTTGGGCTTATAGATGCTGCTTTCCTTTATGATGCAATGGCGGAGCGCTTTCATCCCCTTGGAGCATACAATAAAAATATTAAATACAAGGTAAAAACATGTTGTCTCAAATTTGATTTTGTTAGTATTCTATTTTTGCTCACATCTTACGTTTACATGTTTTCAATCACAGCCCTATTTCTGACACGCTATTGAGAAAAAAATCAAATTTCTCCGGAGCTTCAAGATGTATCAGTGACTTTGCGTAAAGGAATTGAGTCTTTGCCACAAACTCTGCTTTTCTAAACCTTATTTCTTTGGATTCCAATGTCATAGACCTTAGATAATTCAAACTATGAATTCTGTTAGATCAAATAATGTAAGTTTGAAATATCAAAGAGTTACGACATTGGGTTCCAAAGATTTAGGGATTATAAATTCAGAGTTTGTGGCAAAGACTCAGTTCCTTTGACTTTTTCCTTACATATTAAGATTAAAGTGTTTTGTACTCTATAGGACATGTATGCCTGGTTCAACTGTATGCAGATTGGACCATGTGCAGGCTGGATGAACTGGAACAGTACATTGAGGTAAATAGTAGTTAAATAACCACATGAAAACTTTATAGAGATTATTTAGCTCTTTTGGAGAATATGAATTTTCAGCCTTGGAAAGAAATAAAAAAGTCCTGAAATGAAAAATGTTTGCTTTCTCCAAAAACGTACAGTTTTCTCCGTCAATATTTATAAAAACGTACAGTTTTCTCAATCAATATTTATAAAAACGTAAAGTTTTCTCCGTCAATATTTATAAAAACGTACAGTTTTATCCATCAATATTTATAAAAACGTACAGTCTTCTCCATCAATATTTATAGAAACGTACAGTTTTATCCATTAATATTTTTAAAAACGTACAGTTTTCTCCATCAATATTTATAAAAACGCAAATAACTGCGCGCCTCATTTACCAACACATTTTTGGAACTCTGAACTTTTGAAAGATCTCCTAGTTATCAAATTGACATTTTGATCAAATGCACATTACTAAAAATCATATGCACTTCTTCAGATATGGAATAACCTGCCACTTGATTTAAAAAGAGTGCCTATTGCCAGGCATATTTCAAAATTGGTTATTACAAAGAGCAACAAACCAATTTGCTATTTTTGATGATGAAAAACTATAAATAAGTTTCTCAACTTAAAAACTGAAAATTTGTTTGAAATGGCAAATATTCTCTTTTAAAGGCTTTAAATTTTGATATTACTGATATTTATGTTAAAAGTATTTTTGAAAAATAAATATTACAATTGTTTTGAATTGAAAAGTAAATTCTAAAATATAAATAAAAAACCATATTCTATTTCAGATCCATTACTTCCAAGAGGTCAAGAGAGCTCAGGGATATATGACAAGAATTCAATATTATTGTTTTTATAAATACAACAGAGTACACAGATAGGACATCAGACTTTATATCTGATTTTCTGCAGCTTCTTTAAAAAAACTTCCCGATTTACAACGTTAACATTGACATCTAAAAGCACTAAGTGAATAATCTGCATTATCTGCATTATCTTTATAATCTGTATCATCTGTATAATCTTTGTAATCTGTTTTATCTGTATTATCTGTATTATATGTACAATCTGTATAATCTGTATAATCTGTATTATCTGCATCATCTGTATAATCTGTATAATCTGTATAATCTGTATAATCTGTATAATCTGTATAATCCATGTGTTATCTGTATAATCTGTATAATCTGTATAATCTGTGTTATCTGTATAACCTGTATAATATGTGTAATCTCTATGATCTGTATAATCTTTATTATCTGTAAAATCTGTATTATCTGTATTATCTGTATAATCTGTGTAATCTGTGTTATCTGTATAATCTGTATAATCTGTGTAATCTCTATGATCTGTATTATCTTTATTATCTGTATAATCTGTACAATATGTATCATCTGTATCATCTGTATCATCTGTATCATCTGTATAATCTGTATAATCTGTATAATCTGTATAATCTGTATAATTTGGATAATCTGTATAATCTGTATAATCTGTATAATCTGTATAATCTATATAATTGTATCATCTGCATCATCTGTATCATCTGTATCATCTGTATCATATGTATCATCTGTATAATCTGTATAATCTGTATAATCTGTATAGTCTGTATAATCTGTATAATCTATATAATCTGTATAATCTGTATAATCTGTGTATTCTCTATGATCTGTATTATCTTTATTATCTGTATAATCTGTATAATTTGTATAATCTGTATAATCTGTATAATCTGTATGATCTTATATAATCTGTGTTATCTGTATATCTGTACAATCTGTACAATATGTGTTATCTGTTTAATCTGAATAATCTGTGTAACCTGTATAATTTGTTTTATCTGTATAATCTGTATAATCTGTATCATCTGTATCATCTGTGAAGAAACTTGCTCATTATATTACCTACAGTGATGTTCTACGCCAGATTGCTGAAAAACAGAAGTTTTTTAACTTTGACATCACGTTTATTGATAATCCCTTCCAAACAGGTAAAATAATGTTAATTGATAATTCTTTTCAAACAGGTAAAATAATGTGCATTGATAATCCCTTCCAAACAGGTTAAATAATAATTATTGATAATCCCTTCCAAACAGGTTTAATAATAATTATTGATAATCCCTTTCAAACAGGTAAAATAATGTTTATTGATAATCCCTTTCAAACAGGTAATATAATGTTTATTAATAATCCCTTTCAAACAGGTAATATAATGTTTATTAATAATTCCTTTCAAACAGGTAAAATAATGTTTATTGATAATCCCTTTCAAACAGGTAAAATAATGTTTATTGATAATCCATTTCAAACAGGTAAAGTAATGTTTATGGATACTCCCTTTCAAACAGGTAATATAATGTTTATTAATAATAATTTTCAAACAGGTAAAATAATGTTTATTGATAATCCCTTCCAAACAGGTAAAATAATGCTTATTGATAATCTAATGTTTATTGATAATCCCTTCCAAACAGGTAAACTAATGTTTATTGATAATCCCTTTAAAACAGGTAAAATAATGTTTATTGATAATCCCTTTTAAACAGGTAAAATAATGTTTATGGATAATCCCTTTCAAACAGGTAAAATAATGCTTATTGATAATCCCTTTCAAACAGGTAAAATAATGTGTATTGATAATCCCTTTTAAACAGGTAAAATAATGTTTATTGATAATCCCTTTCAAACAGGTAAAATAATGTTTATTACTTCATCATCTTCATAAAAAGATTTTAATAAAAAGAATTCTCTAAACTACTTGCTTTAAAAACCCAAAAAAAAATTCTGTCGAAGATTTCAATATTGAGAAAGGTATTGCATAAACCTGTGCTGTTTCAAAGTTTATCATGGGGCGTTAAATTAATTTTTCAAACGACTATAGATTGTGTCAGTTTAATTTGTAAACATTTTAAGAACTTTCTCAGGCTTAATTAAAAAGATTACACAGGATCTTTTGAATTTTCTAAAAAGATGTAAAGGTAATATAAGTCTCAAGTTACCCTCCATGAATAACTGGCAATACCTGATTCACAACGGTACCCTTAAAAGCTTTGTCTGATCAAGTATGAAATAAATATTAATGTTTATAGTTTTTAAAACTGAATATTTTCAATTGTGGTTCCTCTACAAAAGTGGCTTGTGCATTTCTTCTGCAGGAAAGCATATAAGAATTTTTAGAATCAAACCGATCTAAACCTAGAAAAAGTACAATATCTTCCACATTATTGATCAAATAAAGGTTTCAAGGGTACCGTTGTGAACCGGACAAGGCCGTCACTTGAAATAACGCGTATTGTCCCTTTAATATGTTCAGTGATAAATAGTTGGATATCTGGAGGAGGAGAAGTGTATCAGTTAGTTGAACCAGTAGACAGTCTGCATCCAACTCAGGACAACTTTATTAGAATAAAATATTCTCTTAACTTATTACTCAGATTTCTCGTAATACTAAAATCTGATTAATTGTTTTTAATTAAATTTTTCCCTCTTTTATTGAAGAATTTAATATCTCCTTATTGCGCGGAAACCCAGAGCTAGATGAGCTGCGGGGTCACAACAACGTCTGGGGGAGAAATAAAAAAAAAAACTTGGATATACTTCCCTGAATCTCATAAAAAGAATTTAAGAAAATTTCAAAAACATTAAAAAAATCAGGAATTATTTGTTCTTGCAAGAAAGGAATTGAGTCTTTGTCACAAACTCTGATTTTCTAATACCTGTATCTTTGCAATCCAATTTCGTAGAAGTTAAATATTTCAAACTATGAATTCTATTAGATCAAATAGCCTGAGTTTGAAATATCAAGGGTTTCCACCATTAGGTTGCCAAGATAAAAGGATTGAAAAATTTGAGTTTGTGGCAAAAACTCAATTCTTTTAGAGAATAATAATTTAGAGAACCAAAAAATTGTATTAGAAATGAAAAACGTTTTCTCACCTCTTTATTCATAAATAGAAGATTAATGAAAAATGTTTTCATTTACCAACTTTGTATAAAATACAGTAACAATCTTTTTTAGGCTAATTAACTTGAGAATAAAGCCATTAAACAAACAACTTGAGAAAATTAAACTAATTAAACTAATTAAACTATTTTCTAATAAATCTTCAAATTGTACACAGGCCGCACAGACTTTAATTGCGGAGCAGGTTCATATTTTTAGTATTTCATATTTTGTTTTGTATTTGTTGATCTTATTATTTATGAATGTCTAGTGTCCATGCTTTATATGAATTGGGATTAGAAAGAAAAGATTGATCCCTCCGGTTTTATGTTTAAACACATGTAAGAAAAGTATCTACTTTTTTTAGATCATTCATAAAGTTTTCTTTTAATTGTGGTTGAATCCCTTAATCTTCTTTACAATAAACATTGTGAAATAAACTAAAAACTTTGAGGAAACACCTGGAACCTGTAAATGAAAATATATTATCTTTGAGGTGGTGGTAAACTTGTGAATCCACTTGTAAATATTTTCAAAGGAACTGAGTTTTTCCAACAAACTCAAATAGTTAACTTTCTGTATCTTTACAACCTGATGGTTAAAACCTTTGATATTTCAAACTTAAATTATTTGATCTAACATAATTCAAAGTTTGAAATATCAAATATATACAATATTGGGTTGTAAAGATATAGGGATTAGAAAATCAGAGTTTGTGGCAAACACTCAATTCCTTTAGATAAGCGAAACAAATAATAGAGTTATAATTATAATTTAGGTATGGTCAGAACTTCTTGAAAAGGCTCCACATATCATTGGACCAGTAAATCCGGCAAATCAGCTGATTCAGAAGCTGTTTGGTGATCAAGGAGGACATTAATCAGCTGATTCTACAGCTGTTTGATGATCAAGGTGGACATTAATAAGCTGTTTGATAATCAAGGTGGACATTAATAAGCTGTTTGGTGATCAAGGTGGACATTAACCAATTGATGTAACAGCTGTTTGTTGATTAAGTTGCAGACATTATTCAGCTGATTCAGCAGCTGTTTGGTGATCCGGGTTTACCTTAATCAGCTGTTTGGTAATCATGGTGGACATTAATTAGCTGATTCATCAGCTGTTTGGTGATCAAGGTGGACATTAATCAGCTGTTTGGTGATCAAGGTTGACATTAATCAGCTGATTCAACAGCTGTTTGGTAATCATGGTAAACATTAATCAGCATATTTGTGATCAAGGTGGACATTACTCAGCTGTTTGGTGATCAAGATGGACATTAATCAGCTGATTCAACAGCTGTTTTGTGATCAAGGTGGTAGATCAGTTGTTTTGGTGATCAAAATGGACAAAAATCAGCAGCCGATTCTACATCTGAACATTAATCAGCTGATTCGCCAATTTATTTTCAATAAAAAAAGCGTAAGATGTCATATGACTCTGTTATTATTTATTTCTCTATTTATTAGAATAAATCTAAAAAATATTAAATTAAAAGTGTTTGTAAAGATTGCCTCGGCCCGCGACTAAACTCAAGGTTTGGTCGAGTTTACTATAATAAAAATAAGCAAAATGTGACGAGCAATTAATAGATCTTAATGTATTGTAAACTGAACCAGAGATTATAAAAATAGTTTTTTTTCTGCCTCATACGGTGATCGGCGTTTTTATCAATATAATGAAGACGACTTTTTAACTTAAGTTTTAATTAATTTAATTGTTCACACGCTTTTTTAGAATTACAAGTTTACAAACAATTAAAGAGAAGTTTTTTTTAATTGACAGCTCGTTGTTTCTATATTTTTATGTATCCATGCCGCTTAAAAGTTTGATTTACATCAAAATTGAAATCTAAAGTTGTATTCATTGTATTAATATAATCGCCAACACCGTAGGTTAATCAGAGGTCAGTGAGCCTTAACTTTAGAGCCCATTTTGACCAATAAAATGTTAAGTTTTCTACTTTTATACTTTTTTTGCATGGGCTAAACGTTTTAAATGTTTAAAGGGAGTGTTCGCGAAAAATTAAATCGGAGTATAGGCTTACGTCGAAACATTATCGATAGTAATCTTACTTCTATCTGTCGTGTCTATAAGGAGAAAATTTTTTAAACGACTCATACCGAAGAACGTAAGAGGGGAGACAGATCAGCCACAACAAATTCTCGTCCGAGCCACATTCTCCTCATTTTCTCGGCCGAGCCACTTCGGAATCCTTGTCCTTCGATTATTAGGTGAGTTTAATGTTCCAATTTTAAGGATAAAACTATTTTTTTTAAATCTGGCCACGTTAGGCCATAAGATATGAACCGACTACAGTATTGCAATGATTACATCATATAAATAAAGAATTCTATGTTCTATGCTTGTCTAGATATTAAGAATTCTATATTCTATGCTCAACTTTAAATATTGAGAATTTTTATGTTCTTTTCTCAGCTAGATATTAAGAATTCTATGTTATATGCTCAGTTAGATATTAGGAATTCTATGTTCCATACTCAGTTAGATATTAAGAATACTATGTTCTATGCTCAGCTTTATATCAATAATTCTATGTTTTATGCCCTGCTCTTGATATTAAGAGTTATGCTCAGTTAGATATTCAGAATTCTATGTTCTTTGCTCAGCTAGATATTAGGAATTCTATGTTTTATGCTCAGTTAAATATTAAGAATTCAATGTTCTATGCTCAGCTATATATCAATAATTCTATTTTTTATGCTCTGCTCTTGATATTAAGAGTTGTATGTTCTATGCTCAGCTAGTTATTAAGAATTCTATGTTCTATGTTCAGCTATATATTAAGAATTCTATGTTCTATACTGCAGCTATATATCAATAATTCTATGTTTTATGCTCTGCTCTTGATATTAAGAGTTATATGTTTTATGCTCAGCTAGATATTAAGAATTCTTTCTATGTTTTATGCTCAGCTAGATATTTAGAATTATATATTCTATGCTCAGATAGATATTAAGAGTTCTATGTTCTATGCTCAGCTATATGTTTATAATTCTATGTTCTATTCTCAGCTAGATATTTTAGAATTATATATTCTATGCTGAGTTAGATAACAAGAGTTCTATGTTTTATGCTCAACTAGATATTCAGAATTCTATGTTCTATGCTCAGTTAGATATTAAGAATTCTATGTTCTATGCTCAGCTAGATTATTAAGAATGATATGTTTTATGCTCAGCTATATTAAGAATTCTATATTCTATGCTCAGCTAGATATTCGGAATGATATGTTCTATGCTCAGCTACATATTACGAGTTCTATGTTCTATGCTCAGCTAGATATTCAGAGTTCTATGTTCTATGCTCAACTATATGTTAAGAATTCTATGATCTATGTTTTGCTCTAGATATTAAGAGTTCTATGTTCTATGTTCTGCTTTAGATATTGAGAGTTCTATGTTCTATGCTCAGATATATATTAAGAGTTCTATGTTCTATGCTTAGCTAGATGTTAAAATATATATTAATTTTTAAATTTATGTTAATATTTTTCAATAATTTAGAAAATTTTATTAAAAAATATTTGAATATCATTTACTAATTTTTCATTTTAATTAAGAATTTTACTTCATGGGGAAATTGTTGTTGGGCAAATTAGGGATTGTGGAAGTTGTATTGGGCAAATTAGGGATTGTGGATGTTGTATTGGACAAATTAGGGATTGTGGAAGTTGTGTTGGGCAAATTAGGGATTGTGGATGTTGTATTGGACAAATTAGGGATTGTGGAAGTTGTGTTGGGCAAATTAGGGATTGTGGATGTTGTATTGGACAAATTAGGGATTGTGGAAGTTGTGTTGGGCAAATTAGGGATTGTGGAACTTACTATTGGTGAAATAAGGGATTGGGGAAGTTGCTAATAGTGAAATTAGTGATTGTGAAATTTGTGGTGGGAATATTACCCTCCGATAGAGACGTCGGAAATCTAAAAAGATATTTTACTATTCTCACCCTAATCCCCTTCCTCCCCCTTGAGTAAATATTACTTACGTCAATTAGAAATTGTATTGACGTCATCAGAGGGGGGAGCATGTAAACTTTGCTTACAAATATAAGATAAGGTTTGGGTATGTGTTGATTAGATGGCCGTGGGAAGGGGGGGGGGCGGGGCTCTTCTACAAAGAGCAGGGAGCGGATTGTTGAAAGGATTTTATAAGAGGCGGGGTTTTGACCAACATTACCGACCTATGATTCCCCAACAGAGTGTCGTTAAGTTACTCTACGTCCCTTGGGACCATAAAGTAAAATAACGACCCGTTCTACTATGTTCTCATACAAAAAATTGAGCATTTTCATCTCAAAAGACGATAAAATTGTGTTCAACTACTTTCTCGGGAAATTAAAAGTGTTACTTAACCACCCCAGTTCCCTCGAACAATTTTGCCAACAAAACATCCCTCGCTGGTCTTGGGAACCCTTGGTAAAGTAAACTTGCTTAACTTCCCTAATTGTAATCATAATTGGAATACTAAAATCTAGATTAGTAAAAAACTGTCAATCAGAGCTCCATGTTTGATTTTATTATTAATTAATTTTAAAGAGACAATTTAAAATATTTTTAAAGAGAATAACTTTCCTTGTTTCTCTCATCAAGAAATTAAATTAGCTCATTAGCTCAGTGTGTTATGAGTTCACGGCAACACTGCTGGATTGAGAGATCGACCTCAAAAACCAGATTATTCCAGTTTCTCTATAAGTCTTACTTATAAGTTTCTCTAGATACAGGGTTACCCACAAATGATGAGACTTCAGAGACAGATATTTGACATGTTGCAAACTGTCTGTTTCCGTATTTTCATGATTCTCTGCAATATAAACTTCTTTTTTGTCTTTGCCAAGTCACTAAATAAGCCATTTAAAGACCACATTTAAGCCAGAAAACTTAATCGTAACATTGAAAAGTTTCAAGTCGTTTTTATAGTCTCAACCTTTCTGCGTCACCCTGTACTGTTTTACATGTATCAAATTCTGGGTCACCCTGTACTGTTTATCATACATGTATCAAATTGAAGACTCTAGAAAGCTGTATTTACAGTTAGAAAAATATAGAAACCAGGTTGCAACAAAACAACTGTTTAAGTTAAGCAACAATCTTTAAACATTTTTCATAAAAACATTTACTTTTCGCCTAATTTCTATATCCGAACCACAATCTCATCATTTTCTCATCCGAGACACATAATCCTCAAATTCTCCTTTAAACCAAATTCTCATCATTTTCGAGTCCGAGCCACATTCTCATCGTTTTCGATTCCGAGCCACATTCTCATCCTTTTCGAGTCCGAGCCACATTCTCATCATTTTCTCATATTAACCATAATCTTATCATTTTCTCATCCGAGCCACATTCTCGCAATTTTCTCATCTTTGCCACATTCTAATAATTTTTTCATCCGAGCCGCATACTCCTCATTTTCTTTTCGGAACCATCTACATATTAGAACTGAATAAATTAAAAATCAACTGGATTTAAATGTTATTAGGTTAAATGTCTAATACGATCAAAACTATGAATATGAATAGTTTTCAAATTGAATTTTAAAATTTCAATAACGAACCTGGCGGAATGGTCCAAAAACTTGGATTGGGGTCAGCTTTTTTATTAGTTTCTTTTATTTAACCAAAACTAAACAGTTCTATACAGTCATTTTATCCAGCTTGCATTCTCTTTATTATATACTACAGTTAGAGTATCCAGCGTTGGCCTGGTGTGAAATTATAATCAAAGCTTGAAGTTCCCTGCGTTGACTGTGAAATTTCAAAAATTTCAAAATTTGTTTAGCCTTTGTCACCCCTGGGGGTTATACCTCATGGGATCTCTATAAATATCAGCCAGGTTGGTCATGGCCGTTAGGTCAGCTATGGCTAACATATATGTATATAAGCACAGATTCTATACTCTTGCAGTCTAACAGTTTACATTTATTTATATTTCATAAAAAAATAATTTCTTACTTACTTACTTACTTTCTTATTTACTTACTTACTTACTTACTTACTTACTTACTTACTTACTTACTTTTACTTACCTACTTACTTATTTACTTACTTACTTACTTACTTACTTACTTACTTACTTACTTACTTAATTCGGAGGAAATGTAAAGGAAATTTTCCAATGAGAATAAGTATAAATGATGTTGCTATTAGCACGTAAATCCTACAATTACATCATGGAAACTATTAACGGTCACTGTATGGTATTGTGTGTTGAAAAAAAGGAAAATAAAGCTATAAGAAAAAAATGTTTTAGATCTTACGCTAACGTTATTCCTATCCGCCATATGTACAGTAATTTAAAAATTTGAAATCTGAAAATTATCTTTCAAAATGTCATGTTTTTGGGATTTATATGGTATCAGATCAGATACCATGATACCATGGAATCAGTTAAAAATAGGGATAATTTAAAGGGGGTGTTCGCGACAAATTAAGGGGGGTATAGGCTTACATCGAAAAATTATCGATGGTGATCGCTACTAATCCTACTTCTATCTGTTGCGTCTAAAAGGAGAAAATTGTTAAAAACGACTCGTACTCAATAATATTTCGACGCATTTCTATATAGTTGATATTTCATAATATCTTTAATTTCTTATGATCTGAGATTACCTTTGGAAAACATTTATTCCTGTTTCGAGGATTTTTGATAATGAAGACGACATTTTCATATTTTACAGGAATGTTCGAAAATCTAGCGCCAGCCGTGAAAACAAGTTGTAAGCTATATATTGCTTTACAAAAAAACACAAATCAAAAATATTATAAAATATCAACTTTTTATACACCCCTTTCGCGAATTTTCGCGAATACTCCCTTTAAGAATATTGCTGTGTGGACCCTATAGTGGCAAACGGACCTGGGATTGTGGGAGAGGGGGGCCAAGGGGGAAGGAAAATTCCATGGGACCCCTATCTACAATTAGTAAAAATTGGGTGTCACAGAAAAAATGCCACACTAATAAGAAAATTAATATTATTATTATTTTTGTTATTATTATTATTAATAATTAAATTATTAAAGTTATCATTCCAACTTTTTAAATGAACTTTTCATTTTTTCTGCTTAAATTGGTGGATCTTCAGATATTATAAAAGTCGACATTTTATCATGCACAATTTTTCTATTTCAACCAGGCATAAACTTTCCCTGGGGTAATGTGAGTTACTGAAAAATTTGATCCCGATCTGGTCAGCAGTTTTGACCTTTATTTGAAACAGTGCAATTACCAAGTTATATATCATTATCATAAAGAGAACTTGTATTATCTTTCTTACCATCATTAGTATTTTCATCATTGTGATTTATGGTTTAAAAACTATCGCAATTTTATTACAATAACTATCTTATAAGTAACACCCTGCAGGATATTCTAGATGGTTCCATGAGTTGTTGTTTAAAAGTTCTAGAAAATAATATTTATTATTATTTATAAATATTAATTTATCTATTTGTCTACCTAACACTTGATGGGAATATATACTGCAGTGTGTGCCAGGAAAAGTTCTATAAGAAACCATGTAGAAGAGGTAAAATAAGTTCTTTTTTGAGAAAATTGATAGAAAAGTCCCTCGAAACATGACGGTAGCAAGACGATTTGAAAGTCGTCTTTGGTCTTTGCATTTATTTGAGACATTCAGTCGTCAACCTTCTTTCACACGTATAATTCTTTAAAAACATTAACCACAAAATTCTCCTAGTTTTGGGATTTTCAAAATGTGGTCTGTCTTTTTTGTGCTGTCAATATTACCAAAGATATTGAGAATTTCGTTCAGATTTTAATTCTTTTAAATAAAACCAGAATTGTCGAAATCTCCGGTAATATTGCGGTAATATTAAGTGTACAAAAAAGGCAAACCAAAGGAATTGCTAGAACAAGGGGTCTCTTCTGTGACTGTTAACTCTAGAATTTTACTTCTAAAATTTGGTTTACAAATATGTCTTATTACTATCATGTTTCGTTTTTTAAAACAATGTTTTTTTCTGTATTTTTTTCAGTTCATAATAGTTTGACAAAAATATAAAGATCATGGAAGAAGAAAAAAATCTGATAAAAAAAAATATTTTAGGAATGTCGTATTATGTTAAACATTTTGATTTTTTGATTTCTTTAAACATTACTGTTCCGTCCTATCTCTTGTGTTCCAGAGCTAATCACATTTCTCTGTATTTTTTTTTTTATTAATTTTAATTAATATTTTTTAGAATTTCGACATCAACCAGAACGTAGAACCAGGAGGGTTCTACAAACCTGTTGTTGGTGATGGGCTAAATACTGCCGGTAATCCTGAGGGAGACCTTCATCCTCCCTCACCCTTCAATTCTCCCTCTTCAACAACCTCATCGAGACGAAGTTCCGCGCATTCCACCGAGAGCGGTGGTACCTCGAACTTTAACGAGCAGACATTCTTTCGGAGTCGACAAAAAGACGATTGGGTGATTGTCGACCTCAAGACTGTCACTGATCCTATGGAGAGCGCGTCATTGAGTAGTCGCAGGCGCTTGTTTCTCCCATAGAGCCAGGACACGTCTGGTCTGCGCTACAGGAAGCAAGTCAACTCTCAGTGCAAACCCAGGCGTACGCAACCAGAAGTGGAACTTTTGATCGCCACAGTTGAGGATTGGACTATCGTGGATTTATCTCCTAAAATGTAAATGAATGTCGTCATTGATTCTTTGAAATATTTGTAGCGCAATTGTTATGGGTTTTCCTTGCCGTGTAATTTTATGACAAGAACCGCGCCATTTTTATCTTGAAATGGCGCATTTTTTCAAAAATAGTTTTTTTAGATAATAAATGTTCGACATGTTTGTTCTTTTTTATTCAGTGCAATACATATAGAGTATTTAGAGGTCGTCTTTGCATGAGATAATGGCGGTAAAGACGACTTTCAAAGACTCAGGGGAGTTTAAAATGATTTTGTTCAACAAGTATAGATGTATACATATGTAATAAACCCAAATTACACACAGCTAAACCAGCTTAACCTTGGGGGTGTTTTAATTAATGTTTTTTTTTCTTTATCTAAAATTTATATATTTGAAAAGCCCTTGAAAATGGATGTAAAACATGTATCGCATGTATATATTTGTCGAAAGTAAAAAACTACTTTTCAACATTTTCCCGATGTTCTTTTGTAATTTTCTAAAACCTACCCAGTACCTATAGCACCAATTCTTAACCATTAAAGTTAGCGGTCTATTTTTCTTTTTAATGAGCTGGCCTTGAAAAATTGGACTAGAGACATTTATCACACTCCCCTTTTAAAATCCTAAGGGCAAAATCACCCCCCCCCCCCTCCCATCTACATTAAACAAAATAGGATAGAGCTAAGCTGTTGTTCACTGAGTACAAATATCCTCCCCTCATGATAATCTCTTATCATATTTATAAGTTCAGTTAAAGAATATCATTTGTTAAAAATATTTAGTTCACGTATTTAAACCATGTGAAAACAAATCCACAAAATCATTGAAAAAAAAAAATGTGAACAGTGAACACCCACACAAAAACAAGAGAATAATCATATTATGCAGAAGTAAGGCCGATTAACTGTGGAATACATGTCAAAGCAATCAATTCTTTGTCACAAACTCTGATTTTTAATCCCTATAGAGCTTTGCAACCGGATAGTGTAAACTATAGATTAATTAAAATAACAGATAAGACACTAGATGCCATCTTTCAAGATTTATTTGATTTTCGTTCACAATAACGCAGAAACCAAAAGGAGTTACGCGGAGTCGGCGTAAAACAGGCTTTCTATCTCTCTCTCTGTCTTATAATTCTAAAGAGAAAGAATCTGTTTTACGCCGACTACGCGTAACTCCTTTAGGCTTCTGCCTCTGGGTCATTGTGAACGAAAATCCACTAGGTCTTGAAAAGACGACATCTAGTGTCTTATCTGTTATTTTAATTAATCTATGGTGTAAACCTTTGATTTTTCTAACTTAGACTATTTTATTTTCAAGAATTCATAGTTTGAAATATCTAAGATTATATATAACATTGGGTTGCAAAGAGAAAGGGTTTAGCAAATTAGAATTTGTGTCAAAGCCTCAATTCCTTTCTTCTTCTTTTCTAATGTCACATCTTTCTAAGATCGATAACTTTGTTATTTGCAATTAGTGTTGTAGGGTTTCTGCAGTCGTAATTACCTTACAATTACGCGTAACACTTGGAGAAGCATTACGCGAAATTACGTGCGAATTACGTATACGAAAAAAAGTCTGGTTTCGCGTAATACGAAACCATTTCATAATTAGTAAAGTCCATTAATTCTCAGAAATGAATATAGCGGGAAAATATGTGTAAGGATATGCGCTACAACCATTTCCAATCTGATTGAATAATCTAAATACTTTCAATTTGAATTAAAATTCGTTTATGGTGATGGACTTAACCTCTGTAGAGTAAAAAAGGTAGATGTTAGTTCCACATTTTACTGAAAATATATTTTGGTCTAGGTTGACACTCGTCAGTTCTAGCGATATAATAACCATCAAAATCGATGATAAAAACAACAAGAAACTAAACAATCAAAAAGATTATTTACAATTTTTTTTTATGGGCTGTCTAATGTGCAAGAGGGATACGAACCCAGATCATGGGATGGAAAAATGATAATTTGCAAATATTCACTTTTTAAAGAATGTTTTAAGAAAATTATTATTCCTTGAGATTGTTTCGAATGAAGATTGAAAGGAGGGTTATTTAAAGAATTGGATATAAACAATATTTTTTTTTTAAATAATGAATTACAGTTTACAATTAAATAAAAACTATTTTTCTGTTCATTCTCGTGAGTTTAGTCATAAAATCTCTGGTGTATTTAGATTCTCCTGGAAGGTTAAAATGTTCTCCTGTCTAGGTTGGTTTGTATGAGGTTTCGCTATTTAGGCGTCATTATTGCAACATTTCACAAAATTACTTCTGTAGAATAACGCAAAATTATGGCGAAATCAAAGTTTTGCTAATTACGCCAAATTGAAGTTTCGCCAATATCGCGTAATCCTGCGAAATTGCACGAAATGAAAATTATTTCGCGTAACTTCACGTAATTTCGCGTAAGTGAATAATCTATTACGTTGGAAACCAGTTATAATTTTGTAACTTACATATCTTTAAAGATGTTTAGAGCACTTTTGAAAGTTCCAATTAAAAAAAATCTAAGCGAAATTCTATAATTAAAAGAAAAAAATAATGACGATACTAAAACAATAATTAAGTGTATTTGATGCAATGAGGTTATAGTGTATAGAGTGATGATGTACGCTACTCCTTTACTAATTTTATAGGCCATAAACTATACCGAGAGCGTACTGCATATTTGTTTAAATTATAAGTTGATTCTGGCCTAACCTATTGTGTGTCAATATTAGTAAACAGATATAAGTGTACAGTACAACTAACTGAGCACACAGGTAGAGAACTATCATCCCCCCTGATTTGATGCTGTTACAAAATGAAATATTTTTACTATATTAGCTCATTTATTGGGTCTGAACAAAATTGCTATTTCTCATGTTCTTTGGACTATTTGAAGTTCTACTTTGAGTGTAAAAGTAATTTTCTATTTCCATTTCCTTCAGACCTTATATATGAACTTACCAAGAAAACCTCGAACATGGAAAATCACTTTTCAGTAAAAAGCCAGGATTTTATAAAATGTCGTCTTCTTCTGAAGATCTTGTGAACTCTTTGTTTTCACTGTATGACAAGTGGGGAACTCAAAATTATATTGGTGAGAAGGTATCTCAGCTTCAGCATGCTCAGCAGGTACACTTGTCTCATTATATTTGATGCCATTGAGAAAAAATTCTCGTGAAAAAAAATCAGTTTTTTGCTCGATGCATAGTTACTCGATCTATAACCCTTTTGATCTAAAGGGAATCTGATCTAAAAAAATTTGACCTACGCGGACTAAAAAATTTCATTTTGGAAAAAAATGTTTTTGATCAGATGCTACATATTTTTAATCCAAAAATCAAATTCTCAATTTTAGGAAAAAAGCGAAATAATGTAAACACACAGAGCGTCCCATATCTTATTGAATAATCTCCAAGCCTAGTATTTTCTTCATGCAAATTTTTATAGAAGCCTTTTACATTTATTAAATGATTGATTCTTGTAAAATTTTCTCATTAGTCCCGAAAATCTCAATTTTAAGCTATGAACGATCTAATATGATTTGGAACACCCTGTAGGCTGTATAGTATTAAATCTGTCAATTACTGTAAAGTTTATATTTATAGGTGGCAAGACTAGCTGAAGATGCAGGTTCAAGTGAGGATATAGTTCTAGCTGGCTTCCTTCATGATATAGGTCAACAATAAAAATAGAGAATTGCAAGGGGTGGTCTTTATTTAATGTGAGCTATAAAGAGATAGACCGGTTAGACATGGAAGTTGAACTGAAAGAGCAGTATTGTAGAGAAAACCTCTTGGATTCATTTGATACCAATGAGACATTTTTTTAGCGTGCAATTTTTAAATAAGAACGTTAAGTCGTTTGTAATATTTCACCTGCTGTTTCAGTGTCATCAGATGAAACGTTTTTTACAATTCATAAAGAACATGGATAAGTTGGAAGTTTGTTGAAGTTGAAGCATCAATAGCTATAACAGTGATCTGAAAACAAATTGAAATACAATGACAATTTTTAAACATTTCAAAAAAAATTACGTTAGAAAAAAAATTTATAAGAATTTTAAACACATTAAATTGAAAACGCATTTATTTTCAGGTCGTATTCTTACTCTGTTTCATTATTGTAACCACTGTATTGGTCGGAATTTGATTTTATTTTCAATTTTCTGAATTTGAATTTCAGGCGAATTTTAGGAATATTTCAGGCCATATCATTGGACTAGAAGAAGGATTGAAGAATATGGAACAAGACGGTGTTACTCTCGGAACTGGTAAATACAACATACATGACAATTATATTATTCAGTGAGTCCCAATAAACATGGGAATTAAGAGACGACTGTAAAATACTCTTCGATTTCTGATAGTTGTTAAATGATAAAGAGTTTATTAAAATTAAGACAGAACGTCTTGTGCTTTAAAAAATGTGGTCTGCCTTCGTTGTATCTTTAAAATTGAAGAAGATATTAAAAATTTGAAATGAATCGTTGTTATTCAATACATCAGAATCTGGAGCGATGTATTAACATCTCCATCAATTTTTATTCTGCAAATATGATACATTTTGTAATTCCCAAGACCAAAATGTTTTAACAAAATACTACACACATTGTGTTCACGTAATATAATGCCAAGTGGAACACAATCCCATGTTTATTGGACACCCATTTGTTAATTACGAGAACCAAAAGACGACAATTTAAACTTGCTTAATAAAGGAATTGAGTTTTTGCCACAAACTCAAATCTTCTGATCCCAATATTTTTGCAATCTGATGGTGCAAGCCCTTGATATTTCAAACTTAGATTATTTTATCTATAAGTATTGATAGTTTGAAATATCTAAGGTCTACGACATTGGGTTATAAAGATATAGAGTTTAGAAAATCAGAGTTTGTGGCAAAAACTCAATTTCTTTGCACTATTCACCTGTAAACCAGGTGTAACAGTTAACAAACACATGGTTATATTTTCATTCAAAATTCGCATGACCCTCCATTTATAAAGAGTGGCATGCCTGATTTGCAACAATACCTTTAAAGACTTTGTATGGTCAAGAATGAATGAGATATCCAAGTTTTTAACTTTAGAAATTGGTAATTTTCAATTGTGGTTGCTTTAAATTTGGTTACCAAAAAATGACGTCTTTAAAACAAAATTTAAAATTTATAATACAAAAACATTTGTATCTGTAATATTCATGAAACCAGATTTCCGACACTGGGTTTTATTACATTTCATATGTCTTAAGTTTCGGGCTCAGAGAATAATAGAGTTGTTAACACAAATTCGAAATATAAGGAAGACGATTTTACCGCCTCAAATGCCGTAGCCTATTCTCAAGACGTGTTTATCTATTTCCTCCTTGAAGCACCCTCATGTCAAACCCCGCTCATTCGTTCCCCCCTCACCCCTCTACACATCCCAGCCCTCAGTCAGGTTAGGAGAGTTGAGCTAGTAACAGCTCCGACACAGGGAGCCTCTTGACTCCTTTATGATGATGACGAAAAAATTGAAATATAAAGTCGTCTTCATTGTATTGATGTATACGACGAAAAGTGTACAACCTTACTATTGATGACAAGGTTATCTAGTACAAATGTGCAGAACTGACGATTACCGTATTTGTTTTTCTATCAGAGTAATTTGTGTCAACAAGAATCGTATGCAGGCTGTTCTTTGCATTAGTAATGACTTAAAAGCGGTGCAGTGCCTAAAATTTGCAACATGAGCAGATTTCCAATCCAATGTAAAACGTCCAATATATATTTAAAAAATGATTGTGCAAAATTTTAGTAAAAACTCAATTCAAACTGAGGTTGTCTCGACCCAAAACTATTTGATTGTGATTCATGATTACAAGATAAATTATGCTAAGATTAATACTCGTTTACGCTGTAGACAACTGTTTACTTTTATATAATCAAGTGTACTGTACTGAAGTGTACATGTACTATGTACATATTTCATCCTAAGATTTTGTAAGGGGTGTACAAACAATATAATTTGTTACGTAGGATAAATAAATGTATTGAATTTAATAGTTTTAGAATTTAATTGTGTGAAGTAAAATATTATTCAAGATTTTCGCTGCAGATAAGCCCATTTTTTATGTTTAAATGTAAAACAAAAATGTTCAAAATTTAATTTTATACAGTGAAACCCTTAATAACGAATACATCGAAAGAATTCATCAAATGTCGTATTCTTCACTTCCTGATAATGGAATGTTGTAGATATTTAGTTTTTTAATTAAATGATTATATGGAACTCTCTAAAACTGTTCCCGCATATTCATGGCTATTTATTTATTTTCGCAAATACTGAAATTTACGTAATAAAGTATAAAACTCATTGAAAAATTGTCAAGACGACATTTAATAAATTCTTTCGATGTATTCGTTATTAAGGGTTTCACTGTAAAAAAATCTTGGATGGTTAATGCATCCTATCAGGACATAATCTAGCTAATTTTAGTATTTGTCAAAATCCAGAAAGCTCCTTGTGACAGTTAGCGTTTAAACTATTTTTAAGGCAATTTAAGACATGAAAAATAATGTGTTGGCACAAAACGTTATTTATTTGTGTATTTTGATTGGAAAACATTAATGACAAAGCTCTCAAATAAATATTGATAGTTTGACAGTTTGAAAGTAAGACGACATTTGAGAGAAAATCACAAATTTTTGCGTTTTATGTAAGCTTGTAATTGTAAATATTTCAAAATTAATTTTTATGTCTTAACATTGCGTTGAAATGGTTAAACACACTAAAGGTGAACTGTTGCAACTGATCCATGAGACCTGATCAAAAGTTTTATATCGGTTTGTTATCAAAAATTCGAAATATAAGGAAGACGATTTTACCGACTCAAATGCCGTAGCCTATTCTCAAGACGTGTTTATCTATTTCCTCCATGAAGCACCCACATGTCAAACCCCGCTCATTCGTTCCCCCCTCACCCCTCTACACATCCCAGCCCTCAGTCAGGTTAGGAGAGTTGAGCTAGTAACAGCTCCGACACAGGGAGCCTCTTGACTCCTTTATGATGATGACGCAGATACTCAGCTAGCAGCAGACGTGCTTACCCCAAGGGTTCCCAGTTTATCATGCATTCCAGAGACAACATAATCGCTCAATCGCATCATGATAAATTCGCAGATGCCTACTAGGTTGGATAAGCCCTGTTGTTCCAGTTCCTGTTGATCTGCTCCACCAACATGAAGCTCTACATCACTCCCATGAAGTACCCTCAAATATTCATCATTAATTCCTTTGTTAATTTCTAAACCAACCAATTTTAACCCATTCTTGGGCAAATATTTCCAAACTTTCGTTTTTATTAAATAAATGTTAGAAATATCCATTTGGATCTCTTTTATTTTATTATTGTGACTTTTAAAGTCAACAAGAGTACATAATATGCAAACAATTTTTTTATTTTATTTATTTTAAAAATATATATTCGGCTTATTCATGTTTTGTATAATATTTCAAGCTGAGCATGAGGAAGTAGGGGAAAATTATCTGAGGTGAGATAAACGTATAGTTTTATAAAGTGTCATTAATTTTTGATATAATTTGCTGCATTTATTTGTCCAGAAGTAAAATTCTAGAGATGATAATCACAAAATACCCCCAATCCTGGCATTTCAAAATGGGGTCTACCTTTTTAGTGCTTTCAATATTACCTCAAATATACAGAATTTCGTTTAGATTTCGACAATTTTGGTTTTGTTTAACAAAGTTGAAATCTGAACAAAATTCTTAATATCTCTGGTAATATTGAAAGCACAAAAAAGGCAGAACATATTTTGGAAATGGCAGGACTAGAAGGATTTTGTGGTCATTGTTTCAAGAATCATACATGTGAAAGTAAAGGTTGGCGACTGAATTTCACAAAAAATTCAAATATCAAAGACGACTTTAAAATCGTCTTGCTCCTGTTTCATGGGACACTCTCTGTAGTATATGTGGATTGTGGAATAGCGGTCGTCTTTGTTTTTACTTTATATTATAAATATCGGTGGTTGTTTTACAATTTGTAAATGTTGTTTTTATGAATGTTTTAGCTCTGAACATGTTAAGGGCACATTTTCAGATTTAACAGAGTTGAACATTCCGTTTTCTAATCCCTGTGTTAGTAAACCCTTAATCCGTTTTTTAAAGTTATTTATGAATTTGACTATTTAGAAAACTGGGGTTTCCGGAAAAAGTTACTCAGTTTGTGAAAGCTCATGTACAGGCGAGTGAAAAAAACCCAATAATTTATGTAAAATTTAAATTTAAATATTTTAGGCTAAACGGTACCTGGTGTTTAAAAACCCAGAATACTACAATACATTGTCTGATGCCAGTAAAGGTATTGTTAATTAATAATTAATAATTAATATTTAATTATTTACTTTAATACTTTAGAGTTAAGTTTAGGGAATTTTGCGTTTCCAATGGTCCCCAAGACCAATTTTGCCGACTAAAAATCATCTCTGCCACTCTTTAAATAGAGGATTACTTTAAACCCATGGTATACTAGGTATCATCAATATTGGACTTTACCCATTCAAACCTAAAGAAAAATCACAATTTTAAATATAAAACAAGACATTCAAATATATTTATATATGTTGCCTATAGCCGGCCAAACGGCTGGACAGAATGGGCTGAACACTAATGGGTGGCCGGGGGGTGTTATAGGCTAAAAAAATTAGAACATTTTTTCCAAATTTGTTTTTCAAGTTTTTTTCCACGGGCAACGCCTGGCCCAGCCGGCCAAACGGATGTACCGAATGGGCTGACATTTTTTGAGGACACTCATGGGTGGCCCGGGAATGTGTTTAAGGCTAAATATATATTCTATAAGTCCTACACTTCTGTAAAAATCTAAATGAAACCTTGATTTAGGAACACTGATTTGTCAGGGTGGACCAATGAGTGTTTCGGAGGCAGAAGTATTCGAAAACCTGGAGAGTTTTCAGGTCTATATTTGAGAGTTTTAATTGAAACTTGGAGTATTTTCAGGTTTATATTTGAGAGTTTTAATTGAAATCCTAGAAAGTTTTCAGGTTTATATTTGAGAGTTTTAATTGAAAACCAAGAGAGTTTTCAGCTGTATATCTGAAAGTTTTAATTGAAAACCTAGAGAGTTTTCAGCTTTATATCTGCAAGTTTTAATTGAAAACCTAGAGAGTTTTTAGCTTTATATCTGAAAGTTTTAATTGAAAACCTAGAGAGTTTTCAGGTTTATATTTGAAAGTTTTAATTGAAAACCTAGAGAGCTTTCAGCTTTATATCTGAAAGTTTTAATTGAGTCTTGTTTTATATTTTATTTAAGTTTTTATTGTTATCAAGCTTTTTTCTAGTTATAAATTTACTAGTAATTAAAAAGAAGATTTTTAAATTGAAGCTTATCTTTGTTTCCATATTTTTGTGTATCCATGCTGTTCAAAAGCTTGATTTAAATCAAAATTTAAATCGAAAGTCGTCTTCATTATAGTTTATAATTAATGATATTGATTTCAGGATATCCTGAATATGAGAAGTTGGGACGAAAAAGCTAAAAATCCTAATATTCAAATTATTTCGAATGAGAAGTATAGACAAATTGCAATCAGAACAATAAATGAATAATATAAAATTAGTTGTATTTTTTCGAATCAAAAAATTGTTGAACTTTTTAACGAAACTTGTGATAAGGTTAAAAAACAGTTATCATATGCTATAGTGTTACGCAGGAAAAATTAGATTTTAACGACGACTTGAAACTCTTTCAATGTGAAGATCCAAAGTTGAATTTGATCTTGATTCTTGTAGAAATACATAAATTACTGCGGAATGAATGGCGACATTTAAAGCAATCTTATGCGCTGTTTGAAGTTCTTAAAGTAATAATAATAATAGTTTTGTGGAGTAGTTTAAAAATAAACCTATTAATTGCATGAAATGGGTTCTTGCTATGCTGCACATTTTTTGTGTTTACGGTTCATTGGACTATTTAAAGTTAGATCTGAAGTCTAACAGTCGTCTTCCTATTCCACAGTTTATAGGTCATTTATATTTGAGAGTTTTAATTAAAAACGTGGAAGGTTTTCAGGCTGTTTTCAGGTTTATATTTGAGAAATGAAAATCCATAGATAAATAAATATCTATGTGAAAACCTCTGTTTCAACCCCCCCCCCCTTCCCCTCCCCATCCCGCTTAGTCTGGAATAAAATATTTAACCCTATAGCATACCTGTGCCCACAAAAGAGTATCGATGAACGAAACTCCCGAGTTTCATTTGGGGGTCTTAACATTTGTGTAGATTTTGATTTAAGAGATTAAACAAATGGAGTATATGAAGAAACTAAATAAAATAATATTTCACCACAAAAATATTGATATCCACATAACTGCCAAACCCCATTCGTGAAACCCAGGTTTCAAAACTGGTTTTCCTAGCGATACCCTGTCTTCAGTTTTGGGCTCTGGTCGGTGGCCGTGTCACCTGTTAACCCTATACTTGTCCTTCAGCTCTGGCCCCCTACTGAGTGAGGGAGGGGGTGCAGCCCGTGCGCGGCCTCCACGAGCCCTGCAAAATGGTCTCCCAAGCCTCTGTTTCGCAGAGAAGTATTCAAAATGACCTGGTGCTGCCCCTGGTGTAGATATTAAAGAAGTAAAAAATAACATTTTTTAAGAAAATGTTAATCTTTAAATAGTTCTGCAGTGTTTTCTTGAATATCCGAAAAAAAACATTGCATAACTATTAAAAAATAAAATACTTCTTTCAAATTTTTCTTTCAGAGCCCTGGAGACCATTTTGCGGGGCTAATGACGTCCCTGCACCCCCTCCCTCACCCTCCTGGGCTGATTAATCGATCTTCGCCTCTTCACACCTTTATTGTCTTATTTTACGCCTGGCAATGGAATATTACGCCTCAAGCAAAGCATTTACTGCCGGAGGGCATACCTGAATTGTCCCCCAGGTCAAATAGAATTATATATTATCTGAAATGCTGACATGAGTCAACTTAATCTGAGGAGGGAGGGATTTCAGAGTTCCTCAAATAGTAATCACCGCCACCTAAATCTGTTTTGCGGAAAGCGCGCTCCTCAATTGGTAATCTCCACCACCTCAAATAGTAATCAGCCCACAAAAGCATAAAATTAATTATTTTTTCTTAAAAAATTATTTCTTAGAAATAAGACCATATTTACCTCTTTTAATGGCCCTATGGTGTACAATATTGTTAAAGCTTTCTTTATTGCTCCTTAGTTTCGAAAATAAATCAATAAACATGCCACACTAAGTGCTAAGAAATATATTACGTTTTTTAGTTTCAAGTTTCGCTTTAAGAATGTTTGCGGCATTTTCCTCTGAATGTTGTTTTAAACTCCTTATATAGAGAGGAAACTTTAACCCATTATTAGTGGACTAAATACTTCATTTTCAGTAGTGGAAGTGATGAGACTAATTTTTCAAAATTTTATGTTCTTTCTATGCATATAACTAGTTTTGTTGTAGATGTTGAACTCGAGTAGGCGAATACAAAAATCTAAACACTGTAAAGGTTTTATGAAAATATCTTTTAAATGGAGATGGATATTACTTTGGGTGGGATGAGATAATTTTTAGTAAATTTTAAGTACTTTCTATGCATATAATTAGTTTTGTTGTAGATGTTGAACTCGAGTTGGCGAATACAAAAATCTAAACACTGTAAAGGTTTTTTGAAAATATCTTTTAAATGGAGATGGATATTACTTTGTGTGGGATGAGATAATTTTTAGTAAACAGGCAGCCCGACTTTTTTTGTATCTTGACGCCAATCATGAAATGCAGTCATTAAAGTGGCGAATTGGATCTAAGATTCGGCTAAAATGAACTGTATACCTTGATTCTCAATTTTTGTTGACCAAACAAATCTGAAAATAATTTGAAAATTTAGTTTAAGTCAATACAGATGCCATAAAACCCCGATGGATGTCGAAAATTGTGTTAAAAGTGCATTAAATTCAAATCACAGAAAACAAAATTTTACGGTGATTACTAATTGAGGTAGTGGAGATTACCAATTGAGGAGCGCGCTTGCCGCAAAACAGATTTGGGTGGCGGTGATTACTATTTGAGGAAATCTGGACTCCCTCCCTCATCTGAGTGACAGCAGATTAATCAGGATTTAAAGGGAATGAAGATTAATAGCGAGAAATAGTTGAACTATTCACATAGACTTTTTTGTACCACTTTTCTTCTGCACTGTGATCTTCTCAGGCTTCATATGTTACGTGCTGGATCGACTTTACACTGGGTAGTCCAGATTGGGTAGGACGACTGAAAGCATGTATAGTACATGTTGTACCGGCATGGATTGGGCAGGACGACTGAGAGCATGGATAGTACATGTTGTACGGGCATTGATCATACAACTTTTAGAGTAGTGCGTGTGCTCCGGTTTTAGTTGAAGAGAAGTATTAACTTAGAGTCTAAATAGTTCAACTACAGCCTACAGGGTGTCCTACGAGATACAAAAGAGAATAATAGGAAACTACTATATGGCAATCATATTATATAGTAAAATTGATTTCAAAGTATAGTATATTTGAGTAAATGATTTTTTAACGAAATAAACGGCAATAAATCTTAAATATCTAATACAATACACTGAAAAAGGCATTCAAAACTATTCACCAACCGTTATATTTCATGGGACACCCTGCTGTTTCCACATCGGAATTTACATAACTGCGATTTTTTAGGAGAATATATACATTCCTCCCAGAAACCATATAGTTAAAGGGTCTGTAGAGTAAAAATGAAAGGGGGTATAGGCTGAAAGTTAATCACTTTAGTTCAGGATCGTGACCAATGAAAGTTGTATCTGATGTTCTTGTCTTGAGAAATTGATATAAATTCATATATATATATACAATTTTGTAAGAAATAGTAGATTAAAGCAGATAATATTCAGCAAACACACAACCAATCTGAAAACGAAGATATCCCAGAGAAACCTAATTGTAACTTAGGTTTTCTCAAATTATTATTTTATAATTTTTATTTTTATTTTTAAGAGATATAATTGATTATATTATTATTAAGTTCATATTATACGTCACAAGAACTCCCACTAATGAGAGTGCAGTATTCTGGTCACATGATACAGACATAGACACGTGACCACTATACTGCACTACCATTGGTGGGAGTTCTGGCAACGTAATACGGACTTATAAATAATATTATCAACTTTTAAAAGGTTCAACAAAAATCTTAAAGAAGTTTTTAAAATTTTCAAGATTTTTTATTCTCTAAGTTTGCTTTTTTTACACTATGTTAAATTTTTACCCTGAGAGAAAATATATGTATGCAAAAAAACGAATTGTAAAAACTATCATTTGTGAACGATCCTTTTTTAAAGATTGCATAGTTTAAAAAAAAGAAAAATTGGACATCCTTATACATGTTGGGATGAAGTTAATTATCAAGATAAATATATATATATTAAGACCTTATTTTGAAAACATATAAATAATATGTATAGGTATTAGATATAGGTAAACATCTAAATTTTGTTTAAAAGTAAGAAACATTTTTTACTTTTAATAACACTCATCGTTAAAATTAAATTTCAAGCAAAAAAAAAATGTCGTCAACAATGCTGCCATGGTTTATCACAGATTGCAAATTTTTCAAAATCATGTTAATGGCGGCAGCAACGCAACTAACACTTTTGTGAAAGAGGGGCTAGATTTGATTTTGAGGGGCTAGCCCCCCTGTCGAAAAAAATGTCAAAAAAAAACTCACTGTTTTCAGGATTTGAAGTAAAAAAAAGCAATTTTTAATTATTGAAGGGTTGGCTTTGTTCTCAATAAGATACCTAATTCTTATCCATATATAGTTCTTGTGTTTAAACAAATATACATCCATCAGCTTTAAAATAGACGACATGAGTAAATCAATTAAACATGTACGCGAAGCGCCCAAAAAAAATTCTGTTCTTTTAAGGCTTTTTCATGAATTTTTAGCGCCTGTTAGTCCCTGGCTTTACTGTATAAAAAGTCCCTATATTCACTAGTCATATTTGTCCACTATTTGAACTATGTAGTCCCTTAATCGTAGGTCTATGGAGTCCTCATAAGTATTAAGTAGTTCCTGGCAGTGTTTGACTATATTTAGTCTGTCCATAATCCATAATAGTCTCTATGATTGAAGTCCCTCTGTCCTAGTTTGCCAGCTTATCCCTGTTTTCCTAGTCCGATATAATCCTTATTATATATTTTTTGTTATTCTTCTTAGGTTGTCAGGTTTTCTGTAACCTTAAATGGTATAATGTATTGTAATACTCATGAGAAGTAAAAAATATACAGGTTTTTTTTGAGAGGATAAATTTAGAATGACTGGCTTTCTTTAAGTGGAAAACGAGAAAATAGTTAGAAGTTCTATTAGAAATTATGCGCGAAGCGCCAAAGAAAAATGTTGGTATTTTTTTTCTTTATTGACAAAATTTGCAGAGAAAAGATGGTCCACAATCATGATTATGATAGAGCCAAGTAAGAGGGAGGCAAAATTAGCTGAGGGGGGGGGGGACGAAACTCGGTTCGTCCCCCCCCCTAGGTGCGCCACTGAATGGCGGATTCCTAACAAAATATGTAGTCTCATAAAAGTTTATTCAAACATTTTGTATTTACTGTTTCTTTTCTAAAATTAAATGTTTTAACATTTTGGCTGTCTTCTTTTTAAATGTTTCTTTTTTGACAACGCGTTCAAAGTATTTTTAGTAATATCTTGTATATATAATATATGTATGAACAGGGTATCCCACGCATGACAGTTGTGTATAGTTTAAAATGTCTTCTTCCATAATTAGTTTTAAGTTGTTTGATACAAAAGATAATGATAAAAATATTATATGGTAATCGTGGTTTCAAAGTAAAATAAGTTTGAAGAAAAAATATGATTTTTAACGAAATAAACTGCAAAAAGTCCAATACAATAAATGGAAGAAAACATTCAAAACTATTCACTAACTGTCATGTTTCGTGGGACACGTCCTGTATATAATTATATCATCATCTATCACATTTTCAGCACTCTTCATGAATGAAGCTAATTAAACCCTATTCTTTGCTGAATATGCGGAAGGAGGGGGGGCCGGGGGTGTTGCAATTCAATTTCCGTTACTGTATCCTTTACCAGGAAAAGGGTTAAAAATAAGAATAATTCGTTCAAAACCTGACAGATTTTTGATAAAATTAAATTGTTGATATAAGCCTTGAGCCGGGCAAACATTAAATTCAGGAATCATTTTTTCCATTAACATAGACGCCGTGTCATCTATATACGTAAAATCATAATTTACGACCAAGCGCGGGTAAACGGCGGGAGTAACTATGATGAGTATTGAGTACCCTGGGAAACGCTGAGTTCTCTCAGCGTATATTTGGCACCGGACACCCTGGATCTAGCAAATCAAGCCGATTTTTTTTAAAATAATAACTTCACAAATTTGGAAACAAAAAATAAAGTACTAAAGCATGTTCTTAGACAAAAGTAATGTATCAAAACGTGCTAATTAGAGACAACGTATCGCTAAAACGTGCTCTAAAAACGAGAGTAATGTATCAAGACGTGCTCGATAAAGTCAAAGTATTGCTAAAATGTGCTCTATAGATGAAACTAATGTATTAAAATGTGCTTTAGAAACAAAGTACTGCTAAAACGTTCTCTAAAGACGAGAGTAATGTATCAAAACGTGTTCTAGAGACAAAGAATTATAAACGTGCTCTAAAAACGAGAGTAATATATCAAAACGTGCTAATAAGAGACAATGTATTGATAAAACATGCTGTAAAGACGAGAGTAATGTATCCAAACGTGTTCTTAAGCCAAAGTACTGTTAAACGTGCACGAGAGTAATGTATCAAAACGTGCTAGCTAAAGTCAAAGTATTGCTAAAACGTGCTCTATAGGTGAGATTAACGTATCAAAATGTGCTTTATAAACAAAGTATTGTTAAAACGTGCTTTAAAGACGAGAGTAATGTATCAAAACGTGCTAATTAGAGACAAAGTATTGCTAAAACGTGCTCTAAAGACTAGAGTAATGTATTAAGTTGTGCTTTAGAGACAATGTACTATTAAAACGTGCTCTATACATTTGCCATAAAAATGCTCTTTTTAATTACATTAAGTAAATAACCTCTCGACTTTTCATGAATAGAAAAATAGAAAAAAAACTTTTTTTTCATTTAGTTTTTTTCTTTTAACTTTGCTAAAGTTCTGATTAATTTTTTGTTGTAGAAAACATGGGGTTAACGAACCCTTGGTCGGATTTAAACTTTAAAAAATTGTTTAAACGAGATGAAATCATCATGGACGATTTTGTTTTTCGTCTGCATCATCAGGTCAATTTATAATTTTTCATTAAATAATAAAAAGATTATATTATATATTTATATGTTACTAGCTCGGGAACCCGGCGTTGCCCAGGAGACATAGCTAATCCCACTGACTACCCAACTTTGTCGTAAATTACGATGTTCTCCAATTAAAATTTGAGGCAAGTCGGTCTAGGGGTTTCTAAGTAATGCTCGGACAAACAAACAGACGACTAGAGAATATAATTTTATATATATATGTAAGTAGTTATATCTAGTTGTCTGTTTGACTGATTTGCACAAAATTTTAATTTGGCAATTCATTAGAATCATTGAAATATCATTATTTGGCTTTAAAAAAATATTTAGGCTTTATTTGGTCAACTTTTATTTCAGACAAAGCTGGGTTCCCAAGCTAGTCAATAAGTATTAAAATATTTAATAACCAAGCGGTCATGAAACATTAATTAAAAGTTCCAATGTCATGGTCATCTGTAATACAGTCTAACTTTTATCTTTTCTCAAACTCTGGTCAGTTTGGTGACTGGTCTCAGACTCTTCAGTTCAAATGTCTGACAATTTTATGTCTAACATATTATTTCCCAGCTGTTCTACTCAAAGGAACTAATTACTCGTCTCAAGCTTCAAACTTGTAATCCTTACGTCTGTGCAACCTGAGTCCGAATTAAATGAATTTGAGCCGCGTCTCAAATTTGCCAAAAAACCGGTTTCAATTGAGCACCGGCTTAAATTTTGAAACATTGAATACAATTTTAAGTGAAACCAACGATATTTGAGCCGCGGCTCAAATTTAAACCGCCGCTCAAATTCTTTAAATTCGGCCTCTGATGTTTTAACTGTACAAATTATACTATAGATCGTCCTAATTTGAAATATCAAAAATTTTGATCATCAGGTTGCAAAAATATATGTAAAATAGAAAATTAGATTTTTCATTGATTATGACCTTTCAATTTTCATGTCTTATAATTTTAAAATTAGATTTTGGATAATGGAAGATTTTTTGTTTTCTTTTAAAAATTACTCAGAAACAATATGGATACTTTTTAAAAGTTTTTTCTACTTGCTTAATAAATTACCACACACATTTTCCTTTTTCAAATTTGGCTTTTGTAGATAAATTTTTTTGTTCTTGGACTGGGAGTACTATTTATATTCGCAGAAAATTATCTGGACGGCCGAGCAATTGTTTGCAGGTAATTATAATTTTCAATTAAAAACTATTATTTTAATTATTTTAATTACGAACCCTGTGCGCGAAACTGTCGTATCTTAAACGTGTGACTTTAGTGCTCAGACGGTCTTATTCTCCCTTGATGGTTCTAGACGTTGAATATCTCAAAGATACCAAATAAAAAAAAATATAGTAAAATTGACAATAAATGAAGAAGTTAGGTTTAAGATATTAGACTTTTTCATGCAGTAGCCTAAACCTACAGATCTATCCACAAAAGATGAGACCTTAGAGACACCTTTACAAAATGTTATCAGCCTTCATTGATACACTCATGGTTCCCCATTTATTTTTGTCCAAATCGTTTAATGCACAGTTACAAGAAAATTTTTCAGGACAAATTTAACCTTCAGCTCATTGTATTTTAAGGTTGTAAGGTCGTTATTAGAGTATAATCCTCTTCTGGTTACCCTGGATAGCAAATATTTTCAGTTTGCTAGAATTCTTGTAATAAAAATCTTCTTTGTGTCAAGGGGCGCTGATGAATACGCGAATAAGTTCTGCTGGCTTCATGGTACAGGATACATTGGAGGCAAGTCAAGGAGATTAATAATGGGACAGTGATATTAAAACAGGGATTATACACGAAGTTTAATACAGGGAAATTAATTCAGGGAGATTAATACCGAGAGGTTAATACAGCAAGATTAATACAGAGAGATTAATGCAGGGAGATTAATACAGGGAGATCAATACAGTAAGATTAATACAAAGAGATTAATTCAGGAAGATTAATACTGGGAGATTAATACAGAGAGATTTGTACAGAGAGATTAATACAGCGAGATTAATACAGGGAGATTAATTTAAGGGAGATTAATAGAGGGAGATTAATTTAAGGAAGATTAACACATGGAGATTAATACAGAGAGATTGATACAGGGAGATAAATACAGGGAAATTAATACAGGGAAATTAATACAGAGAGATTATTACAGGGAGATTAATAACAGGAAGATTAATACAGAGAGATTAATACAGGAAAATCAATACAGAGAGATTAATTTAGGGAGATTAATACACGGAGTTTGATACAGGGAGATTAATACAGGGAGAAAAAAAACAGAGATATTATTACAAGGAGATTGATAAAGAGTGATTAATACAGGGACATTAATACAGAGAGATTAATATTAATTTAAGAAGATTAATACAGGGAGATTAATTTAATGGAGATTGATACAGAGAGATTAATTTAGGGAGATTGATACAGGGAGAAAAAAACAGGGAGATTAATACAGGGAGATTAATACAGAGAGATTAATGCAGAGAGATTAATCCAGGAAGATTAATAAAGGGAGATTTAAACAGGGAGATCAATACAGGGAGATTTAAACACGGAGTTTGATACAGGGAGATTAATACAGGGAGAGTAGAACAGGGATATTAATACAGGGAGATTACTAAAAGGAATTTAGGGAAAGTTATTAAACATGGGAATTCAGGGAGAGTAATGAATGATGGGAATTCAGGGAGATTAATTAAACATGGGAATTCAGGGAGAGTGATTTTACATGGGAATTAATAGAGAGTAATTAAACATTTATTGTTACGGACGTTTTATTTTCAGCGGATTTGGAGAATCAGCTTGGGGCGTTCAGTGGTGCAAATTCTGAATGCAGAATGTCCGCTAACATTCAAGGTATTCAATGTTCAAATATTTTGTACAATGTACACTGTCAAATAATCCGTAAATTGTCCTTTATGTCTGGATAAGAGTAGAGCAGATGAGAGAATGACCTCCTTACTATATATCTATACATTGTATGTCCGATAGGTCTGAATAAGAGTAGAGCAGACGAGAGAATGACCTCCTTACTATATATCTATACATTGTATGTCCGATAGGTCTGAATAAGAGTAGAGCAGATGAGAGAATGACCTCCTATTATATATCTAAACATTGTATGTCCGATAGGTCTGGATAAGAGTAGAGCAGATGAAAGAATGACCTCCTATTATATCTGGCTACCCTTTCTCCTTCTTGTCTGTATGGGGCTTTCAAAGCTTGCAAGGTAAGCTACTAAAGGGAATGGTCTCCAAAAAGAGATTGGAAGTTATTAAAGAGAGAGTAACTGAGGATATTAAACATGAATTTGGTCTAAGTTTAACAAAAAGTTAAATAATTTATTTATATAAACTTTCTCCAACTTCAAGATTTAAGTACCATTAAACATTGGAAGGAATTGAGAAGCGACTTGAAAGTCGTCTTTCGTTTTTGATATTTAATGCATGGCAAAGAAAGTGTAAAAACGAGGCTGTACGCCTTACGAGCTTTTAATAAAATGTTTTTCCTTTCTTAAAGAGAGTGTTCGTCAAGAAAGTGGGTATAGGCTTACGTAAAAAAAATTATCGATGGTGATCGCTACTAATCCTGCTTCTATCTGTTGCGTCTATGAGAAGAAAATTGTTAAAAACGACTCATCAATAATTATAGGTTGTAATATCTGAATGATTTGTTTGGAATTAAATTAATTTTTTACGAGTCGAATGTTGCAACTTGATATTCTAGGTTTAAACGGGAATACTGCAATAATTGTATTCATGAAAATATTCCTCATGCATCGAAGACGATATAAAAGTCGTCACTTAATTATCATGTTTATTGGGACACCCTGTATACTTATGTATAAATATAATAAAGACATAGTATTAGATCTCTGTAAATATTAACCCTATGTGAGGACGTTATGGAAGGAGGTGCTTGAAGGGGGTTTGCTGAAAGATCTGCTCCTGCGAAGGAGGCAGGAGACAATATGCGGGGAAAAAATTGCTTGTGTAAGTATCATTAAGGTGGCGGAGTCGAGTAAAGGGGGGGCGGAGTAAAGGGGCGAAAAGATCGGCGTCAAACCTAATAGAAATCCAACGTAAAGAAACAGCTACGTATAGCAACAAGGCGTATTTTCCGGGAGACCATTTTTTTTATATTTTTGAGAAATTAAACGTTTTTGTAAAACATTGTAGCTTATCATTATCATTATCATAATTTCTATTTTTTTTAATATACCCTAGACATTAAAGGAGCAAAATAGTTTAATATGTACATTTGTACTGCTCTCTATTGTGTTTAAGGTCCCCCAGATTTTATTATGTACTGACAACATGAATGAATGATTATATGGTTATACATAAATTTGGATGTTACTATTTAAAAAAATATTTTACAAAAATTCTATCTACAGTTCTATTTTTAGAGAAAAAAAAATTTGTCGAAAGTATAAAAAAGTTCTCCAGTAATGCAAATATGATTTCATAAAATTCCGTTTTACCATTTAAATAAAAGGATTTTATGAAAATTATATCTACTTTACACTGATTATTTAATTTCTCAAAAATATTAAAAATGGTCTCCCGGAAAATACCCCATGTTGCTATACGTAGTGGTTTCTATGCGTTGGATTTCTATAAGGTTTGACGCCGAAAAGATCCTGGGGGGGATGTTAAGCTGTATTTTCGTCGCAATAAATCAGAAGTATTGTCAAAGATATTTTAAATCCAAGAAAATTATAAACTTGTTTACTGAAAATGAAAGATTCTATAATTTATACCTTCATCACAAATTCGTGGAAAGATTATTTGTAATTTAGATCTGCTTCAAGTTTTAGAGACGTTAGGTACTTTCCCAAAGGCAGTTTCCCATTGCAGCCTGCAGCGCCTCAGAAGACCTAACCTAACCTTTGGAAATTTGCTGAAGTGGAAAATTGCAAATTTGGGAATCTGTCGCTATTGGGAAAATGCCTTTTGGAAAATACCTAACAACGTTTGAACAATATGTAATATTCATAAAATTTGTATGTTTGTTTGTTTCCAATAAACGTCAAAACGACTGAATCTATCAGACCAAAACTTTTCGTTAAAACTGTAACATGACCTCAAAATAATTAAACTGTTTTTAAAAAGTTTGGAAATCCACAATTTAAAAAAAATATTCTACAAAATCTTACATTTTGATGTTTTCATGAATTTGAAAGATAACATTTTTTTTACAAGAGGAGTGGAAACGCTAAAAAAATCACAAGACAAATTTATAAAGACGCAGATTTCTTGATTGGTTATTTATTTGTTTAATTTCAGACTACCTGCAATTATACTTAACATCTTATTTATGTTTAGGAATTTAAACTGCAAGGGAAGAGAAAACTACTCAACTATGCTTTGTTTTATATCTTCTGTGAGGTATTTCAGCATAAGTTTAATCAATCTACAGGGTTGCCCACCTAAGATTTAGATTTTAGATTCAATATTTTTCATTTAGGATGAGGGTTTAATAAGGCTTTAATGAATCGATTTCATGGTTAAATTTGAAGTTAGTTTTTATTGCTGTCTTATAATGGTAAAATAAATTGTAAACTATGTATACTAAACCTACTAAGTGTACTGCTATGTATTGTATATTGTATACTGAACCAACTAAGTGTACTGCTATGTATATTGTATATTGAAACCACTAAATGTACTGCTATGTACAGGTACTGAACCTACTAAGTGTACTGCTATGTGTGGGGGTGTTTGATAAGATACTTTTCAACAGATTCTGGTCCTATGGCAGCGACTTCATTACCTATACTTCTAGGTAGGGATTTTTAAAACAATTAATTAAATTATTAAATACTTGATCGAATTCTTGAACAATTGATTTAATCATTAAATGTTTGATTTAATTAATTTCTTAATTGATTTCTTTGTCAATAATTAATCTATCAAATGATTGAATTGAATTTTAAAAATCAAATATTTGAGTGCATTACTGAAGTATTGATTAAACTAAGAAATGATAGAATTGACATTATGAAATGATAGAATTGACATTATGAAATGATAGAATTGACATTATGAAATGATTAATTGATTAGTGAGCGTGGGTCTGGAGTAAGCAATCCCATGTGTGAAATATTCCCAACAGTAGTTTCCTGTAGTTTTGTATCAGGAGGTCAGTAATATAACGTTCACATTTTCATAATGAACAATGCACAAGTTCATATTGTTCAAGTTCCAAGTTAAGTTTAGTAAAAGTTTTTTTAAAACTTACAAACATATATAAAACTTGTAACACAGCTTATGCACAACCTTGTAGATAAATAAGAATTTAAAAGTACAATGTTTTTGTTCAGTTATGTTCGAAATAATGTTAATTTTTAGATATAATAATTAATGATTTCAGAAACTATAAGCGTAATTTCAAGTAACCTTCCATGCAAAGATGGCAATGTCCGATTCACAATGGTTTCCGTAACCGTTGTGAATCGGGCATTGCCATCTTTGCATGGAAGGTTAATTGAAATCACGGTTACAGTTTAAAAAAAGGAAATTTACACTGTGCAACACTGCAGTACAATGTATATTGTACAGGGAGCTCTGGAGGTTCTGATTTGAATAATCATATCTGTATTCTATCCAACAATCTGTTCAATATGTACTACTTCCTTATTCTCTGGTTCTGGTGGATTTTTCTCATCTTAGTTTCCTTGGTGCAGATTATATACAGGTCACATTTCCTTGGTGCAGATTATATAAACAGTGAAACCCTTAATAACGAATACATGGAAAGAATTCATCAAATGTCGTATTCTTCACTTTCTGATAAATGAATTTTGCAGATATTTAGTTTTTAAATTGAATGATTATATGGAACTCTTTAAAATTTTATAAATTCTTCCGATGTATTCGTTATGGTTTCACTGTAGGTAACATTTCCTTGGTGCAAATTATATATAGGTAACATTTCCTTGGTACAGATTATATATAGGTAACATTTCCTTGGTGGAGATTATATATAACTAACATTTCCTCGGCGCAGATTTTATTTAGGTAACTTATCCTTGATGCAGATTATATACAGGTAACATTTCCTTGGTACAGATTATATATAGGTAACATTTCCTTGGTGCAGATTTTATATAGGTAATATTTCCTTGGTGCAGATTATATATAGGTATCATTTCCTTGGCGCAGATTTTACTTAGTAACTTATCCTTGATGCAGATTATAAATAGGTAACATTTCCTTGGTGTAGATTATACTTAGGTAATATTTCCTTGGTGCAGATTATATATAGGTAACATTTCCTTGGTGCAGATTGTACTTAGGTAACATTTCCTTGGTGCAGAATATGATTAGGTAACATTTCCTTGGTGCAGATTGTACTTAGATAACATTTCCTTGGTGCAGATTATATATAGGTAATATTTCCTTGGTGCAGATTATATATAGGTATCATTTCCTTGGCGCAGATTTTACTTAGTAACTTATCCTTGATGCAGATTAAAAATAGGTAACATTTCCTTGGTGCAGATTATACTTAGGTAACATCTTAGTTTCTTTGGTGCATCTTATATATAGGTTACATTGCCTTGTTGCAAATTATTCTTAGGTAACATTTCCTGGGTGCAGATTATATATAGGTTACATTGCCTTGGTACAGATTATCTATTTTAGGTAACATTTCCTTGTTGCAAATTATTCTTAGGTAACATTTCCTGAGTGCAGATTATATATAGGTTACATTGCCTTGGTACAGATTATACTTAGGTAACATTTCCTTGGTTGAGATTATGCTTAGGTAACATTCCTTGGTGCAGATTAAAATTGGGTAACGTTTCCTGGGTGCAGATTATGTAAGCTTTTTTAAACTCTTGCGTAAAAAGAGAAACGAGGTCACAAAGTCGTTCTAGTGAACTCCCTAATATTTTACCTTCTCGTGCTGTATAGTGTGCATTTGCAATAACATTTACCCTTTTCATCATATAAAAAATTAACCCACAAAAAAATGTGACATCCAAGAAAATCAGGTTTATTCTTCCAGGATTACTGGCGTGTTTGTACCTGGTCTAATGTCGTCTTCCAAGGATCTAGGAGCAAAATCAAGCTTTGGTCAGAGATTTGTTCTTGGGAGGATTAAATTAAACTTGGATCCAGACTCTTACTCAGAGGTACAGGGTGCCCCATGAATGACAGTAGCAGGACGAAGTGAAGGTCGATTTTAATTTTTGAAATAATTTGCAACATTTATTCTTTAACCTAGTCTAGAAGTCGAGTTCTAGAATTAATTATCACAAAATAATCAAGACTTGGCATTTTCAAAGCGCGGTCTGATTTTTTTTGTGCTTTCAAATATTACCGAAGATATGAAGAATTTCCTTAAGATTTCGACAATTTTGGTTTTATTTAGTAAAATTAAACCATGAATGAAGGTAATTCTTAATATCTCCGGTAATATTGAAAGCACAAAAAAGACAGGCCGAGGCCACAATTTGGAAATGCCAGGACTAGGATAATTTTGTCAAAAATCCGACATGTAAAAGTCTGTTGAAGATTGAACGCAACAAATAAATTCAAAGTTCAACGACGACAAAAGTCGTCTTGCTACTGTCATGTTTTGTGAGGCCCCCTTTATAATTAAAAAATTTTGTCAACATTTTTTAGATAAAATCGTTTTATTTTTATAAATTCACATTGTTTTTGACCTCTGGAAACGGGAGTCATGGTTCGAAATCCTCTTTGGAAAGACCCCCCCCCTTTTTGTTCTGAAAAAGGTTTTTTGGCTAAATATTTTTTATTAATTTCAGTTTTGTCGAGAACTAAGACCAAAAATGTGTCGTGGAGAATCACAAGAAGAGCATATTCGTCTGAACTCTGCCTGATTTATGATATTTTTAAGAGGAATATATTATTCTGAACTATACCTGATTTATAATATTTTCAAGAGGAATATATTATTCTGAACTCTGCCTGATTAATAATATTTTGAAGAGGAATATATTATTCTGAACTATACCTGATTTATAATATCTCAAGAGGAATATATTATTCTGAACTCTGATTTATAATATCTTTATAATATCTCAAGAGGAATATATTATTCTGAACTCTGATTTATAATATCTCAAGAGTAAAATATTCATCTGAACTCTGATTTATAATATCTCAAGAGGAATATATTCATCTGAACTCTGATTTATAATATCTCAAGAGGAATATATTCATCTGAACTCTGATTAATAATATCTCAAGAGGAATATATTCATCTGAACTCTGATTTATAATATCTCAAGAGGAATATATTCATCTGAACTCTGATTTATAAAATCTCAAGAGGAATATATTCATCTAATTTCTGATTTATAATATCTCAAGAGGAATATATTCATCTGAACTCTGATTTATAATATCTCAAGAGGAATATATTCGTCTGAACTCTGATTTATAATATCTTAAATATTCGTCTGAACTCTGATTTATAATATCTCAAGAGGAATAAATTCATCTGAAGTCTGATTTATAATATCTCAAGAGGAATATATTCATCTGAACTCTGATTTATAATATCTCATGAGGAATATATTCATCTGAACTCTGATTTATAATATCTCAAGAGGAATATATTCATCTGAAGTCTGATTTATAATATCTCAAGAGGAATATATTCATCTGAACTCTGATTTATAATATCTCAAGAGGAATATATTCGTCTGAACTCTGATTTATAATATCTTAAGAGGAATATATTCATCTGAACTCTGATTTATAATATCTCAAGAGGAATATATTCGTCTGAACTCTGATTTATACCTCAAGGAAACATTAACTTTATTTTAATTATAAAGTTTCAACCCGGAAATTACCTTTAAAGGAGAGACTTCAGAGACGACTGAACGGAATCTATTTTGTCTGTTTTCTTTTATTCATGATTTCCTCCAACTGTTATTTTTTGGCTACATAAATGATTAAACATGACATGAAAAGACTAAATTCAAGGCAGAAGTCTAAATTTAATCTTTTGAAAGACATTTATCTTTTAAGAGTTTTAGGTCGTCATTAAGTCTCATCCTTTAGGGGAAACCCTGTTTATACAGTAGTAAGCCCTAACTCGTGAACCCTAGGGGCCTAGACCAATTTAATCTGATTGATTTGGGAATTCGGTAGAACCACGAGAAAGTTCTTGTCTTGCCATGAAAATTTAAGTGGAGTGGGTTGCCTCTCACAGAGAAAGTTAAGTTTTCAGACAAAACTAGGTTTCCAATCTGGTTATATTTATTTACATGTAAATATTTTATCAGACAAAAACGCAACAATCTTCTTTTCATTAATCATGATTAATATAGTACATAATATTTATCATGATTAATAATAATAGTAATAATAATCATGATTAATATTATATATAATATGATTAATATTTTATATTGCTCTTGATTTTATTTTTTTCCTCTTTCACATGCGCTTAATACAGTTTCTGTTTTATCTCTATTTTTTCAATAAAATTGAAAAAAATTGTTGAGTTTATCAAATTAAATTGAAATCACTGTTGCGAGTTTTCAACAATTTCGTTAACTCTGAAATATTAATTGAGATGTTACAGTTCAATTCAGCACTTTGGACTTTGGAGACATAGAAAGAATTTATAAATTGCTATAAATAATTTTTTTTCTGTCTCATAAATCAAAATCGATTGGCAACCCTTACAATCAAGTGGTCCACAAGCAGTCATAGTTTGTGGAAAACAAATGTTCCGAGGAAAAACTAAAACCGATTATTCGAAAAATATTATCTCTAAATATTGTTAATCTAGGCGTTCAATGAAAATTCAGGGGTGCATATTTTTCAGAATTAGGGACTTTGGAGGGGTGAAGTATTTTGGGGGAAAAATGAAAAATTGGACAGAACAGGCACCCTTTTTTAAATTCTTTTATAAACTTTTCAAAAACTCATTTCCCCATTTCAGCGAATAAAACCCCCCAAATATGTTATATGGGGCAAAAAATTATTTCGAAAAGAGTGGAGGGGGGGGGGGAGAAAAATGATTTTGTGAGAAAATATACACCCCATTTTAGTTTACCACACTGATCTACCAACAAAACATTCTTACAAATAAATACATTATTTAAGGATTTCAATTCCAAACTCTCCTGCTTCAGTAGTTTTACATAAATGTATTGGTACAAGATATAATTATTACTACAGTAAAAAATATGATTTATAAGCGTAATTGCATGAAGGAGCAAATACTTTCCTCTTCTTCAGAAGTTTATCTTAAAAATAAAATTGAAATACTTGAGATTTAAATTAGCTGTTTTAAGCTTCGACTCTGCCAATAGAAAGGGAACCTAATAAACCTTTAAGAAATACCTTATTTTTTTAAAGGAAGGAGCAAACCTGTGTTATTTATTCGCCAGTGCTTAGAATCCGCAAGATTTTGGCTTCCTGAGTCCGAATTTAATGAATTTGAGCCGCGTCCTAAATCCCCCCCAAGAACCGATTTCAATTGAGCGCCGGCTTAAATCAACATTGAATACGATTTTAAGTGAACCCAACCATATTTGAGCCGCGGCTTAAATTCTTTGAATTCGGCCTCTGGATCCGGATCCCCAAAATTATGCAGATCCATGGATCCAAGAAAATATCAAGGAAAACTGCAAGCGTTTTTACTCACAAGCCCTAAATCTGAACTAATCTGAACTGTTGAAAAACGGGAGATTATAAAAATTTAATGATCTCTGAATTATGGTTCAAGTTTTAGCCTAAAAATAGGCGAAATAAAGAAGAAAGATAATTTAATCCTTGTTTTTAGTGCGGATCCAGGAATCAGATCCACATCAAAAATAAATGGACCCTTACCGCTGTTTTTCGCTAAAGACAATCCCCAAGTTTTTTAATTGTAGGACACAAACAGTAGGGGTTGAAACATTTATTAGCATCCGATAATAATAATATAATATATTTGTAAACCATAAATAAAAATGCAACCAGAGAAACTAACTTCTAATATTAGGACGAGGGATTCATTATCCAATCGATCAATCATATAAAATATCAAAATTTTTATATAAAACGATCCCTCAGATTTATGGATCATAATTAATAATTAACATCAATAATAAACTTGATTTCTAACATATATAGATATTATATATAGATAAAGGGCATAAAATGCATAAAGAACATTTAAGATTTTTCTTTCGTTTTTTCCACATTTTTAATAAATATTGTTTAAATATGTTACAACCGTGAATATAGTTTACACAACAATAGTAGTAAAATCAATTTCTCGAGACAGGAACATCAGATAGAACTCTTATATGTATCGTTCAACTCCGGGGTGCAATTTTAACTGGGGGAGTAGGAGCATAACAAGTTTTAAAGCTGACTGCCAAAGAGAAGGGGCCTTGCCCGGCTTCAGTAGCGGCACAAATCCTGTACCTGTACTCAAAGTTCGACTCCGAAGGGTTTTTATATATATATTGCAAAAATTAAATTGCACATTGGGTAGCACACTGATATAAATTGGGCCATATGGTAAATATGTTGCCAATAAGCTGTTGGCTTTCGGTCAAGCCATGTCAAGATTCACATTAAGAAGTTGCGCAAATATGCCGCACACATGCGCACAACAATTTGTGCGGGAAAAATCGCTGATAAAAATATAAGTTTACATAGTTATATATTGTAGGCGAATCAAGGTGAAAAAGGTAACCAATTCGTTAAAGGAACTTCCAGTGTTTGACTAAAACCCATAGAAAAATAAATTATTTAAATCTGCTAACATGGTTCACAACAAATCCGCCTAACCAAACCTGAAATAAAAAATTAATAAAATGGGGCCCAGAAAGATATGTTAACAATAAAAAAAAAATTCTAACCCCCCCACCCAACCCAAGCAACATGACGGCTGAGACTTCAAAAGCTTTCTTTGATATGATGAAGAAAAAAATCTTAAATATTTTTGGAATCAAAATTTCTCCTAAAAAACACAGCACTGATTTCAAAGGAAATTTTTTTTAAATATTAATATTAATGTTTACATGAATGTTTAATCAAGTGTTCTTAAAAGCTTATCAACGTGACCCACGTCAGAATGACGCAAACATTACTTTTTATAAAGGGACAATTTAGTAAAATAGAATCATTTTAAAGAATTAAAATAAAAAATCTGCAACTATGATGAAAATGATGTAACCTGCAAATATTGAATATATAAATATCTGAACGAAAATAACAAATCTTCTTCTTTTCCTCAAATTTTGAACAAATTGTTTAAGCAGGGGAAAATTTTGATTTTAGGAAACATTTAAAAAGCAAGAGCATTTTTTTTGCAAATATATGTATCTATTTTTTTCTAACTTTGGCTTTAGAATATAAGTTCACTAAATTAAGATCTGACTGATATTTAGCTGATCTGCCTGATATTTAGCTGATCTGCCTGATATTTAGCTGATCTGCCTGATATTTAGCTGATCTGCCTGATATTTAGCTGATCTGCCTGATATTTAGCTGATCTGCCTAATATTTAGCTGATCTGCCTGAAGCTGATCTGCTTGATATTTAGCTGATCTGCCTGATATTTAGCTGATCTGCTTGATTTTTAGCTGATCTGCCTGATATTTAGCTGATCTGCACGATTTTTAGCTGATCTAATTGATATGAAGCAGAAATGCCTGATATTTGGATGATATTATTAATCTGATTGATATTTAGCTGATTTGAATAATATTTAGCTGATCTGTTTGATAATTAGCTGATCTGCCTGATTTTTAGCTGATCTTAATGTTTTTTAGCTGATCTTAATTTCTTTTTTTAGCTGATCTGCCTGATATTTAGCTGATCTGAATAATATTTAGCTGATCTACTTAATAATTAGCTGATCTGCCTGATTTTTAGCTGATCTTAATGTTTTTAAGCTGATCTGCCTGATATTTAGCTGATCTGCAAAACAGTAAAATGAAACAGAGAGTGTTTTCCCGGGCACTAATTAACCTTGTAATATGATATAATTCACCTAGATACTCAGGCCACTAGCCACCATATATTAAGATTCAATTATATATATAGTCGAAGAGACTTTGTTTTCTTACCCTAAAGGGTTGAATTCTTTTTTGAGAAATTCATTTTCAAAATTAAAAAAAAAAAAGAGATGTTAACTAGTGTTACGACCTTATGCTAATAATTTATTTTATTATTAGAGGTAGGTATGCATTTTGTCCGAACTTTCCAGCAGGTATGGTATGAATTCTAAAATCTGCTTATCAAATGAGGGTTTATTAGCTAAATTGCAGAAAAAATAATTTTTGTATAAAAGCATTAACATGGGTTAAAAACATACAAACTATGCCCCATTTCAATCTTATTATCAATGAATGATTAAGATCTGAAAAATATAAAACAACAGTAGTTCAAAATATAAAAACTAGGTATGTTAGGTAAATATAAAGAATGTAGTACCTTTAATTTACTAGGAACTAACGGTTCCAAGAGATATCAACTGCTGAATTAACATCGCAATGAAGACAGCGAAAAACGCAAATCCAGACAAAATCACAACTGCCCACTTATGATCAGACCAGTTGGAATCTCGTGTGCTCAGCGGCGCTTCAGCAACCACTGAAGCAGGGATCACCGTACTCCCAGTTTTTGGTAAAGTTGTGAAATTAGTTGAAGGAGAAGGTACTCCTGTTAGAGGACTATGGTTGCTGGGATTTCTTACAGAGCACACCCGAACTGTGTATTCTGTCTTTGGGTCAAGTGTGTGGAGGCGCAGCTGAGTGTCGGACAGGGTCTCGGAGAACACGAGAGCAGACTCATCCCGAGCTTTGTTTAAAAGCACTTTGTACTCAAGCTGTTCTCCTGTACTGGAGCCACGTTGAACAGTCCACTGGATGAGACAACCATTCTCAGTAATGCTTGAGACTCGGGGTGCAATTTTAACTGGGGGAGGAGGAGCATAACAAGTTTTAAAGCTGACTGCCAAAGAGAAGGGGCCTTGCCCGGCTTCAGTAGCGGCACAAATCCTGTACCTGTACTCAAAGTTCTCGGTAAGCTTGCTGTGCTTAAAGGAATGTGCAGAACCGTTGTACAGAGGATACCACACTTTCTTAGAGTTTTCAGTCTCCAGTATATAGTTTACTCCAAGTCCAGATTTCCCATCAGCCCATTTAAGTTTGAGAGAGTTGTGGAGGATACTCAAGCATTCAAGCTTGGGTGGAGCTGGAGGTAAAGGTTTGGTACTTAAACGCAGAGGCTGAGAAAAAGGTCCCTTGCCACGAGTGTTGACTGCCTGAACCTTTATGGTGTAATTGTTGTCAGGTTTAAGGTTCTCCAGGTTTAATTTTCTCCGATTAACCTGCTCTGATCTTACTTCCTTATCCTGTCCAGACCATTCTACATTGTAGTGAAGGATTTTCTCACCGTTCTCAGCCGGTTTCTTCCATTTAAAGACCAGGGAGGAAGAGGTAGAGGAAATAAAGGTGAGATTAAAGGGAGCTGAAGGATGTGTGCTTGGTGTCTCCATAGAGACGGTACTAGAGAAAGGAGATAGACCTGCAGAGTTAACAGCACAGACTCGGAGATAATAGAGAGATGCTGGAGTTAGATCCCGGAGATCGGTACCTCGGTCAGGACCCTGGTATGCCTGTCTCCAAACTAGATCTTTGGGGTCAACCTCAACATCCTCCTCTTCCTCAACTTCACACTCTTTATCACAGATTACCTCTTCAACCTTGACAACCTTCTCCTCTTCATCTTCTGCTTCACTTTCATCCTCATAGTCTGAATGGTCCAGCTCCTCTTGGGGCTCTTCCTCTGGTTCATCTTCAACCTCGTCCTCTGTATCACTCTCAACCTGTAGACTATGGGTGGACAAGCTCGCCAGTTCCAACCTATAACCAGTAATAATGGCACCGTTGTTGATGGGTTGATCCCAAGTAACCTGTGCAGAGCTTCCAGATTTGCATACAGCCTTTGGCTCGCGAGGCTTGTCTGGAGGTCCTGCCCCTGATATGACCTCTAAGGGAGAAGACCAAGGTCCCTCCCCGGCCCTATTGTAAGCCTTAACCTGGAACAGGTATGGTCGGCCTGGAAGCAAGCCTGCAACAACACAATCAGTATCACGCCCTCTGTACACACCCCTTGTAGTGTTGTCCGGGGAGGTCATGTCAATTTCATATTCTGTAATTGTAGCTCCGCCATCTTCTGTTGGTGCAGTCCACGTCAGATGAAGCGACATTGCTTTTGGTTTATCGATAAGTGTTGGAGGACTAGGTGCCCCAGGAGCTACAGGCTCCGTCACAATAAAGCAGGACTCGCTGTAGTCGCTAGTTCCACCAGTAGACTTAGCCGCCACTCTCACTCTGTAAGTAGTTCCTGGAGTTAACTGATCACAGAGATATTCCAAATCCTCTCCTCGATATACAGACTGCCATCCACTCCCTCCATCTAACTCCAGCTCATAACCAACTATACTGGACCCACCGTTGTCCGCTGGGATGTTCCAACACACCCTGAAGCTGGTAGGTCTGATTTTCCCCTTGGGTGTAGGTTTAGGAGGTGGGCCTGGTCGGCCAGGGGTAGTTGTGTAACTTACATCGGAAGAATAAGCGCTAGCACCCATTTCGTTGTGCGCACGCAGTTTGAATCTAAATAATAGAAATTAATAAAATAATTTAAAATTTCCTAAATTTCAAAACATTTTACAATTTTGTTGCACCTGGGATCAAAGTTTATACTTTCACTAAAATAGCAACTTTAATATTGATCCACCCCACCCCCACCAAATCTCAATATATTTCTTTAAAGAAAAAATCCATCTAAAATTTGAGATTTTAGAGATAAAATATACATAAGTTATCCCGCTCTCAATCCAGAAAAGAATAAAAAAACTCAAGTTCATAAAGTTTCAACTTGTCTGAAAAATAATTATTAAACAACCTGTGCAAATACATTGAAGAAAAAATTGGTATGTTGAACAAGTGTTGAAATCAAAACTGCATTTACGTAATTTCATAGCTCATGAATTAATTTGGAGACAAAATAATTAGTTTTATTTAATAAATTTTCACGTTTCATTGTTAGATTTATATGGTGTACTGTGTAATACATAATGCATATTCTTGTGTTATTATGATGTATACTCTCCCCTCCAAAAAACTTTTTTAATCTTTAGCTAATATACGAAAGTTTTAACGCAGAGAACTTTTTTTGATTTTCAATAAGGTTAATGTTTATTCACTAAAATAACATCAAAATCAACTAAACAAGAAAATCTGCAAAAAATTTAAATAAATTGCTTTTCCCATAGTTATTTTTTCTTTTCCCTGTAATCAGATTTTATTTCTTCGAACAATTTATCATCACTACATCTTCATCACTACATTTTCGAACAATTTATCATCACTACATCTTCATCACTGCATTTTCAAAACTGTTTAATAACGTTTAAAATCTGATCATTTTTTGACGCTTTGCCAAATAAAGATTAAAAAAATTTCAACCAAAAACGTGTTTCGGGTTTTTTCATCATATTTTCTCTTAGGATTTCATAGTTGGAAAAATTAAACATTTACATAATAAAGCTTTGAAATGTTTGAACCTGTAATTATAAGTTAAAAAGCCTTCTCAAAAAAAGTTATTGCTTATCACTTTTTACTGTTCAGTATTCATGTATAAACAAAAGTACTGCAAAGGTAAATTAAAGGGGGTACAGACTGAAACCCGAGAATCTCAGGAGTTGAACGATACATATAAGACATCTATCTGATGTTCCTGTCCGAGAAATTGACATAAAACTGTGTCAAAATTATACCAAAATGTATTTATGTAAGATAGACGCCCGTATCACGTGACCAGAAGTCCCCCAATGACCGTGAAGTATACTGGTCACGTGATACAGACGGAGACACGTGACAATAATACTGCACTGTCAATGGTTGGAGTTTTGGTGACATGTTCCGGACGCATAAATAATATTATCATTTATATCTATTAAAAATGAAAATTTATTGAATTTAAATAATAAAAGAAGCAAACTTGAGTTTCTCAGGCTCCTCTAGGATATCGTTGTTTTCAGATTGGTAACGTATTTGTTGAAAATCATCTGTTTACTACTACAACTCTTATACACAATCAGATATATATATATGTTTTGGTATAGTTTTGACACAGTTTTAAATCAATTTCTCGAGACAGGAACATCAGATAGAACTCTTATATGTATCGTTCAACTCCTGAGATTCTCAGGTTTTAGCCTATACCCACTTTCATTTTTATTTGTCAGTCCCTTTAAAGGGGCTACAAACGTTAAATATAGCTGCTTCACAATGGTACACCCCCCCCCCCAAAGAAAAAAATATATTCTGAGTCCAAATTTAATTAATTTGTGCCGCGTCTCATATCAGCCAAAAACCGGTTTCAGTGCAGCGCCAACTTAAATCTTGAAACATTGAATACAATTTTAAGTGAAACCAACTATATTTTAACCGCGGCTCAATTTTTTTTAATTCGGCCTCTTATAATTGGTTATTTTAAACTATTGTGGATTCGGCATAAAAGGAACTCGCAGATTTATACTACAGAAAGTTGAATAAAATTGAGAGAATTAAACGTTTGTTTCAAGCTTAAAAAAAACAAATATTGTATTGATCAGATTAAGATTTGAAAGGTACATTTGTGAATAGGGCCTGGTCCCTTAAAGTTTTTAGAACAAATTCTATACCTGTAGGTAGTATTCTTCCTGAGATTTATGACTGTATATTCAACATCAGTCCCATTGTACTGAGACAGAAACCCGTGCCCGGTCTTAGCGTCTTCCATCTGTAGCGTAAACTCGTCATCACAAGGACGTTTCGACCAGAGTAGACGAATTGACGATTCAGTGATCTCGGCCGCACTGGGAGGGAGAGGTTGACTTGGGGGACTTCCCTGAGTTGCAAATGACACAATTTCGCTGTACCGGGAGGAACCAAGCTCATTTACGGCGGCCAATCGAAATTTGTAGATTGAAGATGGTTGAAGTTTCGACAAGTTACACTGTTTGGCTCGACCTTCGAAGCACGAGACAAAATGACCGGCCTGGCTGCTCCCCTCGTTGTATTCAAGTTTGTAGTGCAGGATATGCTTTCCGTTATCCGCCGGAGCATTCCACCGTAGATGGAGACTAGTCTTACTGCGTTGTGTTAGTTTAGGAGGCTGAGGTTGATCAGGCTCACAACATTTTGTATGAAATGAAACCGTGTCGCTCGCGCCACCTTTTAAATTTCTTGATTTCAGTGTCGCATGCACCCTGACATGATACTCTGTGTTGGGACGCAGGTCAGCTAGGTAGCAATCTAGGCTAGCACCGTTGTAGATAGATCGATACTTGCCGTCTTTACCTTTGTCACTGATCAATACTTCGTATTCCAGATCTGTGTTTAGAATCGGTTTCAGGTGTTCGAACCGAACATCCCCGGGTTCAGACACAGGTGGGGTCCACGCTAACAGTGCGTATGTGTCGTTAATCTCCGGAACCTTTGGTGTTCTGATACTAGAGAGTATCTCAAGATACAACCCGTTCTCCTCCTGGTCCTCGTCGTGCTCTATACCGATTCCACTCTCCTCGGAATCGTCGATGGTGGCGGATCCACCACGGCGAGGCCGGGCGGAGTAAGTGTTTCCCCGGGGTTTGACTGGGCTCTGGGGCGGAGTTGATTGTACGGAGAGGGAGGGTGAAGATGCTCCGCTGGGTTTAGGTTTCCCGCTCTGCTCGCGGTATTTGCGTTTGTGGTTCTGGGGTTTCAAAGGTCTCTGCTCCTAAACACAAACCATGTAAATAATCATATTTTAATAAATGAAATAAATTGGTACAAAGTTTTTTTTTATTGTATAATTGGATGGGGCGGGGGAGGGGGCGGGCTGGACTCTGTGGTACAAAACTTATAATTTTTGTGTAATGCTATTAAATTTTGTTTTCTTCAATCATCGTCAATTAATTAGGGGGAAGGGGGCTAATATTCCATTTTTAAAAATTTTCATTTATAGATTTAAATCACTTCAACGTAAATCCTTGATATTGTACTCAGAACGAGGAGACATAAAAGCTTAAAATATGATTTTATATTTAAACTAAATCTTGGGTTCTTTGATAATAAATGTATTTTTACGACCCTGTATTAATATTTAAAATAATTCACTGTGAGGATAATGCGAGTTTTTAATAAAGAAGTTCAGTTCTGGAAGAAAATATTTAAAAACTATTGTTTTCAAATTCTATCGATTTTTGTAAATATTCATAAAAAATAGATTTTAAGGGAAATGATTAGTTCCTTAATATTGATATTCATTATTCTCAATTTTATTCAATCAAACAATAAATTCAATAATTATTAACAACTATTTTCATAAGACAAGACCATTTTTGCCAACATAACATCCAGAGTGTTGCAAAATTGGTCTACAGAAATCGTAGTTAAGCATAGATAAGCAAAATTTCTTAACCCTATTCCTGCTGGGGGGGGGGGGGCAATTTGACACCCCCCCCTGTATTTGTTTTCACATAACTCAAAAATTTTTGGTCTGAGGCTGTTGAAATTATCTGACTTTTCATAAATACTTTTCTAAAACCAGGCTTTTGTACTAACTGTCTGAATACATACTTGATAAATGACTACTTTTTCCTGTAACAAACTAAATCTTTGTTTTGACCCACTTTCAGTTGTCAGATTTTGGTAATTATTAGCTTTTTGGAAAGCCAATGACATGAGGAAGCAGAATGCACAATTATGTTTTGCAAAGAAATTATTATAAATCATTTGCAAACAACCCGTTAGAGTAAATTTTCACATTTTTAGTCTTTCTGAATCACACTTCAGGTTATATAAATTTTGCAATTTTTTTGCACATTTGAAATGATATGGTCAAGGGCTTTTCAAAAATGTATATTTATAACATTTTCGGACATTTTTTTGGCAAATATTTATACTATATAACAGGATTTTGCAAAAAAAAAAAATAAGTTTTAGCAAATTTGCATTTTTTTGCATATTCTAAAAAAGAGCACAAGAGCTTTCCAATGATGTATCATTTGTTATATTTGGATATCAAAAATGGGATTTAGAGGGGGGGTCAAATTGACCCCCCCCCCAGCGTATCTTGGTTTTCAAGTACCCCAGCGGGGATAGGGTTAATAAAAAGTTATAACCTCCCAAAGATTAATAAAAAATATTACCACCCATAGATTAATAAAATATATCACCTCCCAAAGATTAATAAAAAGTTATCGCCTCCCAAAGATGATTAATAAAATAATATCATGGAGTAAAGGGACTGTAAGCGTAATTTTAAATGATCCTCCATGCAAAGAGAGCAATGCCCGATTTACAACGGTACCTTTTAAACCTTTAACTGTTCATCAAGTAAAGAGAGCTTTATGTTGAAATATCTTAAGAACTACTTGAACTCCCCTAAACCGCGGTGATACACTGTACACTGTACAGTTTAACCTCAACACAGCTGATACGCTATTTATGTACTGGGTGTCCCACGAAACATGACAGTATGCAAGACAACTTGAATGTCGTCTTGATTTTTGATATAATTTGCTGCGTTTATTTGTCAACCTAATTTTAAAAGTAAATTACTAGAGATAATAATCACAAAATTCCCCTAGTCCTGCCATTTCCAAAATGTGGTCTGCCTTTTTTGTGCTTTCAATATTGCCCGAGACTGTTGTACATAATGTCCTGGAGGAGCTTGAACAGGAAGGGAGAGAGGAGGTTCATGATGCATACTCACCCAACGTACCGTAGCAGGTCCTTGTATAGTTTGCACCTACAACATAATTTTTTTTTACTTTTTTGAAAATCTTAATTTTCAGAGACAACTTGATAGGACTGTAGCATTAATTTCAAGTGATCCTTGATAAAAATGTTTATTTGTCAACGGTACCCTCTAAATCGGAAAAAGTATTTGACCAGGGTTAATCCTTTATCTGAAAAAGCTCTTCACTCATCTGTATATGTTAGCTATAGCTGTTCAAACGGCTGGACCAAATTGCTGACTTTTTTTTGGAGAGAACCCGTCCCATGGGTACCCTGGGGGTAACATACGTAAAAAAAATTTGAAATATTTTTTTTTCATATATAAAATCCTTTTAATTGTTTTCTTAAAAAAGATATCTGTAATAGAAACTAAATACCCCCTTCTATATAAAAATTTGGCTTGTCTGTCTGTCTGTTTGTTTGTATCCAATAAGCGTCAAAACGGCTGAACCGATCGGGCCCAAATTTTTTGTGGGACATCTAGGGACCCAAGGGAAGGTTTATGAAAAATCAAAATTTCAAATATTTGTCTCCATCAAAATTCGATCGTCATTAAATTTTTAAAAAATTTTGAAAATCCGCGAAATTTTTTGTGAAAATCCGCGAATTATTTTTTGTTTTGTTTTACGATGTACACAAAGAGAACATGTTCACAACTAATTTAGAAGATGGGCGCGAAGCGCCCTCTAAGGCTAGAAAGAAGGGCGCGAAGCGCCTTGAATTTCTAGTTATCTGTAAAACTTAAAAGATCAAATAAGATTTAATTATGAGAAATGATGAAAATATGATCTTTCAAAATTACTCTTCTGTTTCATGTCTAAAATAAAATAAAATTTTTTAATTTAAAAAATGTTTAACATGTCTCAAAGTACATCTTATAAAATCTGTACTGAAGAAATTGATAAAAATCTACCAATTCAGTAAAAATGATAAAGAATTTCTACAAAAATGCAAACCGTTGAATTAAGTTTTTCCTCCGTCATTTTGTTTTATTATGAAAGTGCTAGCTATATAGTATGCAGTGCCTAGGATCTGGATCCGTTGGATCCGCAAGATTTTGGCTTCCTGTATCCGGATCCGCAAAAACGGATCCGGATCAAAAGGGCAAAATATCAACAAAACACTAAGAAAAAAATTACTCTCAATCCACAAATCTGAACTATTGAAAAAAGAGATATTATAAAAACTTCCTGATTTCTGAATGGTTCATCAAGCTTTATCCCTAAAATAAGCTAAAAAAAATAGACAATAAATTTGAAAATTCAGTAAAGAACCTGTCAAATCATTCGTTAACCAAAACCATACTGCAGTCCTTCAATTATCATACAGGGAAATTTTCATCTTTCTAAACATCCCAACGAATGATTTGACAGGTTCTTTTTTGGAAATAACCTGGATCCGGATCCGCATCAAAATTAAATGGATCCTACGCACTGATAGTATGCAATATGCATTATTAACTGTATTGTTATGAAAGTGCTACCTATAGTATGTATTATCAACTGTTTTGATATCAGCTGTAGACTCACAGATGGGAGTTTATTACACGTGGTCTTAAAATTTTAAACTTTTGTGCAAATTTTGTTATTAGAAATAAATTTGTGGGCAAGGTCAAAGAACTGGTATATTTTACATATATTTCAATGTTAATTTATTAAAATCTAATGCCTATTTTGAAGAAGAAAGAGAAATTCTGAAAAAAAACGTCGTTAGAGTATAATTCCATTTATGTCCAATTTTAAAATGAAGTTTTTTAATTTATATAAGTAAGTATTTGTAAATTATTTTATATATATTTTAAATATTTGTAACTAAGTTTTAAAATATTAATAATTTAAATATTAAACGAAAAAAAAATATAATCAAAATGATTTATATTTTGTCTGTTTATGATTCAAGTTGTAAATATCATTTATTTCCCAGAAAAAAGTTAAGAAAAATGTTTACAATTCCTAGTTTTGTTTATTGAAACTAGTTCTTTCGGCAAGAGATTTATAGTTTTACTTCAGCGTACTCTTCAAAAATGGAGCCGCAATGCCCCTATTTTAATTTCCTCATATATCTAACATTTTTATAAAAAATAAGTTGCCAAACCTTAAAATTGCCACCAACTTTATATCTACAAATCATAATGTAACTAAAAAGTAATCGTTATGTTTTTCCTTTTATAAATATCAAGTTACTATAAATGAAATTATTATGGAAAAGAAACATGGCATCCCTACCTCCCTCCCGTCCTAAAACATTTGATATCCCCCAACCGGAGTTAAGGGGAAGTGGTGTAAATAAAAAATATACCCCTCTAGGCAGTGCTTAGGATTAATCTAATTTTGATGCGAATCCGGATCCTGGATCTGCACTGGAAAAAAACGTGGATCCGCATCCAGGAAGCCAAAATCTTGCGGATCCAAGGGATCCGGATTCTAAGCAATGAGCTTTAATTACCACAAAAACTCTAAGAATTTAACGATCTGAACTCTGGAAGGGTAAATTTCAGGGTTGTATTTTAAATTTTCTCGAAAATCAATTTTCTTCCCCAAAAGTATTATACGTTTGTGCGAAGCGACAAATTTATTTTGGGGTTTTATTTGCTGAACAGGGTAAATTAAATATTTTAAGGAAAAAAAGATGACTTTTTTGGGAAAGCGTATCAAAAAGAATAGAAAAGTTGCCGTAGAAGTCCAATTTTTTTCCTCTCCTCCAAATCAAAAATAATCCCCCCCCAATGTGAAAAAATATACACTCCTGGTCTTATGATATGCCTTTCAGTGAAACTTAAGAACTTTAAAAGAAAGCGCCAATTACATCACTACAGGTAACCATTAACTTAAGTTTTAATCCTGACAGAATTTGATACAGTCGTCTCTGACGTCCTATCCGTTGTTGGTACTGGTGTATATCCCCGATCTGTTTACCTGTCCGCCGAGTTGCAAGCTGACCGCTTCACCCTGCTTTACATGAAAATGCACTGTCTGCTGACCCCGCCCATTGTCCGGCGGTTGTAAGCAGTGTGGCGGGGGGTGACCCGCCTCAACCGTCCCGTTCGGGGGCGTTATCACCATGGGGTAGCACGAGGTGTCGTACTGGAAGTTGGGCGGGGTAAAGTGAGTCGTCCCACCTGGGCTCTCCCAGCCCATATAGGACATCATGGGTGGTCGGCTTGGAACACCTTAAATACAAAAAATAACTTTTATGAGAGAAAAATATAAAATAAAGAACTAGGGCTGAACTAAACTAATAGAATATATATATATATATTCAAATTAAATGAGTAGGAAACTTGAAAAAATTTTATTCCAGCAATCATTTACAATGTATAATCTTTATCATTATGTGTATACACATAACATAAAACATTTACATAATCTATACTAAAATAAAGTGATAAAATAAGCTCATAAGAGTACGTTTTGAATATATAATAACTTAGAAATTTGACTCTCTGAGAAGTTTCCCAATAAAATTTTTAACGATGTTTAATTTTTATAGCTTTTATGGATTGTAAGTTAGGACATCATCTAGGACACAGCTTTAAGAAAAAGAAAATAGATTAAAAGAATCGACATGGCTTCTAGAATGACTAGACGAATCTAAGATAGAAAGAAAGTTTTAATGAAAACTAGAATTTTAGAAGAAGAACAACGGTAAAAATTTGGATTCAAAGTTGAAATTATGAATTCTGGGCTGAACCTATGGGTTCTAAGATGAAATCGAAGATTCTGCAGGAAAAACATGGATGCTGGGCTGAAACTAAGGCTTTTTATCTGTAACTAGAAATTCAAGGCGCTTCGCGCCCTTCTTTCTAGGCATTTAGGGCGCTTCGCGCCCATCTTCTACTTAAATTGTGAACATGTTCTTTTTGTTTACATTTTAAAACAAAGAAGAAATATTTTGCGGATTTTTAAAAAAATTCGCTTCAAGAATTTAAATTATTTTACAAAATTAAAAACTTTTAAAACACATTTTTTTTAAATTTTTATCATTCATAAACCTTCCCTGTGGTCACGTGACATCCCACAAAAAATTTGAGCCCGATCGGTTCAGTCGTTTTGACGTGTATTGGATACAAACAAACAGACAGACAAACAAGCCAAATTTATAAATAGATTATGGATTCTAGGATAAAATTATAGATTCTGGGACAAAACTATGTATTCTGGAATGAAACTATGTATTCTGGAATGAAACTATGTATTCTGGAATGAAACTATAGTATTCTGGAATGAAACTATGTATTCTGGGATAAAACTATGTATTCTGGGATAAAACTATGTATTCTGGAATGAAACTATGTATTCTAAATGAAACTATGTATTCTGGAATGAAACTATGTATTCTGGAATGAAACTTTGTAATTCTGGGATAAAACTATAGATTATGGAATGAAACTATGTATTCTGGGATAAAACTATGTATTCTGGGATAAAACTACGGATTCTGGAATGAAATTATGTATTCTGGAATGAAACTATGTATTCTGGGATAAAACTATGTATTCTGGGATAAAACTATGTATTCTGGAATGAAACTATGTATTCTGGAATGAAACTATGTATTCTGGGATAAAACTATGTATTCTGGGATAAAACTA